AGCAGATGGGCAGAAAACAACTCTGCTTTGAGCTATATGAGGAACAGCTAGTGACACACACATACACACAAACACACACACACACTTAGAAAAAGTGCAGCATACCGCACGGCGCACGTTTTCTTTTGTAAACTTTATTATTTCGTGTTAAAAGTAAATAAACTTATGCGGGTACGTTCGCTCCACCTCCAAACAATATCTGCCTCTCTCTCTCTCTCACTCTCTTTAGCTATCTGTGCAAGTATCCACACTTAAGTGAAATACTAGACGGGGGACTGGCACATGTGTGTGTGTATGTTTTTATTACTGTTAGTGGGGGTTGGCGGGGCGTTTGCATTGTTTGGCACTTGCGGTAGCTTTGCCTTTGCTTTTCTGCTGTCAGCCAGCCAGTCCAAATTGAAATTGGACATTAGACGTACACACAACGACAGAACAAAATGGCAGCTGCCGCGACTCTGCTGACAACTACAACAACAAAACGAACTGCTGCAACAACTACTTCTAGTCCTGCCTGGTGCCGCACTCATTGTGAATGACAACGCCCCTGGTACGTGATTTCATTTCCGTTTGCCTTTGTACGCTGCACCTCACAGCTGGCAACTTCGTCGAGTCGTTGTGAATCTGAAGTTCTGAAGACTCGCCTCCGCTCTGCTCCGCCCCAGCTCCACTTCATTCTGGTTATTTCTTTTTTTTTTTGGGGTCGCTTTGAATGCTAAAGAGACTAACTGTAACTGTAGGTACATAACATCTATATACAGCTGCACTTGTATATGGGTAGGTGCTTTCGGGGGCCTCGGCAAATGCACATTTTACTGTGCATGCGTGTCGTTTCATTAAGAACTTTGCGCTTATCTGGTTGGCTGGCCCAGCTTTTTGACAGGTGGCTCCACCTACCGTGCATAGCACGCACTACACACTTTGTTCTCCTTTTTAGCTGATTTACGAGTGCGCAATGACGTGTGTGAGTGTGTTTGCGTGTGTGCACATAAGGTTTATGTGTTCATTAAGCGACTTTACTAATTCATGGATATACATAAATAAGAGATATATATATCAACATATATTTATACACGAAAGTTATAAGAAATTTAATTTTTTCATCTGTGATCTTTAATTTATATCTCTCAATATCTTGCTTTTGGCTTTATAATTCTTTGACTTTTTGTTAGTATAGAAATTTGTAATCTGTAATATGTTAATTTTAGTCTGGGCATTTGAAATAGCCCCAAAATCACTCTGAGATCAACGCGAACTAATGCCAAGGGCAATCCAGAATTTCTTTTATCTCCACGCAGGGTCCATCACTCAACTCAAATTTAAGAAGCTAACCAGACTTAAGTGGCTCTAACGAAGCAACAATAAGTCCCCGGTTTTACCTATAACACGGATATCGAAGATGGCCCACTGCATGACATCATGTGCTAATGAGGCTAAAATTATATTAGTGTGGTCTAAACTCAATTAACATAATTTGCGATCTATATGTTTATGAATAATTATAACTATATAAATCATAACTTATTTGGATGCAAATGCGTGGACCAAACAAATCAGAGTACAATGCGCAGATTGCATAATAAAAAGAAAAAATATCAAACAAATTTGTGTTTCAAAAATAATTAAGAGTATAACAAGAAGTTAATCGGCAGATGGAATCCAGAAGTAGTTGAAAACTGGCTTAGCGCATACCTTAATGTGAATAAATAGATTAACATTTGGACGGATTAGCATTTACACGAACTCATAGCCGAGTCTTAATTACAGCTAATGAACAAAATGCCAACACAAAACGGCCAAGAAAGCGAACACGAAGCCGAAGAGGCAAGTGCCAAAAATAAAGTCTCACCAGACTGACGCTTGAGTAAAATTTAAATTTCAAAGTCAAGGCCAACAGATGAGGCATAATTAGCCCTCAGTTCGTGGCGCCGAGCAAACGGTCACAGAAAACGAGCCATAAAAATATGCATACAAATTATAAGTGGAGAAAAAAGGCAGCAAAAATAATAATAAAAACATAACTAGTTGCTTTGCGATGCCTAAGACAAAAGAGCGTCAAATTGGAATATAATTGTATTAGTCAAGCGCTAGAGTTCATGCGAATAAGCAGTATGCGAATGCACAAGCTGGCAGACAGTGCATATAGAAATGTGGGACAGATCTCAGATTGGTGCTGATCGGAAGCTAAGCCATGCAAATCGAATGCCCATAAATTGGCCGCCAAAAGATCGACATTTACATACGTGATTCGTTCGAGAAATGGGAAGCAAACAAAACGCAGAAAAGTTCCAATTTGAAATTTAGTAGCTGCACATAAAATTAACAACAAGTTTTTAAATTCGCTTGGGCCATGAATCTGTTTGACTATTTGAGTAGCGTCTCTTGTTTGCGCTTCGCTTACGAATGGAATGATCCAACCAACTGATGACAGAGAGACACGGCCCAGCCCCGGCCACAACAGCCGGATCATAAATCTGCTAGCCAATATTTGGACAGCGCAAAAATTAAGCAGCAATGCTCATGATTAACTGCTTGATAAACTTAATTTGTAGTTGCAATTTAATCCCCAACACAACTCATCGCTCGCCAAAGACAACGCCGTGCCAGCAAATTAAGATATCACCATAAATAATGGGAATGTAGCGTTCCGTGTATTTATACTGACTGTATACTATGAGGAAATAATGCACAAGTCAAGGAGGAACATCCAAACCCCTCAGATCCATAAATATTTCGTGTTTAGTATTTAAATACTGTTTATTATTGTAGCTTTACTAATGGTATTTATTGGAATTTCGAATCAGAAACAATAAAGAAATTTTATTGGTGGGCGTATCTCGAAATTAACATACGGAAGACTGAAGAGCCTTTTGTCTGTTAGGTGTTTAAATTTTGTATAACAATGCAGAGGAAGAACAAAAGTAAGCACAGACAATTTATTTTACGTATTTCCTTATACTATTAAAACTTTAAAATTTTTTAAATTTATCTTTTATTTAAATTTCTTAGTATACAAAGTTATTTATAATTATTTACATGAACATTTATTTATATCTGTATATAAAACGTTTAATATTAAAAGTTAATTGATGAATTTAAAAATTATTAATTACAAAATAATCATAATATTAATAATATAATTTTTCTTCAATACTTGGATAGTATATATTAATTAGGATTAATTAAGTCATTATTGAGTTTTTATAGATACTTCGTTTTCAGTCTAATAAATCAAAATTACAAATATAATACAAATAAAAAAAATTTATATTTAATATTCTTTTTATAGGTGCAATTATGAATTCTTAGCTCAGAAAAAAAATACTTTTTTTGTCTATGAAAAATCTACAATTATTAAGCTTTAATTTATTTTGAAGTCATAAAACTATTCAATCTCTACTTTGCCTGATCACAAATGATACATATTATTAAGTCGCCAATCAGCATTTCCTTATATTCAATTATTCAGTTAATTATTCACACATGATTCATAAAATTGATTAAATTATTTTTACTCAGACATGAGCTGTAAAAATATTTTAAATATTGGGTTGCTTCTGTGCCTTTAAACTCATAAAGTTAAACTATCGTTTGCAACACATACATAAGCCTCAACTCATCAAAGGCGGAATCAAAGTCCAGGTATATTTTTGAACGAATCGTTGATGAGGCTTTGCATAACTAAGTAGCAAGCTGTGTTCATGACCGAATGAGCTATATTAATCACTTATCATACAATAAGCTCATTAATGAATTAGACATTTACAGAGTATTCAAATTTTATATGATAACGGTTAAAGTTTAATTATAAATTATAATATACATATATATATATAATATATATATGTAATAAAATAAAATATTGATTAGTGATTTGCTTCCTGAAGGCGATTTTTGCTTAGCAAATGATTCTATAAGCGATTAAGACAACAGCCCAGCGGCAAGCAACCTTCACGAAGCTGTCAGAAGCGGCGTCCAAATCAATTTAAAGAAGTCACGTCTATAGCCAGACCCATATTCGAGCTTGAACAAATGGAACTGGTTTCTGGCAATGAAATTAAGCTGAATCAACATCTTAATGGCCAAGGGTCAAAAACAACAAATCACTTGTTTTACATATATTATTGGAAATGAACAGGATGAAGTTCTAATGGCTAGCAAAAAAAAAAAAAAACAAAATAAAAGCAAAAACAAAAACAAGAAAACAAAAGGGAGAGGTAAGAATTGTGTCAGGATAAGTTAAACGTTGCCTGAGCTAAGCCATAAACAACGCATAAACAAGTTTTATTCAACGATCGAGAACAACGAACTATAAAGTGGCCAAAAAATGTTTAATTAAACCTGTTTACTATCAGCTACGCATGCCTCAGGTGTAATTTGCAAATTTCCGGCTCGTCACGAGACGTGGGTCAACAAAATTCTTCAATAAATACAACAGAAAAATAAAATTTATTTGATTCAAAATATAATATAAATAAAAACATATATTTGTTGCAAATATCCCGTTAGCAGGCGTTCTTTATTATATCTGATTGGGCTATTAAAAATCAATTTATTGGCATAAATTAAACCATCTCACTATAAATTCTATGGCAAACAAGTTGCCATCAAGATTGGGGCTCATCCGTCAATCGACTGGCCCCCAAAGACAATTTAGCTAGTCTTAATGAGCATATAACCATATTGAACATTCAATATTCAACATTCAACATTCAATATTCAATATTCAATATTCAATATTCAATATTCGATATTCGATTTTGGCTAGACCTAAGCAAACAACCGAAGCTGTGTTGAGGCAGGTTTTTCACAATCGCCAAGAGTGTTTGAACACCCGCTCTCGTCTGCGAATGGTATAAATAGTAACGGGCAGGCACCAAGCAGACAGAAGCTATTCAAACGCTTGTGGAGTAAGAGTCTAACTATCACTGAAATGGTAAGCCATGATGCCCACCTAGAGCCCAATGCTCGAAAATTGGTTTTAATCGCGACTTCTCGCACAGAAATTCTTGGTCGTTGCCGTTGCCTTCCTGGCCTGCGCCAGTGCTGATGTGTCCCACTTGAGTTCGGGCTACAACTATCAGGCACCCGCTCCTGTTTACCAGCCAGCGCCAGCTCCGGTCTATCAGCCAGCACCAGCTCCAGTCTACCAGCCAGCTCCAGCTCCAGCTCCAGCTCCAGTCTACCAGCCAGCGCCAGCTCCAGTCTACCAGCCAGCGCCAGCTCCAGTCTACCAGCCAGCTCCAGCACCAACCTATGAAGCACCTGCTCCAATCTACCAGCCCGCCCCAGCTCCAGTCTACCAGCCAGCTCCAGCACCCATCGCCATTGAAGCACCCGCTCCAGTCTTCCAGCCTGCGCCTGCACCAATTTCGATCCCTGCCCCAGCTCCAGTCTATCAGCCAGGCCCTGCTCCAGTGCAAGCACCTGCTCCAATCAACAGCTACATCCCACCAGCACCAGTCTCGATCCCTGCTCCCGCTCCAGTCTACCAGCCTGCTCCTGCCCCGATCCAAATTGAGGGTCCCGCCCAGTACTCCCCAGCACCTGCGCCCATCCAGTACTCTTCTGCCGGACAGTCTCAAATCATCCAGTCGCAGCAGGCTCTCGAGCAGATCGAGCAGCCCTCTGCTGATGGCTACCGTTACAAGACTGTGCGTCGTCGCGTCTACCGTCGCAACCGCCTGTAAATCTAGACTTGCTAAATCGCAACGCATCCTAACGAATTTCCCATAGAATATCAATAAAATAAAAGAAAAACTAAAACTTTACCAAATTGTTTTCCAATCAAAATGCCAGCCCGGCCGCACTCAATCAGCAACAGTCCCAATCAGCGGCTGCAGCCAGCAGCTCCAACTTTATGGACACTTGAAGGCAAGCCTCTCTCGCCTGTTCCTGGGGCCAGCATCGATTTAAGTTGGAAATTTATGAAAGCCAAATGCATGCTTGGAAGAAAAGAGAAATCAACTTAGTATCCGCATCGCAATCGCCATCAGCAGACAGATAGCAAGAGGTGGCCGTCAAGCAGTTGCAGGAGCGGCAGCTCGGCCCGCTCCCTAAGGAGTCGCCGCACGGCATTCGGCATGCACTCACATTTATCACGAAATTTATGGGCTGGAATGAGCTTTGATGATGTGGAAATTTTTCTCGTTAGATTCAAAAGTTTCGCCCACAGCCACAGCCACGCCCAGGCCCAGGCCCTGGCCCACGCCAACGTGCACATTGGCCTCATCAGACCACTGACCACTTGTGGCTGCGACTGCCGCAATTGCGCTAACAAGTGCCAGGACACAGGGCATAGGACCAGGCGCCAGGATATCGACGGGTCGCAGACCAAAGAAAATTAACAAGAAACTGCGATGACATCGACGACGACGTCTTTACGATTTGATTAGGGAAATGTCTGCAACGGCGCGTTGGCTCCAATGGATTTAACTACCCAGCCGCTGGCCAGGGTCAGGGCTCAGGCCATAGAGTTTGAGTTTCCACTTTAAAGCCTCGCCACAGAAGCCACACACATTACACCACCTATACTAATTAAAAAGATAAACAAGCTGCGAAACTGACTTGACCAGCAGATACCCTCTATTGTCCTCTTCGCTTTAAGTACTAACTTTGAGTAAAACATTGTTGATTTCCACATTTTATATAGAAGCTAAATTTAGTGGGGTACAGCCTCCATATTATTCACTCCTGTCTGTTACATACCCTTGCTCCACTTCATCATATCCCAATTTATAGCAAAAGCGTGTAATAACAAAAAAGCTGCCAAATTAATTACGTAATTAAAACAAATCATTTTTTGCTCTCTGCTCAGCCTAGCCATAGCAACCGCATCAAGCAGGGCAGAGGACAAAGGACATAGAGCCTGGCCGGGACCAAAGCCAGCTCCCATGTCCAAGCCGGCTTTTGTTAATTGCATTTTGGTCAAATATTGGCAGCTTAATTAAATGAATTAAAATGCGTTTACGCTTTGATGCGCACATCCCGATACAAATAAATACATATGTGTATATATTTATATATACAGGGATATACGAGCAGCTGGACATTGTGCAAATTGCATTGCTCCATTTTGACAGGCAATTACAATTTATAGACTATTGAACTTGACCACACTAATCAGTTAGTATTTGTTCCTGGAATGTGCAGTTGCGGCTGGTTGGATTTAAAAGATTAGAAATACATATTCAACAACATTTATTTCTGAATACAAAATATTTATGGTTGCTATCTTACCCAAGCTTTAGTTTCAACGGCATATGGCTAACGAGTACAAGAACTTATCTTGTATTAAACTATTTATTTCTTAAAAAGCAGATATTACATAAAACGAAACATTGAAAGAAGAAATAAAGTCGAATATAATTGAGTATATAATATATAAAAAAATATAATAATATATATATGAATAAATAAGTATATATATAGACATAATTTCAATATAAGTAATTTCTTAATTAAATACAATATATTTAAAGACATTTTTTATTTTAAAAAAAATTGTTTCAAATTTTTTACAAATATAACATTAAATTAAAAATCACATAAAAATATGTAAATTGAATTAAAAATAGTAAAACAATGTATGATAAAACACGAAGTGTCTAGGGTAAAATACTTTTTACTTGATTTCTATTTCTTATTGTTTCTTTATTTCTTATACTTTACTGTACTTAATAATATTAATAAAAAAATCATTGGAAATTAAATATATTACTTTCTGATATATAATAATTGTAATATTATTTTTTTAATATTATTTTTTTAATAGACCGACCTATTTTTTGTATATATTATATTCAGTATTGCTTATTTACATATTTGTGTTTAATTTTATTATTTGTAAATAAAATTCTTATTTTAAGTAATTATTTTATTTATTTTTAAGATATTTTTATTGTGTTATTTCTTAATGAAATTTTTTTCATATTATATATTTATTTATTTATTTTTTAATATTTTCTTTTTATTTGATTTATTTATAAACTATTAAACCAGTACCTTTTTAATCATTTAATTTATTTTTATTTATTATTTAGCATTTTTCTGGCACTGCGGCCTTTTCAAAAATAATTTGTAAGAAGAAACTCGAAGCTATTTTTCAAAGTATCTATATACAAACATAGCCAGCATACAAGCACCCACGGACCAACACACACACACAAACACACATACACACACCAACACACACATCATCTAAACAGTAGCTGCGCTTAGTGAAGCTTAAATCCGAGTAACAATCTGCCAGGAATCGAGCAATGTGCAATTTTCAGCCTCATTGCACATCGCTCGCCAGCTAAGCCAGCGTCGAGCAAATAAAACGACGCAGGCGATAGGTGGTGCAGTGGTGCGACAGTATCGCGGCGGTGGCTGGAAACAATTGACAGTTGGCTGCATTTGCAACCGCACTTAATTAGCAGTTAATGATGCTGATTAACACGCATTATGGCCAGGCCGACACCGCCACCGCCCCCACCCCCTGCCCATGCTGGGCTGCGAGCTGTCCAGGTATACAATGTGTAATCAATGCTTTAGGCGCCGTGGATTACAAAATAATCGCACGGCAGACAAGCGCCAGGCCCGCCCAAAAGTATGCAAAAAGAAATGAACTCGGCCCAAAAAATAAAAATACAAAAAGTTAAATGCGACGCGTATAAAAAGTGGTGAGGCCTACGGAAGGTGAGCGAGGCAGCTGGTGGAGCTTACAACAAGCGCAGCTTACCATTGTATCGAATACACACACACACTGACACATACACACTCACACAATATTGACAGTATCTACGTAATTATATCAGCAGTGGCAGCCGCACGGCCACTGAAATATGCAACGTTGACTGCCTTCATTTATTTTTACTGTTACTGCATATTGGGGCGGCGATTCGATGTGCGGAATATCGCTGCCCATTTTACACCTGTACCACCCGACCCACCCGGCTCAGCCGAACCACTCGAGCACTTCATTTGCAGCATTAATTTGTCGCGCGTTGATTTATCTCGCGAAATATACGGAAATACGAGCACATAACACCACGAGCCGGCCTGTAGCTGGAAGGAGACTTGCCTGAATTTATGATCTGGCAGTCGCCGGGCATTAAAAAATGTTAAAATCGATTGTTAAGCGTTGTCAGCTGTTGAAGAGTTGGCATGCCGTTGGGTCAATGCATTTTAATCCAGTTGAATGCGTTTTAAATAAATATATTTGCCATCAACTCTGCAACTATGGCGCATTCAAGCACGAGAGCTGACAGAACACGCGTAAGTGTGGCTGACCTTGAAGGCAGTTAGATCAACGTAAAGGCGGAAGCCGAATGCCAAATATTAGATTTATGTATTAGAAAAGCAACTCAGAAGGCTCGAGCCTCATTTAATTAATCGGTAAAGATGTTAGTCTGAAGTGAAACGTGAATATGGAAATGAACTACTTAATGAACTCCCAGTTTATAAGAGCTAAATATTTATTTAGCCAAAGTGGGGAGCACATTAGAAACCAAATTATTTAATAGCTAACTTGTTCTAAGGCGCAAACAAGTTCTATTGCATTTCGATGAACCACTTCTAATTTGAACAGAGTTAGCCAAATACCAATATCTAAATATTGATATCATAAAGGAACCAGTTCAATTGGAAAAAGACATTTTAATTACAAATAATTTTTTTCAACTTCTAAATTGAGTTGAAACATTTCTTTATTTATAGACAGCTAAAGCTCAAATAAAATGGCAATTGAGACAAAAAAGTTGATTGTTTCGAATCGCTTCGAAACTGAACTGTGCTAATCGGATTAAAGAAGCAAAAGAAGACAACAAGTGCAGGAAATGTAAGGAACACATTTCAATGCGATTGCATTATGATTTGAAATTTCTCTTCTCAATTTGTAGTTTCAACAATATTGCTTTGTTATTCTTTAAAGCACTGCGTTCCCGACCAATATAGAAAATGTTATTATTTTTTTTCTATTGATCGTTTCAAACTCCCGCTCAAATAGTTGTGTGCCGTCAATTTTTATACATTGCTGTGCAAGCTGCGTTGCAACTTCAACTATTAACAGACAAACAACTAAATTACGTATACGCAATGTTGCATGACGCGCTCTGAGCTGTGTGTGTGCGTGTGCGTGTGTATGGGTGTGTATGGGTGTGTGTGTTGAAAACCTTTCGCAGTTTCAGTTTATTGGCGCTGCGAAAATAATGGAATTGTCAAAATAAAAGCGGGTTAAGTGCTTGTTTGCATAGCTTTTGTAGTTTTTGTTTGACACAAGCTGCAAATATATTCGAATCACAATGGCGACACAGCAGCAGAAACTCAAACAATAACAACAACAGTCAAGTGAGAGACGCCCAAATGTCTCAAAAGCTTTTTGGCAGAACTGAAGCGTTGACAATCCAAAAAGTGGCTCATTGGCAATTTGTGTAATTAAAAGAGCGACTAAAACATGTCCTTCACTGCATATCCTCACACACACGTACAAACCGTTCTCCCACACACACATACTCAACTATTTGGCTACTAATTTGTTTTTCATGCTGACACTTGGAACGAGTAGTTGGCGTCGGTCTCACTGGCGACACGCTCAACTTTTGACCTGCAACTGAACGCATATTCAGCTGCGCATTTATAACGCATTCATAGATAAATGTGCATATATTTATATATATATATATATATATATATGTATGCAGATCTGTATCTACAACGCAACTCTGAGCCATAAAACGACAGTGACAACAATGAGCCACTCGCTTGGTAGCGAAACGAATTTGGCAAGACGCAGCTCTTTCGGCTCTTTTGTCCAATAGCCACTCGTCTGCCTTATCAAAGCTAATTAAGCAAACTAATCACAACAACTTTTTGGTTTGCCCATCAACTCAGCTCAGATCAGCTCAACTCAACTCAACTTAGCGCTGCTCTGCCCCACACAGTGAGTAGTTGACTTTGATAAAAATAAAGCATTTATGTTTTATGCAAATTACATTTAAATTCAAGCAATGGCAAAAAAGTGAGAATATCATTCAAACTTGACCATAGCCGACTGTCAAACACACTTTACTTGGAAGACAAGCTGGTATTACGGAAATATTTTTGTTATCTAGCAAATAAAATAAATATATAATAGACATACATTTTTAAATAATATTTAACAAACAAACGAAGTTTAATGGATACTAAAAAATATTTATAAAATATATAAAAACAAAAATTAAATATATAAATGCAGCAGATAAAGCTGAGATTATTAGTTAGTTGAATGTAAAAAAATATATTTTTATTTTATGCTTATTGAAAATAAAATTAAAATTATATATATATATATGTTGTTTCATATTTCATCTAATGAAATCAAACGTCTTTAAGTCGAACAATAAAATAATCAATTATTTATCGTTGCCCTAAATATGTATTGTCTAAAGTCATATTGATTAACATATTTGATAGTGGCTACCGTGGGACCCCACCAGCCCGATTTGATACTCTACAGTCCATTAGTCTTTGTGTAACCAGCTGTTGACAATAAAATTCTGGTTTCTGGCATATTAAGAGCCTATAATTTGAGCAATTCTTCATCGAGTTCGTCTGCGGACGGTCTAGCACCGCGCACAATTTCATATAAATACTACCGCCTCGGATTGTCCAAGATATACTAGCAACTGATACGTTCCAAGTAACATACTCAAAAATGGTAGGTGCAAGAGTTGGCCACGTCAACAGCAGCGGCTTACTAAGGAGCAATCCTTTAAATTTTGCCTTGCAGAAACTTCTTGTTGTCGCCTGTGCCCTTTTGGCTGTTGCCCACGCTGATGTGTCGCATCTGTCGGGATACAACTATGCTCCGGCGGCACCAGCCCCAGCTCCTCTGGCACCAGCTCCTTTGCCCGTGAAGGTTGCTCCTGCTCCACTGCCCGTGAACTCCTACATTCCTCCAGCAGCCGCACCAGCACCTATTGGCCTGCCCGCTCCAGCTCCAATCAACGTTGATGCTCCAGCTCCCATCAACCTTGGTCCGGCTCCAACCAACCAGTACATTCCTCCAGCAGCTCCCGCTCCAGCACCAGCTCCCATCCGTGTTGCTCCTGCTCCAGTCCCAGCCCCAGCCCCTGCCCCAATCTCTCTCCCAGCCCCCGCTCCAGTCAACCAATACATCCCTCCTGCAGGTCCCGCTCCAGCTCCCATCCGTGCTGCCCCCGCCCCAGTGCTGGCTCCTCAGCCCTCTCTGGAGGAGATCGAGCCCATCTCTGCTGATGGATACCGCTACAAGACCGTGCGTCGTGTCATCCGTCGCCGCCTTTAAGCAGTAATCGAACGTCCTAAGTCTTAGGCGATGACAAGAAGTTGATTCAATAAAATAAAAATATTAAGTTTGTAAAAAGAAACAATTCTTTTATTTCTCTAAAAAGGCGGAACTAAAAAGCATATGTAGATAGAGTTTACTGTACCCTGTGCTTATAAAGCGACTATTCAGTTCAACAGCTTCTATTGTTGGAAGCGGCTTGGTATTCATTTCATTTAACAGACTTGCTAGACTTTTATAAATAGGATTTCGTTTTTTTTTGCAAACTAAAAAATGCGGAAATAATTCAAAAGATTTAGATGAATATGAACAAAATATAAATAAATTCAGATTTGAGATTTACGAGAATTTATTTGCCAGACACACGTGGCCAAATATAAGAATGAATATTTTAATAAATTTATGCGCCTTAATGAGCAACAACAATATAAAAATTGTTTACACCTTTACAGATTACCTGTCAGAGATAGGTCTTAGCTTGTATTTGAAAACGAATTGATTTTCTATTTCAAGCATATTTAAGACATTTATGTAATTCAAGTTGAGATCTAAAATAATTTATTTTCATATTTAAACTAACCTAGTCAAGAGTCTTCAAGTAAACCTAATACCTTTATATGATCAAAGTTAAGATAGCAATTATATCTATATCAATGTAACTATCCAAAGATCTTTTCAGGTCTATATAATGAAAGTTAAGATAGATTGAAGCACGTCTGAGAATTTCTACAAGCAATTTTTGATACTAATCAAAATGCTTCCAGATGTCACTTTTACATAACTAATGTATAGTTAGTTCTATTCGAAGAAAAAGGATCAGCTTTATAGAATTTCATTAGATATTCTAATGTACCTTGACAAAGTCCATCGGCTATTAGATCCTAACTTATGATCCTATGCCTTACGAGCTGGGATTCCGCAGCTGTGCCTTCAATTCCAATTTACATTTGATTTCCTTATTTAGAAAAGATTCGATTTATGCTTTGGAACAGTTGCCAGCATATTAACACTTTCATTATGTAAGAAATAAATCCGAATTGATAGTCATTTTATGCAAACAGCTGGGAGACCAAAGCCAATTAATATGCCAAGCATTCGATGCGAAAACAAATTAGGCAAATGCGATTCTCGGCGATTAACTAACTGACTTAGAAGAAGAAGACATGGCTGAGCAAGAGGAAAACAGCAAGAAAGAAAAAAACAATTGATGTTATTAATTTTGGCATTAACTTGAAATGATGCCATAGGCCAGAAGTTCATTTGCGGGACATAAATCAGCATTGAGCGATGAAAACAAGAAAGAAAAAACCGAGCAACAAGCTGAAATCAAAATTAAGACACAAGAAACATTGAAAACTAAAGCCATTATAATATAAATAATGATAATAAAAATTAAAAAAAAAAAACTAGTTTTTATATCAATGACGAAATTTAGATACTCTATTATAGATTGTAGCATAATTATAAAAATTGAAATGATTGCAAAAATAATTAATTTAAATATTATTTATTAAACATAAATTTATATATTACAGAAATGGTTACATTATATATATATATTTAACTATATTTTATATTATATTATAAAGATACTATTCGCATACCCTATCATTGATTAATGTCTTTGCTTCTGGCGTCCTCAGCAATTCGTCTTGGCGCACCAAGCTTAGGACAGGAAGAGATACTCGACACATATTTCCTGAGCAGCTGGCCAATTTATTTTGTCTTTTTTTATGCAGATAATTCGACTAATAACCATAACAAAAAGGCATTATGCCAAAAACAAGACAAATATTGTGAGCAAAATGAAAATGGAGGCGAAGAAGAAGAAGCAGAAGCAGAAACATCGCTAATAGAGCGAGTGAGCCACGAACATACATCACACTCAAGAGCCCCAAAGCGCCAAATGGCCAAATGGCCAAATGGGGGAAACAAGTAGAGACCCCACTCAAAGATAAAAAGAAAAACAATAACTAACGACATTCATATGTAAATGGTCAAAATTTGCTTTGATCTAATTAAAGAAGCTTGCGGTCCGCGGAGCTGACCCCACTCAGTGCATTGTCTGAAGGTGTCGGAGTACGAAACCCGTTCAGCCACTTGGCATTGGCAGCCCCTCTTCTGCGAGCTGGCTCGAACCGAAGCCATATCTCAAGCATAGCTCGTGGCACTTGAGGGCACGCGGTTAGCGTGGCATCACGCAATTAATTTGCGGCTGCAGCGGATGCTGCTGCTTCAAGCTGCGACTGCTGCGTCTGCTGACCCGAGCTTTATCTTTGAGCTATAAAACCCGCAGCGAGCTAAGAGTTCAGCAGTACACAGCGAGGAGCGATCCAAGCAGCAACCACAGCAATAAGCCAATCCAAGCCAATATGGTAAATAGCCCCAGTGGATCATTAAAGGACGATGATTAAACCCTTGTATCTATTGGTTTCTAGAAATTCCTGATCATAGCCGCCGCCTTCTTGGCCTGCGCCTTGGCAGATGTTTCGGAGCTGGCCCAGCAGGGCTACGATTATCCGCAGCCGGCGGCACCAGCACCAGCACCTGCCTACATACCACCACCGCCACCACCACCACCACCGGCGCCAAAGAACACCTACATTCCTCCTCCTCCCGCGCCGGCCAAGGCCTACATCCCACCCCCAGCTGCACCGGCCAAGGCCTACATCCCACCCCCTCCACCACCACCACCAGCACCCAAGAACACCTACATTCCCCCACCTGCAGCTCCCGCCAACGCCTACATTCCACCCGCGCCACCCGCCCCCATCCAGGCTGAGCAGCCCATCATTGAGGAGATCGAGCAGCCCGCTCAGGATGGCTACCGCTACAAAACTGTTCGTCGTCGTGTCTTCCGCCACCGCAACTAAGCTCCGCCGCCCTGGAAGAATTACGACTTTTGTTGACTAATGTGATAAAGAGGAATCGAAGAGAATCGACCGAAAAATGTTTTGTTAAGAAAAAAATAGAATTGTTTAAACAAAAAGTCAAGTAATAAAATTTCAAAATATTTCTAAAGCAAATTTATAGTAAATCTATCTCTTCTTATCTACATAGGAATTGTGGCTTATATATATATTTATATCTGTTTATTATGCAGTTTATCTGCTCATCTAACTTCAAATTGATTTTTATTTTAACAAACATTTGTGCTCCAAACATTATATTTATTGTTTATATCCTATAAAATTGCTCTGTGAAATTAATATTTCAGTTCAGATAGCAGAGCATTAAAAGCTCAAGCTTAAGGAGCTCTCTTTAAAGAGTAAAAAGAGTTTCTCATGCCTGAAAGTTATGCTGAAAATCGATTGGAAAACATATTGAGCAGTCCAACAGGTCGACCCTTAGTAAGTTTTGGCAATCAGCTAAATTCAACTCAGTTTGCTTCCACTTAACATGCCGCAGCCCATTGCCATAGCCAGTGGCCATGCCCATCCAATATGTTTACCACAAAAACCCTAAACAAACCGCTCAAGGCCAAACACATGTCACCGGCATTCAGAGCGCCGTCGTCTCTATCGTCGGTGCAGTAAAAAGGTCAATTCAACGACCAGACCAATTTGAGCTGCTCAAAAAAAAGCGAAAAAAAAATGGAAAAATGGAAAAATGGCTAAAGCATTGAATGCCACAAAAGGAGGCAGAGAAGAGAACATGGAGCCCAAGAAAAACAAACAAATCCTCGATTACAAAATCAAACAGCATGAGGCAAAAATTTGCTAAAAAACAAAGGAGCCAACTTGTTGGCCATAATGCAAAATGGGAAAATATGCGAATTCAATAAACTGCTCGCCAGCCCGAAAGGACATGGGCTAGTAAAGGAGGCGTGGAAGGAGCCAGCAACTGCTAGTCCTGCCACAGTTGATACCCTGTCTCCATCTCTGCCTGCCTCTCTCTCTCTCGCACTCTGTCAATCGTTTGGTCTCTGTCTGCCTCGAAACCCTTACAAGTCATTTGGCCAATTGCTGTTGACTTTGCTCTAAAACGAATTTCCTTTGGCCAACGCTGCGCACGTCGCCAATGGTTGCCACATATTTTGCACTCAGTTTATGCTGATGACATGCAAGTGGCGAAATTATTTTGCGCTCGTGCATTTTCACTGCCAGTCGAATAATGAGCAGCAAACAAGCTGACAGCACGGCACAGGACAATGGCGACTGCCAGCCAACAAAAGGGACTACTTGACTAGCAGACACCCAGCACAGGCTGTGCCACAGACTGCTCCTATTTATGAGCACAGTTATTAATGCGCCCTTCAATTATGGCCACATAACTACTGAACGATATAGAAGCAGGCTTAAGCCATAATCAGGCAGCTGAAGCTAGCCTCGAGTGTGGACTTTGATAGCTGTACTTTGGCTACTTTGGCAAGATTTGGCTCAACTATTATATAATAATAACAAATTAAACTTTGATCTTTCAACAAGCCTTTATGGAACATGCTCTAAAGAATTCGATTTCAAATAAAACGAGATAGGAACTTATTGGTTCTAGTATAAAGTCAATAATATTTACACAAATATTTAAGATCACGTATTAGGCTTAGTTTAACGCTTAAGCAAACTAATTTTGCCACTTTGTATGTCAAATAAAAATCTATATAATTAGCGTGTTTCACACAAATCTAGATACTTGATGCTTTATACAATTTTAAATGCCTTTGGTATAGGAAATGTTATGTTATTCACAGCAGCATCTTGACAATGTATGTCCTTATATGGCGGGTCTTATGCCCTGTCTTGTGCCCTGTTCATCCTTTGCTGCTCATTTGCCCAGACCTCAGCCTCAGTCTCAGTCTCAGCCGCAGCCGCAGCCGCCTTTGTCGCCATCGTGTGACATACGAAAATTCCCCATGGAGTCTATCAACAGTTGATAAAGCAAATGTGAGTGGTGTGTGTGGGTGTGCGTGGGTGTGTGGGTGTCTCTGCTGGTAAGTGTGAGCTATCCCATGCTCGTGCCTCTGCTTAGCATTGGCATTTTGCTTTTGCTTTTGGTATGTACATAAGTTTATTATTTTGAAGGTAATTGGATTTGTGTTGCAGCAGAGGCAGTCGAGAAGCCAGAGACCCCGTCCTCGTCCAGGGAAGTCGCATATTCTGCGGCAAAATAATAAGAAAATATATATTTTTTCTTGCGCGCCGACAAGGACAATGAACTTCGAAGAAAAATACGCTGAAGATGTTGCTGGTGTAGGAGTTGGAGACGGAGAGTGGCGCACATCCCAATCGCAATTGCAACATATGCTCGAGCCAGGGAGTCGCTGCCAGCATTGGACATTGGCCAGCAGCAGCAGCAGCAGAAGCTGGAGCAGCGCCTCGAACCGTGCCATTGTTTGCAGTCGTAATTGTTTTCCTAATGGATAAAGTCTATAAATTTCTGTGCACGACGCACAGCCAAATGCGAAATATGTCACGAATGTTAAGCGTTTTATAAACGACAACTACGACCAAGAACGAGATGTGGATGCTGCGGCGACTTATCGATGCCAGCCACTCAGCGGGTGTGCAGTGTGCAGAGTGGACTCTGCCATGGCGTCCCCCCCATGAATACAAAATTGAGTTGTTTATGGAGCTGACACTAAAATCTTTGCAGAATGTCTAGCAGAAGTTAGTTGACATCAAATATACAATTGTTTGGGACATATTCATGACCTGCGCCTGCTGCACCACAGCTACACAATGAAACTCCATTACATTTGGTTACTTATAGCTGCTATAAAGTAGTTTAATGGTTGACTTGGGGCTAAGCCTCGCTCTTGTATTTTGTTTGTGCTTCAAATCCAGTCAAGGAATATTCCTTTCAGCTTGGCCATAAATCAATAACAAATTGCAATAATTTTCTAGTTTTTTTTTCTTTCTTTTTATTACTTATATTGTAGCTAGTTTATCCTGTTGAGGATCCTTTGATGGGCATCAAAGAAAACACAAGATAAGAACAGTTTTTCCTTTCAGTTTCAATCTCCTTTTCAATCTGTATTTGCTTTGTGCTTGCGCCCAACACACTCGAGTCCAGCGATAACAACAAATAACAAATGAGACTCTCCTCGAATCGGCGCTGCAGTCAGCTCCATTTAGTTGCGATGACGGAAGACCCGGCGACGCACAGTCTTGTAGCGATAGCCATCCTGAGCGGGCTGCTCGATCTCCTCGAGCACGGGCTCGGCGACAGCTGGTGGGATGTACTCCGGCTGGGGTGCTGCTGGTGCGGGTGGAATGTACTCGGGTGCAGGTGGTGCAGGCGGAATGTACTCGGGTGCAGGTGGTGCGGGCGGAATGTAGGACTCAACGGGTGCTGGCTCAGGCGCCAGCGGTGCCGGCTGCGGGTAGTCATAGCCGGGCTGGGCCAGCTCCGAGACATCGGCAAGAGCACAAGCCAGGAAGGCGACGGCGATGATCACGAATTTCTGTAAGGCAAAGGCATTAGTAACAGCTGTTATATCGAGGAGTCACTGTGACTGCCTACCATAGTGTGGCTTGTTGTTTGAGCTACGATCGGCAGACGCAGTGTGTTGTGACTGTTGAGCGGTGCAACTCTTTATATAGTTAATGTTTAGATCGCTGAATCTGTCAGTGCCAGCGGCGACGGAAGCTGCCAAATGACTTTGAACTTGATCGGCCCGCAACTCGCGTTCGCGATCGCCCCCGTTCTTGGCGCCTCTCTCTGCCTCTAGTCAGATTCGTCAATCCAATCACTAGCTACACCATGTGCGACTCGCCGACCGGTTTTATGCGGCCGACCTGTGGATGCACACAGCTCGCTGAATCGATGGGGCATTGATCACGTTTTGTCTTTAGCCTTATCTTTGTCTTTGTCTCTGCATCATTTCGAGTGGACAGCAGCCAATTGATTTAGGCGACTTAGAGGTCAGCAAAATGCGCTTTGTGTTTGAAATGTGGCCCTTTAATTGATTTGCCTCTGCCTCTCTGTGACGGGGCCACGCGCCAAGCGACTGACTCAAGCGACCCTGAAGCGACCCCCGCTAGAAAACCTTTTTTTTTCGTTTTGTTATTATGTTTGTTGCTGTTGTTGTTTTTTCTTTTTTTGGTAGCTTGTAGCGTGCGCTTGATTAAAACCAAATTTAATTTGCATTTTGTTTGAGACCGAACCAAACTTCAATTACTGTCCAACCGAACAGCAGAGCGGGAAAGCAGAGATTGCTCCACTCTATGCAGTCCCTGGCTGGGGCACAGTGATTCGAGATAGCGAACTGATATTCCGAGTAAGTACATCCATTTTATTTACTCTAATATATTTGGAGTACATTTTCAGACTTGAATAGCAGAAAACTTTTGTGTCTTTTTTTTCCTGCGCTCAAGTCTTTGACTTGAGTTGCTCGCCGTAGTTGCTCCACTGTGCAGCAGTACCTGATAATATTGCAAATAATTTTCTTTTTTATGTTGATTATTTTTTGGAGTCTTGCGCCGCTACTCTCCAGTCCCAGTCCGCGCTACCCCGAACACCTGCACACACCTTGGCATTCGTATCGCGTTTCTTTACAACATTTTTATGAACTTTGTTTTTCATTTGTTCGTTTCCGTTTTCCCAACCTCATCATATTTTAATGTGGAGGATTTCGCGGCGGCATCTTTGGCTTTTTCTATGCTTCAAATTATTCTCAAGAGATTTGCAGTTCGTGATTTTAGCGGGCAATTTTATTGGTCGCCGTCTGCCCGCTGCTGCCCTTTGAGGGGTGAAAACCTGCTAGGGGATGGGTCTTGCCCGGCTGCAATTGCAGCTGATGTCGTGGCAAAGGGTGCGATGGCTGCATGAACATATCAACTGGCTTTTAATTAACGCCCTTAAGTCCGCATTAACTTGGCCTAAGCCGTTTTTAATTTCTCAGCTGCCCGCCGGCTCACATAATTGAATTAGCCAAAGCAGCAACAGCAGCAGCAGCAGTAGTCACCGCAGCCGCAGCAGACTCTGGACACAATGTGAACCTTATGCGCTGTTATCCTTGATAATTAATTTAGACGCAATTGTCCAGTAGCCAAAGTCTGGTCCACAGAGAGAGAGAGATTGCGGAGAGGGGGAAGAATGTGTGTGTCCAGTGCAATTCGGACCCAAAATCCTTTGCAGTTTCACGTCACGTGCTTGCGATTTTTTCCATAAATCGCCGGGATGGACAGCTTTGTCCAGCTGCCGAGTCTCCGCAAAGAAAAGCCAACGTAGTGCAGCGCAGCCAAGCACCTTTCTTGCTTTTTTATAGCAAAAAAAATGAAGCGCCAGTTTTGACAACGCACGTCCCAGCCAAAGGCGGAGGCGGCGGGACAGGTAGTGGAAGATGCACACGTAGCACGCATTGGAAATGCGTCAAGTTACCTGACGCAGTGGCAGCACCTTTTAGACGAGCCATGAAATCGAGTTTACAGCTTACTAGCCCCACATAGAGGGGCTGACAACAATACGAATACGAATAGGAATACGAATACGAATGTGAGTGCCACTGCCAACGAGTACTCGTCGTCCTAGTCTAACTGTACTCTGTAGCAGGCAACCATAATTAAATGTCAAAAATGACGCTACGTGCGATGCAAGCTAAGTGGCCCCAAGCAAGCCGGAGGCCAAAGTTCAACAAAAAATGCCAAAGAAAAGAAGTTTTCTATTTCTTTCTTCCTCATTTTTCCTTTTTTGGCAGGCCTTACTCGGAATCAAATAAACATATATATATATATAAATATATATGTGTATATTTGTATGTATGTACTTATTTAGTAACTATGTGTGAATGTCAAATACTTAACTTTCTACATAAAATGGATAACTGTATATACAAGTTAGTGTAAGCTGTCGGCAGTAAAAAGTTTTATCTGAATATGTGCTTCCGTTACTCAAAATGGTTTTAATAAAACTTAATATAATATATAAATAAGAACATGTACTTAAACAAATTATCACAAACCTTAGCAATAACTTCATATGTATTTATTTGGAATATACATTTTGATAGAATATAATTATTAAATATATTTGTTTTCTTCTACAATCCATCATTGCATACTTTTTATCTTTTACATTTTGATGCGGTTCATTAATATATCACTGCATACTTTTAGGCATGTCATATAAACGAGATACAGATCTGCGCAACACTCCTCGTTTACCCATGTGCAGAGTTTTCACCTAAGGGGACACGCTGCATTTTGCCAATAAATATTTAGAAGCTTAGCTTAAACTTTCCGTTACCAACAATACCTTTTAGTAATCGCTTAATTTAGTGCCCAAACTATGCACAAAAAGAAATCCTTAAAAAGTGCACAGAAAGTAATTTAACATTGCCCTTTTTCATCTCTCAGCTTTCTCCCACTATCGCGTACGCCATTTGCAAACTCTGAAAAAACTAGCTCGAAACTATTTAAAGTTTTTTCACGTTTTTTGTTGGCCCTCGAATATGTATCGTACTTTTATTGCCATTCTCTATTATTTGTTGCCCTTGTTGCATGTGCATATTATGCCCTGGAGGCATAGCAACATGGGCAGACGCTCTTGTGCCCAGGCAACAACAAGCAATGCTTATGAAAAAGTACTTAACGTGCACAAAACTTATGTGCCAAGAGAGCTCCTCCTCAGTCCGCCCGGCTTCAAGCTGAGAAAGTTACGACATACAAATTCTTCATTGGTTACAACAGTACGGAGACGGAAGGTAAATAACCACCCCTACTGGCGGATGTATGGGAACTCACAGTGGCATCCCCTCATGAAATATTGCCAATAACACATACTCGCAAATGCAGAGTTGTTGTGACTGCCAACCAAGTCGCCACACAGCCTCACGTAAAAAACTTCGTAATGCTAAGCGAATTTTTCAATAGATGAAAACTTCCAACGCGCACTAACTTATACAAAATAACAAAGCACAACTTGAGTTACGCTGCGTAAGCTACTGCACTCAACTCCAAATCTACCATCGAATTTATTCATTAAAAAAGTTTTAGAACCACTCAGAATTCGTTCTATTCGTGTTACCGAGCGATCATCGAAGCGCAATGTCCACCATACGTGCAACAAGTCGCAACGCAAAGGCCATTACACAAATCCTCACGCTGCCGAATAAAACGATTCTTCTCATCAACGTGGGTATGGTATGCTTTCAGTTTGTGTGAAAGTAAGCGAAGACTGACTACAGAAATGATCCTGTGAAGTATAGTCTTAATTTTTCAATGCCCACCAAACCGCTCTACACGCTGCGCTACCAAAAACCTGTTGAGAATTATAAGTGCTCATGCAGACAAAAGTAACAGACAGTTTTTCCCGTGTATTCGTCAACACCTATATCATTAGTGAGCGCTGCTAGATGAAAGATCACTTGCCGATTCCGATTAAATGTCGTCATCGACAATACATTTATATTTTAAATTAAAATATAAAATAAAAACCACTTGGCAGCGGTGGGATTCGAACCCACGCCTCCGAGGAGACTGGTGCCTTAAACCAGCGCCTTAGACCGCTCGGCCACGCTACCATGTCTGGTCTCGCCGTCCAATATTCTAATACACTAAAGTAAGCTATGTTGCTTATCAAGTAAATTTCAATTTGAATATATTTCAATGAATAAAATTTGTTTCGCCTGAGGAACTAAGTGAAATTCAATAAACCTCTTCGATCGCCTTAATTCTTACAATGCACACACATTTTCCAATTTAGCGCTGTCAGCTGAACTATTTTGTTAACTCATTCATTAAACGCACAACTTGAATTTCAATTGCGCCTGTTGTTTTTCGCCTGGAATGTGACTGGCTCACTGCTGACTGGCTGCAATAAGCCTTTGTTCGAGTTCTTTGTCAATTGTTTGAAATTTAATTTGAGGCTCTCTCGGACATGTCGCAGGAAATTGGTGGGATTCATTGGATGCCAGGTAATGCCCACAATTAACTCCATTAGCATTTTGCTCCACTCGCTGCCCAATTGCAGTTCTATGTGTCTGGCTACACCTGAATCCTGGATCTGGGTACGTGATTTTTTACCATTTTACACGCGTATGGCATTAAAAATGTACAGCTTTGCAATTATTTGCATGCCGAGCGCCTTAAATTTGTGCAGAAATTCACGTGTGGCAAAATATTTTGTATGCTGACGCGGCTGCGGCTGCTTTTTGCAGACCTTTGCTGGCATTTTAATGAAACCGCAAATGTTGCCAGTGCCACGCCCACACCCAAACCCTTTGACTACTCTCGTCCGCCCAACGACCTGGAGACTGGAGGCTGGAGACCGGAGGCTGGAGAGAACAACAGCAAGGAAAACCGCAGACTTTGTTTTTGTTTTGCTTATCGCCCGTGCAAAGATTTTTATTGCAATTTTCTAATTTCATTGCGGATGTTCCGTCGACTGCCTTTTCGCCCATATGTATGAAATTCCCATAGAGAGTTTCGCCTGTCGCCGGCTTCAGTTTATGGCTGCAACAACCGACAAGAAGAATAACAAAAGCGACGGCAAATTGTTGCTGCGGTTGCACATGTGAGGGCTTGCCCCTTCAGCGTCACGCATAAATTCGCATTTCCATTTGAATTTTAAACGCATTTCCAAGACTCGTCTCAGCAAAAATCGCTGACAGTTTTGCAAAAATAATAAACATTTTAATACAGAACTCTTCCATATGTATATGTATGGATGTATTGAAGAATATAGCAAAGAAATTGATTTTGTTCTATTGGCATATTCCCACAATGAGCGCATTTATATGCGCCGCAGCGTGGCAAGCAAAATAAACTCAAGGTGTTGCCTCGTGCGCCACCCCTAAGAATAGTTGAACATCGAAATCGAAAAATTACTGCGGCGGCCTCTGTTACGTCATCGGCAAGCGAATACTGCGAAGCTAGGCAACGAAAATTCCAGAGAGCACGAGCGCATGGCATTATACCTATTCTCTCTGTGTGATTCTCTCTTATACAGACTTTGACACGGGACCATCAAATGGTAGCGTGGCCGAGCGGTCTAAGGCGCTGGTTTAAGGCACCAGTCTCCTCGGAGGCGTGGGTTCGAATCCCACCGCTGCCAAGTGCTTATTCTTTTAAAAAATTTTATTTATTAAATAATAAATATTTTAATTTATCTTTTCAAAGATAACATTTCAAGTTAATCGTTCTCAGTCGAATTCAAACAATAATACGGTACGATTCGGTTCACTAATGCATGTAGTGAACAACGACGGCGTAGCAACCACCGTGTTCGTTTCTTTTCTCTGTGCGCGCACTTATAATTCTCAACAGGTTTTTGGTAGCGCAACGTGTAGAGCGGTTTGGTGGGCATTGAAAAATTAAGACTATACTTCACAGGATCATTTCTGTAGTCAGTCTTCGCTTACTTTCACACAAACTGAAAGCATACCATACCCACGTTGATGAGAAGAATCGTTTTATTCGGCAGCGTGAGGATTTGTGTAATGGCCTTTGCGTTGCGACTTGTTGCACGTATGGTGGACATTGCGCTTCGATGATCGCTCGGTAACACGAATAGAACGAATTCTGAGTGGTTCTACAACTTTTTTAACGAATAAATATGGTGACAAGAGGGGAAAGGAATGGGAATAGTCGGATCTAGAGTTAAATGTATGTCTGGAAGTGTTTTATTGCAGAGCAATTAAAAACGTTCAAAGCACTTGACGCTATTGTTGCTGTGTTGAAGGGCTTTCACGTCGTTTCATGGGAGTGGCGGAGGTGCATTTAGTAAAGTGTGAATTTTACATTTTAGTTTTGAAGTGGTGGGCTTCGTGCTCAAGGTGCTGTGCTGCTGGACGGGGACAGATAATTCTGGCTCTCATAAAACAGCAATTGGAGACTACTTTTTTGCTAATTGGAAGCGCACTTTTTTAATTACTTAGCGCTGCTTGTGACACTAACCTTTGCTTAAGTGTGGTCGGACGTGTTTTTGGCTTAATTTAGATCAACACAAATTATCTATCGAGTTATAAAATAAGTACCTTTCATTATCATATGAAAGATTAATAATATCTTTTTCAAGTCGAATATTCAATTGCCAAAAAGATTTATAACATAAAATTATACACAATTGACGTGAATTTCTTGGAAATTGTATATTTAGAATGTATGTTTAGAATGGCGTGTCCTGCTATAATAGTGGCAAAATTTCATATATGTTCCTAGAGAGAAACGTGAATTGTTATCGCTGATAATTGCCTTCATTTCGCACGCAACAACAATTAAGTGTTGCCCATGGCTATAGCTTTCAGCCCGATCGTTATTTGTACTTGCATATGGGACATAGCCGGCAGGACACGTAGACGAAATGTATTGAAGCAATGAAGAGCAAATACGAGTTGGAGTGGGAGTGGGAGTGGGAGTGGGATTGAGACTAGGAGTGTTTCGAGTACTCACATAAAAATACATTTGAAATGTGGCAAGAGTAAACCGCAGCATTGTCAGCAAACATTCATTGAAACATCATCATTATCAACATTATCATCGCCAAACGGCTCGGTTCATGTAGCTGTGGCCGGGCAGGGGAATCGATGCTGTAATTGATGTCTTTGCGACATGTTTCCAAAGTGTTTACGTTGAGAATTACCCAAGTGCCGCAGTGTATAAGTAACCGTGTGTATGTTTGTGTGTGAGTGTAGGTGTGGGTGTGGGAGGACGTGTCACGCCTCTTTGCTAGTTGACAGCCTGCCGTTTACGTGCACTTAATGAAATGTGCCCCAAAATGGAAGCACGTTTCGGGCATCTATTTAATGAGCCTGCAAGCGAAGGCAAAATGCTTTTCCTTCCTCTCCCACCCCAGCCATTTTCCTCTCACAAGACGTTGATGTGAGTGGTGAAATTTTTTAAATGTCGCAAAGTAAATTCAATTTTCATTTCGTCGAATCGGGCGGCAACAGCTGCAGCTGCAGCTGTAGCTGCAGTCGCTGCATTATTCAATGGCACTCAAAGCAAGCGCTCACCTAAAGCTGGCGGTTGATATACCCTATACTCTTGCTACCCGCGCGGCACCCTCTCCGCCAATGCTGCACACCCCTCTCGCCAGCTCAAACCGCATTTTAAAATTCATGTGTACTCTCAACAATGCTCCATGGAAAACAAAATGCGATTAAATGTGTGGAAAATGCCGCAGGATAGACCACAATGGGTTAAGGCAGCGTCTTGCTTGCACATGTGTCCCACAGCTGCTACTGCCACCACGTCCCCATCCTCCTCTTCTCTCAACCGCACATCCCCAATGCCAAAAGCCAAGCACAGACACACGTCGAAGGTGCAAAAATGCGTTAAGCATAACATGCTAATTCCGGTTGCCTGCAGCTTCAATCTTTCAACATCAGCTTCAGCCCCACCGTGCCGCAGGAACATACCTGCCCTGCCCTACCCTGCCCTGCCCTGCTCTGCCCTACTCTCTTGGGACCGCACACTTGGCGTATACGTAATATGAGCGTTTTGTGTGCCATTTGATGCTGAACATTTGCTTTGCAGCCAGTTGGCTTTGTGTTTGCGCCGTGGCAAAGTTTTGCGGTTACTGACTACCCGATGCCCGAGAGGACGTGGCAGCTCCGAACTGGTCAGTGAAAATACAAGAACACCTTTCGAGTCGTTGGAGCTGCAACTGTATGCCTCAACTTCGCTTGAAATTCAAGCTCAAAGCTAAAAGCCTTACGTCTAATGGAAATAACTAACTTCTCTGCACTTACCGCAAATATCTGGAGTATTTTTGGTGTAAATAATACTATGATGCAGCAAATACAAATTGAAATTCAATTAATATATACAATAAATATATAAAATAATATATAAATAAATATATAAATTAAAAAAATAAATATATTAAATAAATAAATATATAAAATAATATATAAATAAATATATAAATTATAGATTAAGTGTGTAGTAACGCTAATAAAACTGCTTAACTTTACAATCTATTTTACAGCTGCTGAATTTATTAATATATATGATAAGACATATATTTATATAAGCAATAAATATATACATATACATTGTTGCAAAATGCATGAAGAACTACAGTTAAGATCTCAGCCCATCAATGGAATAGAAATCGAAGCTTTTCCTCTCGCGCTCTTTCTCTCATCCTCTCTCTCTCTCTCCACGACTGCCCGCCGCGCGCACTGTCTGCTGATTCTCGTTCATGGAAAGCTTTGGCCATAGCACTATGAACTCAGAGCGCTCAGTTGTCGGCAATATGGAGAGCGGTAGACACGGTCCGAAGAGCTTTATGCACAGGCCAGCTGTGCGCATCGCTGCTGTGGTGCTGGTGGTGCACGCGGTCTGCTGGATCGGCTGGAGCGCCATCAATCCAAGTGCAAACAACAATAGTCAAGTGGCCAAAGCTAATGACCCATACGAACGGATTCGAGCCGCAGTCGAGAGCAAAGACTAACAGCTCCCACTGTTCCTAGTGCTCATAGAATATGTTAATTATATAAACAATTTGCCACCTTCGGCTGTGACTACTGCATTTGCATGTGTAACTAAGAAATATTCTGGTAAATGCAAAACTAAATTCACTTAAATTTAGTTAAGCTTGCATTTAGTTAATGTTGTGTTTGAAGATCACGCTAAAAGTCTGTGAAAATTAGCAGTGAAGAAAAAAGCTTTCGGCAACTGTCAAAAAGCTTGCCAGACATTGATAAACAGGTCTCTGGCACATTGGTTCGCAATCCCATTAAAATTGTATTCAAAAAATTTGTGTTTAAAATTTAAACAATAACTAAACTATTCATATTTTCTGTTTGAAATTAATATTTAATGTGATTAATATTCTTTGAGGTCATGAACTTTTATATAAAAAACATAAAAATGTATTATTAATAAATATTAAATCAAATTAAAATATTTATTTTAAATAAAAGTAAATCAAAATAATATTATTAATATATTACTGTTCAAATTAAACTAAAACCACAATAAAAAATTAATAAAAAATAATCAAAAAATAAAATTCTTTATGAAAATTATAAAATTTTTATTTTTAATATATTAATTTGCATATATTAGAAATGGCAGAGAGAAAATGCATTTTTAATTAAATTATATACAACAAGAGTTGACTAAAATTGTTTTTGTTGTTGAGAGAGAATCAGACACAATCGGGTTTTTTTTTTGTTATTGGAAAGTTTTCTATAAAAGCTCACAAAACATTCGCACTGAAAAGCCCATTCGCCACACTGAACAAGCTGTGGCGAAAGCTCTGCTGCCCATCCAACCGTTGTTCTGGCTTTATCAATATAAACATGGGAAAGGTATTTGTTGTAAAGCTTTAAGTGTGGCTCGATCCACAGCTTGGAGAGGCCAAACGGGCTGAGCTTCGTTTAGTTTTGCCATCAACTCTGAACAGGTGCGAAGGCCAAAAAGTAAGCCTCGATATAATGTTTAATATGCTGCTCGGTCGTTCTCTTCTCGTGCTCTGCCTTGGACTTCTGCTGTGCTGCGAGAGCCTGCCCCCGAGATCCTGGGTTAACTCAACGGTGTCTACGATGCAGCATCAAAAGAGCAATTTGACGCCCCAGAGCACAAATTTAAGCACAACTCCCATTCTCCAGAGCATATTCACTCTGCCGGAAATTTGTAGGGAAGGTTTTAAGCTGACCGGAGATCCCCAGCGTTGCCGGAAAATCGCCTAAAGGCCAGCCAGACGATCAAGTTTTTAATCAGATTGCCGTAAATGTGATGTAAACAAAACAAAATAATAACAAAAACAAAAATGTAATAAAGTTACGCATTGCAATTGCAACGCGATTCAATTAATTAGTAGTTCCCAGACAGCAGTGAAAAGTTCCCAATTGCAAAAACAACACATGCATATAATTGGCTAAGGTAGTCACAATAGAATAGTTCAACAATGGTTTATTTATAAAGCTTATGAGTAGCATTTGGGATACGTGCTGCAAGTGATTTGCGAGTATTACGGGCTCCACTTCACTTATCTACTGAGGTCCGACTAGTTGGAGTGTTCAGGCCGGCAGTCGGCAGCGCCCGAGGTATATTCTGAAGCGCGGCGGACACTTGTTTACGCCAGCGGACCGCACTGGACTCGCCGTGGTCATTACACTCAGATATACCAGCAGTACGAGCAGCTGACATAGATATATGCCAGATATTAGCTTCATGATGTGCAAATATCAACAATAAGCCAGCGCGACTTGACTCCAACTGAACAGCTGAACTCAGTGCGTAACCCCTTTTATATAGACGACAACCAAGCGATAGCCCAGTTCACGTATTACTCAAGCCCTCATGTCGCTATCATACCGCTGGGACTAACGACTATCAACAAATTAAGTTGCACGCGCTGAATAGGTACAAGTATTCCCGCACGGGATCGTCGACTGGCGTCTGTACTTTTGGGCAGCTGACAGCGGATATTATTAAGCAAAATATGAAACACATAGCTCCATGTTGCCTTTAAGAGTATTCACTCTTCGACTCCGAGTATCTGTTTTATTAGTTGTGCTTATTGTGGAAGAGTAGCTTATGATGTCATAGTCACAATCGTAGTCACATTCAGTATTCTGTAATGCATTAACTGAATGACGCGCTCGATATGGTGGAAAACTTTGGCTGCATTGGGTTGACGCCCCAACGTTAGGACGTATCTTTCAGCATAAATCAATGTTTACTTAATTTCCAGGAAATCAAATTACTTGCGTCTCATATGTCTGCTAATGTGTCACGAATGAGCGAAAATTGGCTGCACTTGACGAAATATCTAAAAATGATTCATTCTGTTTTTCTATTGTTTATTAGGCTTTATATTAATGTTAAGGCTATAATTGAATTGACGATCTTCATTGAGCAGTTGGCAATTTAGCTTAGACTTCTTCTTAATATAGAATAAAGTTGTTCCTTAAAGTATCGAACAACGAATAATAATTATTATTAATGCTTTTAATTCTTTCCAAAACGGACGCCATTGTCTACAAAAGATAAGAAATTGTAGGAGTCAAAGGCGTTTAATAATTTATTAACAAAGTTCGACTACGAGACACCCTGAATCCCAGCCACAACAATCGTATTGAACTGTCGACATCACAACGAAGATCACAGATCAGAGAATTTGCGTTAATAATTTACATATTCTTATTGCTTGTAGAATATTGAGCTGAAGTGCAGCAAAACAGAGAGATTATCGTGTAAGCAATTAAAAATTTTTATTTAGACTTTAATTTGTAGATCAATTTTAATTGTTTTTCCTTCTTTTTGTACATCTGGGGCCAACCGTATATACTACGCTCCTTAGGTATTTTGAAGTGGCAGCGTCCATTCAAATTTTCTCCATTATCTCGACAGATTGGATTCAATTTAAAGACTTGCGGGAATGTGAGCATTGGAGGATCTATTATAACGGTACTTAAGAGTCCGTCATTTGTTGTTATGGTATTGTCGGTGAAATCAACAATGTACTTCTTATCTTCAAGTGTGTCGTCAATGGCATTAGGCTCTGCGGATTGCTTGTCGATATACAAATGACTATGATAGTAAGCAAAGAATATTAAGTGAGGTAAAATGCAATAAGTCGATTGAAGAAGGGAGATAAGATATAATAGATATATAGGTCTCTCTTCTAGCTTACCCCCACCTTGGCGACTGTACGTTGTCTGAATTGTATTCACGATTAACTTGCGAGTAATGCGACGGCTGGGCTTCAATTAGCTGTGTCATATAAAAGGCAACCAATGCCAGCGAAAAGACTAAAATCTTGGAGCACATCTTCACGAGCTTGTGGTCAAACAATTACTGATACTGATGGTGGAATTTCCGATCGTATGTTCGCATAATATATACGGAGTAACATCGATAACATTATACGATTTATTTTTGTTAAATGTGCACAATCACCAGCAGCTCAAGATGAGCAAATGAAATATATCTGAATATATTTATATTTTCTTATTTTTAAAAAAGCTCGAAAATGACAAGTCGAGGCGAACCCTTGCCGAACTGCGCCCATACACATACACATTCATATATGTATGTATGTATAAAGTATAAAGAAATGTATGCTAAAAGTAAATTGAAAGAGATGATTCAGATCTTGTCTTGGCCTACGGATCCATCGATCGTTGCAGGAGTTATATATTGAGATGGAACTACTTTCCGATATCAAATCTAAACTTTATTTCTTTCATATCCTTTGAAGGCATATCAAATCAAAAAATTGATTTTTATATTGTGAACCGAAAATTTAAGAAAATATATACGCATTCCGATTTAATTTAATTTATAATTTTCTTAAGTTAAAGCCAATTAGTTCTATGAAAAAATTAATTTGACCAAAGTTACAATATGATTAGGAGCTCTTTACTATGCTATAATTTAGGCCTTCTGGCGACAGCGTCCACCCCGCAGCTCCGTTCCTTCGCTGCATTTGGGATTTGAGTCGAAAAGGTTGCGTTCCCCAATTGACTCCGGCTGAGTCTCCATAGCTTTGGCCTTGGCGTCCTTCAATCCATGAGCTTCCTTTTCTTCATTCTGGTTAGGAGGATTGAAGTCTGTTTTGAAAATTGAAGCAATATTATCATCCACTATGTGTTCTGTATCCGATTTTTGATCGGCTTGGTTGCGATAACTGGAAGCTGCTAGCAAATTGCTACTGGAATTGGGATTGTACTTGGCTGGTTCGTCAGAGGGCTGCGAATCAAATTCGTTCGAATTTGTGGGTTGTCGTTGAATGACTGTGCTACCTTTTCTGAACTCCGGTTGACCATTTGCTGCAACCTCTGGACGCGGCTGCAAGGGTTTGCCTGTATTGCCGTCTGGTTGAAGCTCGAATTGATCATTGCCTGGTCCTTCAGGGCGAGGCCGCACTGGATTTCCAATATAACTTGGCTGTTGGTAATTAGGATCTTGGACACCTGGTAAGGGACGTGGCTGCAGAGGATTTCCAATATAACTGGGCTGTTGGTAATTAGGCAGCGATGGATCTTGGACACCTGGTAAGGGACGTGGCTGCAGAGGATTCCCTGTGTAACTTGGCTGTTGATAGTTAGGGTCAGATGGATCTTGGACACCTGGTAAGGGACGTGGCTGCAGAGGATTTCCTATGTAACTTGGCTGTTGATAGTTAGGGTCCGATGGATCTTGGGCACCTGGTAAGGTACGTGGTACGAGAGGATTGTATCCTTGCTCGTTTGCAAAATCAAGTGGGTTCGGCTGTTGGGGTTGAATTGGACGCGGTCTGGAAGGCACGACTTCTGGGTAGCGTGGCCAGGCTTGATTACCGAAACCAGGTTGGCCCTGTCCGTTTCCAGCTTCCGGTAGCTGACCACACACACAGCCATATCCAGTGCCTTGCTGAGCTTCATTAGCGACTCCATCTATTGGACGCCCAACACTTGGTTGCCCAGCATACACATCTCCGGGCTGTCCTCCGCCATATGAGCCTCTACCAAAGCCGGGACCGATTTGAGCATCAGTTGGATCGTGGTGATGACTAGGATGATATCCGTGCCTATGATGTGGTCCATGATAATCATTGTGATGCTGATGTTCAAGAGGCCTAATTCAATTACAAGTCAGCTAGTTAGGTAACATCTATTTAAATATTTCTACGCACCTTTGTGGCTGCGGATAGCCCCAGCCTCCGCCACTATATGCATTTCCATGAAAACGATGATCCGCATAAGCCTGCAGCAGCTGCGCATTTAGCAGGGCTATCAGCAGCAAGCCCAGCGATAAGAGACCGTCCTTAGAAACCATATTTACGAATTCGGTGCACTTGAGCTGCTGACGCTGTCGTTCGCCAAAGTATGACTGAGATCAACTCGGCGAGATTTCCTCAAATATTGTTTTCAATTCAGTTCCATTCGAACTGATAAGCCTCAGCGCGCGCTTGCTCTTATAAATGCATGTACATATTTGTCTTATAAACATATAGAGTGGTTGTGGACTCTTGTTATCAGGGCTGCGATCCAAAAGAGAAAATTGTCACATCTATTGACTTAGGCTCTGGGCTAATGCTTAATGTATTTTCAGTAATTTCGTGACAGTTTTGTTTTATAAAAATACATTTTAGAAACACTTTAGGCATTTCACTGTCTGTTTAGTCGATTCTGCTCACACTTTGATGAGCTAAGAGCACAAATATTTGTGAATACATGATTAATAGTTGCAATACAAACGAAACTGTGTAATTTTCAAGTACATTGATTGATGATTGATGATTGATGATTGTTAGTTTCTCAAGCCAAAAACTCTCTCTGCAACGACTTTGCAAATTTGTTTTCTTTTTATTACAGTGGCGGGGTTTCCCCCATACACTTACTTTAGGTACACACACTTGGAACAAGTCGCCAGTAATTTATAGTTTATATATGATAAAACTTATACTGTTTAATTGGTTTGTAATTTGATAAATAATAATACATTTTATTCACATTTTATATAATTAGTTATGGGAAATATGGGCACTATGGGCACTATCTTGAGAGTGAGGTCTGCCAGACTCATTAGGAACTGCCTCTAGTTAGAATCAATTGCATAACTCAATGTGATGATAACATATACAAAGCAATTAATGTCTAACACGTACGTATTCATTATATGACTATTTAAATACTTTTTATTCACATAAATATGCACATATATATTGTATACATATGTGTATATTTATATTTATTCATCATATTTTTAAACACATTTATATTTTAAGCTGATTTGCGACATCGGCCCGCTCGCAGACTTTGGCCTGGCGGACACACAGGCAGGCTGTCCACCAGTATGCGATTGTCCACTGTGGGTAGCTCCGTTGTCGGCTGCAGCTCGTCCAGACTGGAGCAGTTGCCAGCTAAAGTGCTATTGATGGCTAAAGTAGTATTGCCAACGGAGGTGCTGTTGCCCAAGGGCAGCTCCGTGGTGCTGCTGATGTTGCTACTGTTGGTGCTGATACTGAAGGTGTAGGTGTAGGTTGTTGATTCGTCGTTGTCATTGGGGAAAACAACGCGATCGTCGGCCAAACGCGTCTGGACGACAAAGATATGCCAAGTAACAATGGCCAAGAGCAGCGTTTGTTTGGCTTTTAACTGCATTGTTTACTTGGTTACCTGTTGTGTCTGTCGCTGGTAAAGCGATCGAAAAAAACGCGTTTGGCTGCTTCAACTGAGCTTTAGAGACTGACTGATCGAAGATGGCCCGAGCAGTCAGACTGTGCGGGAGATATTTGTACATTCTGTAGACACAGATACTTGCGATAAGAATTGACTGTTATTTACTCTTGTAGAGATCAATAAAAACAAAAATCAAAAAGCAAAAGCAGAGTAAAAGTTAGAAGTTAGTTCACTCTACGATTCCAGACTGGAAAATGAAAGCTCGGCAAGAGCGGCTATAAGTCGAGCTGAAAAAGCTCTACAGTGCCAACCGATCGTAAATGCACAGACCTCAACAAAGCTCTAACTTGTTGAGACAGACGAGCAGAACGAATTCGGGCCATGCATTTGTGGGCTTCTTATATGGAAGGTATTGAGGACGATTACAAATATTAATAAGAGCTCCATGTCGGACAGAAATCTTTTTTAACTATGGCAGATATCAAATTCTGCATATAGACTAAAGAGATAAAAGATTTTATATTGATTTTCAGGTATACTAACTAAAAAATAAGTCATGTTGAATGTATTTGAGCAGTGTCTTGAAGTGTTAGAGAGATCATCATTGTGTTTCTTGGTTAAAAGCCTTATCTAGGTTTTTTTTTAATAATGAATTATGTGAATTTCTTTGAATATACAAAATCTGGAAAAAACATGTAGAATTTTTAAATTCGGCAATATTTGCAGCTATTATCAGAAATTGTTTGACCACAAACTTGTGAAGATGTGCTCCAAAATTTTAGTCATCTCGCTGGCATTGGTTGCCTTTTATATGGCGCAAGTTCATCGTGAATACAATTCCGGGAACGTACAGTCGCCAAGGTGAGAGTAAAAAGAGAGACTTATTTATCTTATATATCAAATCTCCCTTCTGATATGTATATTCAATCGACTTATTGCATTTAACTAAACCTCATAAACTTTTCTTATTATCATAGTCATTTGGATATCACTTATTAAAAACTGATATTTCACTTCGTGATAGAGTATAAAAAATAAAGGCTTATTCAGTTGATAACGCTTATATGAAAAAGGTCACAAACTAATATTGAAAAAACTAAATAAATTAATCATTTTTGAGCAATTGCTCGCTTCATTTGAATACCAAATTCTGCAGAATGTATTTAAGTTATTTATTTCTGTTATTCACTATGCCTGCCTGCACTTTGAATGATCGGCAGATCTTCGATTCACAATGCACGCATCTTAATTCAGCCTATCTATTTCTATCGATCATATCGATCTATATGAGAGTGATATCGAAGATAAACTGATCAACAAGCAAAGATGTTTCCAATTTGAAGTCACAATACAGAATACAGGTTTAACGAAAAGCTAGAAGGATAGAACTCTGAGTTTCAATGGAATCATAATACAAGGAATATTAAACTGAAAATAAAGCTTGGGCTTTTCAAAAATGGAAATGGTTAAGTTAGAAAGCTTTTAAAGCTTTTTGCGCTGATCGGAAAGCTATAAACAAAAGTCTAGCTGCAAAAGCTCTGCAGTTCTCATAGTTTGCATATTTAAAGCGGCCATCAAAACACAAGCTTGTTGCATTCGTATTTATTATTAAGCGCTTTAGGCCTCCTTGCGACAATTGTTTCCAAAGAGCTTCAAGCCTTCCCCGCAGATGGGCAGCGAGTCCAGTGTGATGCGTGGTCCTATTTCAGCGATCGGCGCATCAATTTTCGATATTTCAACTTCCATCTCTTTGGGCTGCTCAGTTGCAGCAGCTTTCTCCATGGGCACTGACCGTACTGTGGGGAGGTCGCTGTTCTCGTCGAGCTTCTTAATTTGGTGCATCTTTTGGCTTTTATGCACCGGGAATTGGCTGGTCGCATTCTTTTGTAATGGCAAGCCTGCTACCAGCTTCGACTCGTCGCTTACTTTGCTGTGCTCCGTTGTTGTAGATTCGGCTGCAATTGGATAAGTCTTGTAAGTTTTGTTAAGTACGTCATTCGCATCGCATGTGGCCAACGAGAAGTGCATCCACAGCAGCAGCACGGGCACGGCGATGCGTAAAACTGGCTTCATCTGAATTGATAGCATGCTAAAACACGTTTACTCTGCCCAAATTCTCATTAAAGACTAACTACGAAGAGAGTGAGCCTCAAGGCACAAGGTTGCCCAGTCGCCAGTTGCTAGTGCTGGTCTCAGTTATATCTGGCGATAAGGGAAAACATGAAACACAAACTTGTAAAATTGCATGCATAATGAGATTGCCTCACAATAGTCTCGACTGTCTCATTCGCATGAGAATCTAAAAATTGCACTCACTTTATATGCAAAATGAATTATAATTCACTTTGTCATTATCCAACGGAACTCATTCCAATCAGCTCGATCGGCGTTGTAATACAACTCGAGACAACTGACCTGAGCAGAAAAAAATTACTCAAAAGAAGTAAATATATTGTACAACTGTCTGGAGGTCATTGTTTCAGTTGCAGTTGCTCCAACTTACAACGTAGTGGTATAAGTTAACTTATTGAAGCTTAATTGCATTTAATTTCATGTAAATGCATATATATAACAATATATAAAGTCATATTTTCATGATGCTCAATACAAACATTAAATAATATGTATCTTAGATAAATTCAAATATCAAGCCCATCAAATATCTTATATCATAGTACCACGCTTAAGACACCTTAAGCATTCTAGCTGCCTACTTTGCAGACTGTGAATAGTTTAATGATGGCTTGGCTCAAGGACACTTTGCTTAGAGAGTTAACAATATATTTGCTTGAGTTTTTGCTTTTCACTATTACGATTTGAAATGCCTTCAGTGTGTCTGATTGAATTTGAAATGCTTATCTAATATGTCACAGTATTCAGTTGCTTAACATGATAGTTTACCTTCCAACGTGTATTCCAGATGCTCAGCTATTAATACCGTATAAATAATACATATTAATAAATACATATAAATATTCCGGACTGGTTTTTATTAAGGCCTATGTTAAAGCATAAAAGCACCAGAATCAATAAGCAAATCGATTTTGCTATGTCTGTTTGTAGAAGTTTTCTTAAAATAGATATTTATAAAGGTCATTTCATATTATCTGTTCCTTAGTTCCTAAAGAAGATAATGCCCTTTGACATATATTTTCAATAAGTGTAGATTGTTTTAACTAACCATAATATTGCAATTATATTAACTCAATATATTTGGTTAGACATGGTTTAAAGCACCGCCTATAAATGTTTCGATTTACTGGAATATCTTTAGTTCGACTTCAACTTCATTATGAAACTAATTCTGCTGTTCTTGAGCTTGCTCGGCGTCTCTTACGGCGCTGATGGTTCCATCCAACCGGCCGATAATCTTAATGATGAGTACACAGCTCAGGCTCGCATAGCTGATTACTTAAGATCGGAATACCGTAGCCTGCGTGCCACTGAGAAAGTAATTACCGCGCCCTGAGGACGTCAACGTCATAACTTTAAGCTTATCCTAAAGAAATGTGACGCAAATATTTAGTCATTCATATAAAACACATTAAACTCGTTTGACTTTCAATAGTGGCCATACATATACTAACAGTACGCACTGTACAGCTTTCGTTTGCTTGCACTTCAACGATCTACACAAGCCTCTTTAAAGTAGCTTTCTACCAAGCCATTTTCCAGTATAGCATCGCAAAGCCAACTAGAGTTGGCTGTTGCTTTCTGAGTCGTGTCTCTCTGCGAAAACTTCTCACAATTCGATTCTTATCGCAAGTGGCATGTTCAAAAGTCATTGTGGGAGACTTGGCCCTAATTACTCGAGAGTTCTATGAGTCAGTCTATGAACGATTTGAGCTACTCTCCAAAGCTGAGTGAAAGCGTGCTCTTTGCAACTCGCTCTACCAGGGTAAATGAAGAGTAATCTCTAGCTTTATAAGTTCAGCTTTCTAGGTCTTTACATATATTTCTAGAGATCTATTAGTTGAGCATAACTAGCTGAAATCTTAGACATATAGAATATAGAGTATGTTTCTATTAACAATTAAACGAGATACTAATTTTATTTTAAGAATCAAAATCTTAAACATCAACTTTTACAAACTTTTTTTTTTATATTTTTAAGGCTTGCCAATATGGTTATTCTGAATGAGATCTTTTAGTGTATTATAATTTAATCTATTTTTAATTTAATTCGTAGAACTAATAACATATTTTGCAATCTATTTTAATTTAATTCGTAGTACTAATAACATATTTTGCAATCAATCAATTTAAGTCTGGAGGAAATCATCCGATAATAATTATAATTTACATACTCTATTTAGGCCTGAAGAAAATGTTTCACGCTTAATATATATATATATATATATATATATATATATATATATATATATATATATATATACATATATATATTTATATATATATATATATATATATTTATATACATAAATTTATATAAATTAAATTTAAAAATATAGTAACTTTTCATATACATTTCTACAATTCTCAAGATTTGTTCAGTTCCAGCTCAGGCGTTTCTTTCAGTGCAGCTTTTATGACGTAACCTGAGCCACTCCTAATAAATGTCAGCTATTTAGGCTAATAATTTTGACAATTCTATTGTCAGAGCTCTAGGCCTAAAAGGCAGCCAACTACCCTCGAGGCTCGAGTTCGTAAACATAAATGTCAGCCTCATAAGTAGATGTAAATTCATTTTCGCAGAGAGCTGAGGAAAGAGACTGGGAAAAAAACAGCATAATTTTTGAAGGCTTGACAACCCTGGGTTAAATGCTGCAAAAAACTTGGTGTGGCAAGTAAAGTATATAAAAATACATTAAAATAATGCGTGCTTCGCACGCCGACAGCTGATGCAAGACACCAACTGAGGGAAGATCTGCGCGACTACATCTCGTACATTCATTTATTTATGACAAGCAGCAAAAGGAAAAAATAAATAAAAATATGCAGAAAATATATATGTGTGTGTGTGCCAAATAAAGTGCGCAAGTCAATAGAAAGAATATTTTATGAGGCAACGAGCCACGATTTGCCAGGTAATTGCAAGGGACTACTGAGAGAGGCCGGGCCGCGGCAGAGGTCTGAGCAGACAGGGTGTCTTTTGTCTCTGAGTGCGGACAATGGTTGCGTCTGTTAATCAGCGCAGCTTTGCCAAAGTAATCAGTAAATATTTGCAATTTCCTTGTCTTTTCAGGCAGCATTTTCCGCATTTTCATAAAATGCAAACTTTAATTTAGCTGCTTTCCATTTGGCATTGATTGTCTGCATGTCAATTACACGACTTCGAAATGTTTTTGCTTTCCATTTCCCTCATTTTCTAGATATTTTATTTTATTTTTGAATGCAATGCAATTTTGGGAAAGTTTTTTTTTAAACATTTCATAAAAATTTTACCTTCAGTTTAGTCATAATTAAACTAATAATTCATTTATAACAATTTGAGCTTAAGAAATGTATGAATGGTCTTATCTTAGATCTATTACGAAGCAAAGGCAACCTTGGATAACATCGATAATTACTCCAGTCGTCGAAGTGCTCTCAACAATGTGCCTTAAAAGGCCGCAACTGCTTTCGAAATTGGCCAAAATTTGCGTGCAGAAATGTGGTAAAAGGTAAACAATTCAATTGACATGGACTCAGTTGAGTTCGAACAGTTGTCGAAGAAGCGAGATAAACGGAATCTTAAAGATCTTAAAATGTTCCAAGGAATCTTTCGTGCCGTCGTTCACCTGATTTTATTGCTAACACTTTGCCAATACGCTGCAGCTTCGGATAGTGAAATTGTTGAGGCCGAAACGTATCCCAGCTTGAGTGCAACCACCGATATGCCCGAGATGCCAACGCCAAAGTGGAGCGCCAACGATACAGTCCTGGTAAAGCCTTATAATATATTGGAGGCCAGCTGCCCCCAGGGCTATGTTCTGGCCAATAAACACTGTCATAAGCGAGTGCGAGGTGCCCCAACTGTGGAGTAGAATAAGAAAAGCTGAAAGTAAAAATAAATTATTTGATCATTAAATGTTGCTGATATCACAATTTTTAATCCAAAAACCTAGACGAATTTTTTATCTTTTAAAAATCAGTTAATATAAAAAAATGCATTTGAAGCTTCCTTCAAGCATAGCAAACATTATACTAATATCACCCACTGTGAGACCCGTTTCAAAGCCAAATTGATGATGTTTCTGTAAAAGCCTAGTTTCAGTATATAAATACTGATATCGCCCACAGTTCGGCCCCCATTATAAGGCCGCGTTGATGCCTTAATTTATGTTTGATCTGAGCATAGATAATTTTTGACTGCAGTCGCTTCTAAGGTCAGGGCACAACCCTTCCATCAGCCTCGTTCGAGTGATATGCAGACAGTGGCTGCCATTAGTTAGAAGCCCATTAACCAAAAATGCAATCGGCCAACTGGTCGAACGGGCGGGCGGACACATGTCCAAGCAACGTGCTGCTACGTGCAGTTCGCTTGTCCACGTTCCCGTCATTTACAGGTAGCAGCTGCATTGACATCCAGCCGACAGCAGGCGAGGCCACCAACAACCTGGCCCACTGGGCGCGTTTTGTGGCATATTAATTCATGCCATAAAATATGGCTACACTTTGGGCAGCAGCATACAGAAATGGCAACAGCAACAGAGCCAACGAAATTGACAAAGTCTCGACGTAAACGTGACAGAGTGAGGGCCAAAGAGTTGGACAACGCGGCGCTGAATGAGTTAATTAAGCGCCTCACGGCCTGTAGCATAATTTCAAGTCATTTATCAGTGACACTTTCGGATGGAGGACTCGACGGCAAATGTAAATTGGCTTAGATCATGGGACTAACAATGTATACGAAGTGGCCAAATGGCCACATGGCAGTAGCAGACAAAACATGGTAGCTTCATTATATCTTGCTGTGTTTATTGGGTGTGCAACATTTACATATTCTGACCCAGCGGATTATTTAGCCAGGGATAAACAATTGGGCACTTGTCGCAGACGCTCATATAACGCGTCTCGCCGGTGGACATCTTTTGGACATTGCAGTGCACGGGCTGGCAGGTGGCGTTGGGCTTCGTCTCGCAGCTCTTGAAGGGCTGCCCCAGCACTGGCTTCTTCACGTACTCCAACATGCGGGATATGCCCGTCATATACACATCCGGATAGGTGGCCAAATGTTGCATGAATCTGCGTAGAGAACGATGAAGTTAAGATTAAGTTAAGAAGACTCGGCTTGATTGACGTACTTCTTGAAGGCGGCAAAGTAGTTGCGGCCACGTGCGAACCATGCTGCATGCAGATACATGCCGAATGGCGCCCGGTTGCCCTTGTAGTGGCGATTGAAGTTTTCTAGCATCCACTCGAACAAGGCATCTATTTCGTCTGCGGGCGGATAGACGCAGGCGTCGATCATTGCGCAGCTGTAGCCCTCAGTATCATTCCAGGTGACCATGGGATTAACCCAAACGCCAGGTAATGAAGCATCAGGACATGGGCCAATCTGGCAGTCCTGAATGGACATGTAGTCCAGTGTATAGGGCCACATTGCTGGATTCTTATGCTGCTGCGTCGGCCACGAGCTGTCGTAGGTCAGACCCAAGTTCTTGACCGCCTCATAGTTGTTGTTGCCAGAGATCTGCAAGAAGGGCAGACGCATGCCCTGCAACCTCTGTGCATCTATCTTGGCAAACGTCTGCAGCATCTGCACCTGAGCTCCAAACTCGCGCTCAATGGTCTCCACATCCGCATCGCGCCAATAGTCGGTGCCATCGCCATGGGTCACCGAGTGCAGTGCAATCTCATGGCCCGCATTGTACAGGGCATTCACACGTACGTAGTCCGTGTACTCATGTGATACAAAGAAAGTGCCAGTTGCGGCACAGCCATCCGGATTGACCAAATCATTGAAGAGCAGCTCGTATTGGGCATAGTTTACAGCATTCACAGCATCGTCAAAGGTGATGGTAACAAACTGAGAGATGAAAGTGACAAATTGAAATATGTTATCAAAATATTTAAGTATTTTCTAAAATGCTTAAGCATATATTATAATTAAATAAATAATTTAAGGACTTGCCATAATGAAGTCAAATTACAACTCAAAGTATTCAAGCTATGATAAGTTAACTATCTTAAGTTAAAAGTTCTAACTACACTTCATTATATGAGTTTATATCTTTTAATAATACAACGCACCTGCGGTATCTCTTGCTCTTTGCCCTTAAACTTGGGCTTTGGTAACATCGCATCTGAGCAACGGCAGTCGGGTAACTTGCACTTGTCCGCTGAGCATGGCTCGGCTTTCTGCAGCTCCTGTTTCTCCACCTGCGGGGCTACAGTAGTCTTTGTCTTGTTCTTCAACTTGGACTTGGACTTGGACTTCGTCTTGCCACCTGGCTTCTGGGCCTCGCAGAGTAGCGCTGTGGCTAGCAGCAGCCCCAGTACTAACAGCGTCGTGAATTTCATGCTGTACGAAACTCTTTAACGTCTTTCAATTGCTTCACACAAGAACTCAGGCTTTTATAACATGGACTGGCAGTTAATATCTTATCGAGGTGTGGGTGAAAATATGATTTACTTGTAGAACATGGCTGTGGCTATTACCATTGGGTGTGCCCAAGTACGGAACTAACTATATGTTTCGATAATATCGCAAATGTTTTCGCATACGACGCATGTGAAGGCATATTGAGAGCTCAATCATTTTACCGAGGGGAGTTCACCGAGCAAAGAAAAGACAGACAGGTGCCCTTTTCACCTTGACTTAAACATAACTGATAAAATTAAATTTCTCCTTTCTCCCTTGTTGTTTCTGTAGTCTTAAAGCACTTGAGATGATTCAATGATAATTGAACAAATTTCTGTATTGTCTGTTACGCATTGGACAATAACATAAAGATATCTTTTCGGTTACCTGAATCCTTAAGCTCAAGTGTATTCAAGTTGCTTCAACTACAAACTGATAATTTCAGGAATCGCTCTCGCATTGCGCATTCCAGCTAGGGTGAACAAGGACAAAACTTGGCTCATTAGCATAGCCCAAGTGAAGAACTTAACAGCTGAGATTTGCGCCAGTGGCTCGAGTGGAAAAGTTTGTGCTAGCAAATCGAAGCGACTGCAGCTTCAAATTATGACAAGCCCAACAAATGCACTTGAAATCGTAAACAAGTGCTTCAAAACTTTTGTGGCACGACAGAAGCTCTTAAAACAAAGCCAGAAATCGTATTTGAGTGCCTACCCAGCCGCCCTCAACCAACGCCCAAGTTGTCCCTAAGTGACGGCCAATCAGAATGCAAAATCCGAACTGGCAAAAGTCAGACAGCGGCTGAAATTGGCGAAATTCATCTTAAAGGCAGCTGCAGCTGGGCCGCTGGCTGGATTGCAGCAGCAGCAGCAGCAGCGGCAGCTACTGCAGCGATGCGGATTTCTTGGCACGCTTCCGCCGACTGGCATGGTGCACGCCTACAATTCATTTCAGTCACGTTCCGGGGCGTTGCCGGCAGGGGTAGGTGCCCCACGTGCCGCAGCCAGCCAACCAACTGGCGGCAATCGTCAGGCCGACAGCACAAGCAAAAGCCGAGAACGACAAACGAAAAACTCTCGGCTGCCATGCGGAAGTCAGCGACAGCCACCTCCAACTACAGTTCAACAACTCCAACAGCCCCACCAACGCCGCTACCTCTTGCAGTTCGCTGTTGGAGTTGTAGGGGCAACGCAACATGTTTGAGTGAGTTTGAAGCCTGCGCCCATGTGACGTATGCGCAATGTGTCATATAAACGCCCCTGCCCCGGTTCGGCCTCGCTCGTACCTGCGACAGGGGCACTCATAATAATAAAGATTGAGGGCAGCTTGAGACCCAAAGAGTTGATTGAAATTTGATTGACAGCCCGCATGAATGAAGATGAATCTTTGCAACTCATAACTGAACTGAACTCAACTGAATGCAAGGCTCTGTTGCTCCGCTCTCCCTCTCCCACTCATTAGTTGCTGGCGCGTCGGAGCGTGAAATCAAAGTGAAAATTGAGACGCTTGGCGGCATGGGGCACACACGAGCGTCTCACGTGTCCCAAACTGCTTTAAAATGGAAATTTTTGCCGCTAATACGATTGTAGCTCATATGCGTGCCAAAGATCTAACTCAAGGCCCAGCTCTCACGCACGTCTGAGCCACCCAACAAAAAAACTACAAAGTGGGTTGGCTGGTTGGGTGGTTGCTTGCTCAGGGAATTGAACATGGTGTAGCAGCTCCCGAGTTTGCCAATTTCCGCGATAATCACACAACTAATTTGCATAGCGAGTGAAATGGAAGCAGAACACGAAATCTACGCTAATCAAATCAGCCAAACGCACAAATAAAACCTAGTTAAATACATTTGGAATGCTTTGCCAAAGTTGAAGCTGCTTGACTTTTAGCAGCACTTTGCCCACTATGAAGACGTCTGCTAGAGAATTGCAAATGAATTTATAAACAATAAATAACTTAAGTTAAGCTTACATACTTAACTCGTACTATAAAACTTAATAAATTTGTAGATTAGAGTTTCATTGAATTTCATTTAATTGAGACTGCAAATACTCTACGTTCTCCATTAATGTTAAATATTTTGTATATCATTCGAGCTATAAACCTAAATCTTTTTTCTATTTGACTCTGTTTTATTCTTTCTAAAATAAACAAATATTGGGCTCTGTATCATTTAAGAAAATATTATTTTATAAAATGCTGAAAAAAGTCCACAGAAAAAATTCATCAGAATAGCAAACACAAATTCAATTCAACGACAATTTAGTGTTAAGGATACTTTTTATATAGACCAAATATATAAAGCGTATAAATAGTTTATAGAATCTTAATCCCTGGACTCTTGCACTCAGTTATCATGTCAAGCCATGCAATTAATATTTGTCTCTAAAGCTAGTTCGACTCGCTGGATAGGGCATTCCAAGTTCTATATTCCTTACTTTGTCTATCTTCATTTTTTTGGTGATACCAAAATTGGCAAGTCTTGTGATAAGCTCGAGGTATTATCACTATGTTCCCTTTGTTATGTAAATTTGAGCTTACTGAAATTGTAATTTCCAGCCAGTTTGCGGTCTTTGTTAAGTCTGGATTCATATTTGAAACAAGTTCTGGTACAAACTAAATGTCAACAAAAAAATTTCACAAAATTTATAAAAATCTAATTTAGATACTATGTCAGAGTGCGAGGAGATGGACCGCAAAGTTAAGCTCCAGGGCGTTACCAGGCTTAATAGAAATCTGCAGAGTAACGAGGTGCTGACACTGCACTACTTGGGACTGCCCTATTTGGTCCTGTGCCGCAGACCGGTGCTGCGTCTTAAGGTGCCGCTGAGCACCTACAACTTCCAGGATGGCGAAACCGATGGCATTGCACTGCAGTTGATCTTCACCTGCCCGGTGAACTACCCCCTGCAGCTGCCGCGTGTCGATCTGGCCGAGAAACGCAATGTGAGCACCGAGCTTGACCTTAAACTGCGCACGGAGATCGCCAAGGCACTGGAGCAGCATCTAGGTTTGTACATGATAGTGCCTGTGGTGACCCGAGTCCAAATGCTGCTGAATGACGAATTGAGGAATGATTAAAATTATGCCCCCATTTGCTTTTTTTAATCCATAGAGTGCGCGGCGGGGCAAGGGGGTACGTTCTAAACGTGTGGAGTGTCTTTTGCTGTTCTATTTGGGACTGTTGGCAGCCGCAGTTGGGGCTGAGTCCTTGTTGTCTGGGCATCTACTGGCATGTACGTGCACAAACATGTTTGCCGTGGAAAGCTTTGCCGTGGAAAGCTTTGCCGTGGCCCGTAACTCACGCAGGATACGTGACTTCTGGGGTTGACGGCGTCGCACTTGGCCAACGCCCCGCCTCAAGTATGCAACACTTGGCCGAATGTTAACACGTGCAGGGACGACTGCTCATTAATTGGTGAGCCAGCCGGTCATTGGGCATCGGGCGTTGGGCATTGGGCATTGCATTAACTTATCTTTTATGCACATGCCAAAGCACTTGCCATTGCTATCTAAGCGAGTGGCTTTAACTGCGCTTAGTCCTTAGCACATGCACACATCCTTGATTCACTTCCTCTCGTTGTCGCCGCGACAGCAGCGCCAATGAAATTGCCAGTCAAAAAACGGCAAAGACATTCAGAGTAGCAACGGCAGAAGCTTCCTTGGGCGCATCCTGTTTATCGTTAAGCGTGCTGCAGCATTGGCGGCGGCGTCAAAGTCCTTTTGCTGGCAATGCCGGATGTCTCTGGGTAATTTAGATAGCTGCAGTTGTTGCTCACAACTTGCATAATGTCACTTTCAAAGAGTTTTTAGAACCAAATTGCAAAAAACGAACAGCATCGCACACAGGACATGCATGCATGAGGACAACGAGCTGGCTGGGCGGCTGGCTACATATAAGTTTGCACAGCTTAAAGTCAATAAGTATTGCGATAGCTCTAGTTAGATAGAGTTGCTGGCAGCAAAGCGCGCAATAGAGCAATGTTAGAACACCTTGAAGGAATAATATTGGTACTTTATAATCGTCCGAAATTCAGTCTTATACGAGATCTGTTAATGACTCAATGTATGTGGAAAATAATAGAAAAACGTTTATTAGACAGGTCAATAGGACTATGTTAAACATTACTTCTATATACTAATAAATTTATACACAAACATCAGAAACAAAATACTGTCTTTGTTCTGAAATAAAACTAACTAAAATATAAAAATATATAGAATATAGTTATAAATTTCAGTTTTATTTATAACAATTATATATAGAAAACCATTTAGTTACTAAAGGAAATATTTAAATTTATACTAAATATAACATTTTTCTATATAGAAAGTTGAAACTTTATTTTAAATTTCAAATAAATGTAAATGTTCCATAAGAGCTGAATTTATTTATTAAGGGAAACACCTTTAAGAGAGAGTTGCTAGCTCAAACAATTTATTAGAGCAGTTCTAATGAGTGAGCTCTACAAACTGAACTTTCCTTTATGCAATTATCAGCTCTTTTATAAAAAAATCTATACTAAATACAACATTTCTTTATATGAAACCTTATTTAAAATAAGTAAATGTTCCATAAGAGCTAAATGAAACGCCTTTCTCAAATATATAGGCAGTCCTTGCTCCAATATACTAAGCTCCTTCCCAGCGCAGCTCTCTATTTGCTATCCAGCGTTATAAACTTATTTCACCATCTATTTTTACGTTTGGGGCTTATCATTTTTGGCAACTTGTAAGTCAACCGCAAACATTTCGAGATATTTCTTTGGGCTTCAGTCTTTAATGCGGCTGTGACGACATTGGCGACTGTATGCCCGAAGGATTTGTGCGTAATGAAAAACTGCCAGCATACAGAACGCGGATGACGATGACGACGACGAGGAGGAGGAGGATAGGGAGCAGGATGGCTGTGGCTTAGCCGTGGCAGGTATTGCAAAATTGAAAAGCGCTCGTCGAGCTTGTCGTGGCATTAAAATGGCAAATTTGTGTGCGTCGCCAATGCGGCAGCACATTCAGGACATTTATGGCCGGTAACTAAACGACGCCAGGCAGACAACGCCGGAGACAGGCCATAAAAACGGCGACGCTTGCGTGATAAGCGCATAAATCAGCTAAAGACCAAAGTATACTTAGTCCGGACTGGTTCCAGCAGCTCCCATCCCAGCTAGACATCGCCGCCTTAACCCTTGGCCATCAGTTGACTCAGCTCGTAAAATTAGCAGCGAGTCCGCTGCCCAGCCACATTTTAATTGTTTGTAATGCAACTGTCCTTCTGGATTCTTATTTAGACTATGGCAACGACATCCCATTGTTCTTAGCAATATAGAAATTAATTTGCTGCTCATTCCCGTTCGCTCTAAGTGAAATGAAACGCCATTTCCCTGACACTTAGCTAAGTAACAGAGGAGAACTGGGTTAGAGTTACCTTTGGATCGCTGTAAATTAACTTGTTCATTTATGTTGTGTTGCCACAAGACTTTTTCCTCCTCCTATTATTTTTAGACTTTTGTATATCTTATAAATAGTTTTCATATTATAACATCCCGAGTTTTCAACTTCAAAATAATTAGCTAACTTCAAATTATAAAATTTTCTGACAAATGAAAACGAAGTAAATCTTTAAAGCATTTGTCAAGGTAGCAACAATATGAAATACAGAAAAGATCTCGAACGGAACGGAATCTCAACGCGAAGTGAATTTTTGATGGCTCAGGTTGACCATCAAAGCGCCATCTATTGGCAGTCAGAATAACTAACTACCGTCTGCTGGCATCTCGAGCTCATTGCTTATGCTCGAACACGAAACAAATTCAAATTACAAATTATGTTGTCATTTGTGCGCTTTACGAGACAAAGCCCCGAAAAAAATACAACCCTCGAGCGAGCGGACAACCCTCAAATGATATGTTAAGGCAGAGGCATAGGCAGAGGCGGAGGTTGAGACCGCCGTTTGGCCCTGACAGTGGGCAGTAAATGTTAATCCACGGGCAGAGCTTGCGCTCGGTGTCAACTATTTAGTTTCCGGTTTTAACTTGTGCCATAAACTTGGCATTATGTGTCCGCTTTTATTGCATACTTGCAGGCGCCTCCCACCTCAGCCGCATCTCGCATCATTGTTTCTTAATAATCCGGTGTGGCGATGTGCGGAGCGAGTGCACACGTCTCAACATTAAGAATGTTTATGGCCCCATCCCAGCGGAGTCCAGTTGCGAGTCCAGTCGCCTAGTTGCATGCTACACATATTTCCTCGCGTTGCAGTCATAAATGCGCTTAATTGGCAATTTTTGTGGAAGCGTGTTGAAATTTTTATACGCATTACACACACACACACACACACACATGTGTGTTCGTGTATGGATTGTAAAAGTTGCAGTTGAGTTTTGCTTGACTCATAAATAGGATATATGTATGCTTTTGGCACTCGCTGTTATGCCCACACACTCATATTTTTATTATATTTCATAATACGGAAATGCTTGAGTTTTGCACCGATTTTCGCATGAAACGTGCCATTCAATAAAACAAAAAATCATAAAGTTAAGCCTTTCATCGAAGAAATATTTATATTTTTTGAAAATTTTTCATTTCGCATTAAATGCACTTTGGGGACATTCACATAAATTTTTTTTCATTTTTATCATCAACGTAGAGATTTCAAAATTTCAAACTTCCATTCATAGTCAAATTTTTATCAAGAAAAAGAGCCATCGTGCTCGATCCCAAGTATTTCACTTATGGCCTTGTCGACCATCACACGGATAATAAATTTAAAAAACAAAACAAAAATAAAAAACAGCCCTGTTTCTAAGAGCTACATTCCATTGGACAAAACGCTGGGCACACCGTGTGGCTACAAGTTTCTTGTTTCATCTGCAAGTCGCTCAGGTAATATTTTTAGTTCATTTGAATTGAGCTTTAGTCCACTTACTCTCGCCAACGGCATGCTCAGATCTCTTCTGCTCCTCGCGCTCGATCATATATAGGGCACTGCTCACCATGGGTATTATGTACTGTGAGCCACAGTCCAGGTGCGTCACTCGATCGTATTCGGAAAAGATGACACTCTCCAGATAGTCGGGAAAGTTCTTCTTCGATCTGATGTGCACCTCGGGCATGCTGCGCGGATAGAATTTTGGGCACATGAAGACCATCTTGCAACTGATGCGAGAGTCCGGCGACATATCATTATCAACATGCCCGCGAACTGTGACCTCTAGCTGAAAGAAGTGTCGAGATTTTCGAATCTTCATCGGGCAGCCGAGCAAAGCGACGGTGCGCAACTCAGAGTCCCGCAGCGATTTGCAAAAGGAAGAAAGCTTCTCGAAACCAACGGTACTCATTCTGCATAGGTATGGAATAAAAAAGTTACGATTATTTCTAGAATTTTTGAATAGAGCATAAAGTTGAGAGTATACTAAACAGCGTCTAATTGTAGCTGAAACTGAAATTACAAACATTAGAAACATTTTGTAAGCGATCTACTTATCAATGTTGATATGATTCAGTATTTTTGAGTAAGCAACTTGCCACTGTATCGCTGTATATGCAGCCTCAGAATACTTAGCTCTCTCTTTACTTGGCTACAAATAATAATAATAATAATAATAATAATAAGAAATATCTTATCGCACAGCTGCAAGAGAAGTCAGCTAATCTAGCAAAACTTCCAGCCCCCATGGATAAGCAGTTCTTACCACATACTTCACTCTGAATTTATTTTTGTACATTTTGAGACTTGCATCTTGTAAATGGTTGTCTTGTAGCTAAAGAATTAAAATCAAATTGAATGACAATTGAATAACTAACATATTCATAACATGCCTTTTGGGCGTTGGCTCGCCAAATCGATGACGCGGAAGAGATGTCATAGGCCAAGGCATTAATATTGCTGCCTCTGCGCTCAGTTGAGTTGGCTGCTAGTTTGCCGCGTCCTTCTGTCGTAAGCTCTGTAGATTCTATTAAAATCGCCTGTCATTGCTGCCTGGCATCGTTATTGTCCGTCTACAGTAGAGCAAACAGAGCAGCCAGCAGCTCAGGCCTGGCCTGGCCTGGGCCCTTGGCTGGGTCCTTGGCAGACATGCTTAGTCCTTTAGACATTGGCAGCGACGTTGTTGTCTTCTGGCAGAACCATTATTCTTCAACAACGTGCATTATATTATCCTTTGGCTGACTTTGGTACACGGCATTTGTATGCAGGCTGGGCGCGAATTGCATTTGGGGAATGGCAATCGGGTGGCATTCGAAGATTGGGTCTGGGGGCCGTGCCGCCTTTTGAGCTGTCGTCGCTGCAATTTGTATTGCCGCCTTCGTCGTCGTTTCTCGTTGTCTGTAACTTGTTTTTTCTTTTTATTGGTTTTTCCGTTTTAAATTTCAATTTGGCGCTGGCCTGTAAGCAAGATGTATGTACAAGACCGTAGGGCAACCGTGTGGCATATGTTGGCACGCCAGGTGCGCCGCCAACTGGGCGATTTATACGCGTCACAGCGCCAGTTGGCTGACAGTTGGCGTCTTGGCAGCTAACTGAACTGTCACTCAGCAAGCACTGGCCCCACAGCTAGCATCTCTGCAGGCCCTGTCGCTGTTATTATTATGCTATTAGTTGGGCAGGGCCTCTCACATTTTACACCGCATTTAACCCAAAACATGCCACTTAGCCGGGCGCATTTATCAATGCGTGTAAACGTGATTTGAGCCCTTCCACTCGCACAGCGCATTATCAGCCATCAGGCATCATCATTATCGTTATCAGCGCTATCCTCATCATCGTCGTGGGCCACATTCGATACGTGCCTCACCTCGCACGTTGAGCCCAGTTGACGCTGCATTTTCGCTTACTGCGATTATCAAGCGTTTCCGTTTCCGATTCCGATTCCGTACTTCCAGTTGCTTTGCTCGTTTTGTGGCTTACGGCTATGCTTCAAAAATTACATGCCTTTGTTTTTTATCTAATGCTGCGCCGTATTTTCGGGTCTTAAGGGTCGTGTGTGTGTGTGTGTGTGTGCGTGTGTGAAACGTGCGACTGCTTGTATGCCTGCCAGACATTTTTCACATTTGCACCCAACAACAATTTGGGACTGACACTCGAGTAGGAACATCTTTGCTGCGACCTACGGCTGCCTTTTACCTTCTGCCCATCTGCTCCAAGCTCTAGCTTAGCCTCTGTGTTGGAGCTCAGCGTGTGTAATTCGATCTATTATCAGTTGTCATCGTCCTGAAATTCACACATTCGCATAGGCATTGTCGTTTTGCTTGATTTGTGCCAACAGAAACAGCATGATAATCTGGCACAGTGGTTCACATTTCCATATAAAAGGAACTTTTATTTATACGCTGTCACAATTTGTGATCAGACTGACGCTTAATAACTCCTTATAGTGCAAAGTTTTATAAATGAAGTGATTTTTATTCCCTTTTTGCTATTATTGTTGCAAGTTTTTAGTTAAGCAACTTTTTGATTTATTTTGAGGTAATTTTTGTGCGTTCAGCTCCACTGTGCACTTAGCTCGTCTCTGCCTAACACCCCAAATTGTGCCTAACGCATTGTTTCACGTGCCATTTGACATCAGAAATTGGAACTTTTTCAAGCACAAATACCGAAAGACAAACGAATACACTTGAAAGTACAAATACTCAAATGCACACGCACAAGTGCCAAACGAGTTGAATATGGAAATGGAAATGGAAATGGAAATGGAAACAGCCGCAGCAGCAACAGTGGCGTTGAAGATGGTAATGGAAATGGAGCTGGAGTTGAAGGCGAAGTCGATGCGTGCCTAAGTGTTGCATTTACATGCGAAGTAATACAATTTGTGGCCTTATGTCCTTCTGCCCCAGGGGCGACGACGGCGCTGAGGCGTGAATTGGATAATTTATACTACACGCACATATGAGCATTGGAGCAGCATGTGCTGCACAAATCCAATGAGCTAGACGGACAGCAGTGCCCCAAAATGTTGCATAACCGTTGCTCGGCTCGGGTTGGGGGATGAGCTTGTGTGGCATATTAAGCAAAAATTAGCAACAGTTGCGTGCCGGCGCGAGTCGCAGTCGAATATGTCAAGTTAATTTAATGTAGCGTGAACTGTGATGGCCATACATGTGTGTGCGTGTGGGTGTGTGCGATGGGTGTGATCGAGTGCCAGCTGCGGCGCCTAGACAACAGTTCAGACATATGTTACGCCTAGCTGCGATGCTACGTGCAATAATTTGCGCAATTACTTGGCAAATTTGTTGTGGGTGCCGCCTCCTACCCCAGGCAGCGAGGGCCAAAAAATATTTGGCCATGCTTCCGGCACTCCTTCTCCTGCTACTCCATCTCCTGCTGGCCTAGAGTACGTGAGCGCCCATGTTAAATTCAAATAAATTATGCCTCAAGGCATTTTACAATTCTATTGCCAGCTTTTAGGCGCAATACTGTGAATTGTGTGCCAAAGTGAACGAAACTTTTTATATCCTGTGAAATAGCCGAAAAGCAGGGAACGGCTATAAGTTGTGCAATTGTGTGTAAATGCACAGACTTTTAAGAATTTTAGTATTTTATAGTTGTCTGCAACTCAAATAGAGAAGTTTTTATCTGAGATTATCATATAATATATGGGCTTTGATTTCCTTTACTATAAGTATATGAAACTAGCATAGATCTGTTAGCCTTACCTTTTCAATTTCTTCTTTCGATATAGCTGCCTTCTCCCATATTACTTTCTGAACCTATTTACCTAGTCATAAGCTTGCCATGCTTCGAACACCTTCATCAGCTGAAATAACAATGCTGGGTATCGCCTACTCGATAGCCCACATGCCTAAAGACAAGTTGATTTGTTTTCAGCCTCCACGACTTTCACAAATTATGCATTTAAGTGAAAAACGTTAGTGGAAGAGAAAACGTACATGTGGCATGTGGCATGTGGGCAACTACGTGAGAGGCGTGCCAAAAACAGTTGCCAATGGCCTGAGAAAATATTGAAATATTTACTCAGGTCTGAGTAGATATGAAGACCTGCAGCGCACAACTTTTGACAAAAAGAAACCTCAACAACTGCCACTTGAAGGGCAATTGGTTGATTTCATTGCTTTTGCTTTTGGCTCCTCTAAGCTCTTGTGTGTGTATGCCTTTTAAGCTAGCTCATAAAAATGTCAAATCATTTACATACACGTCAGCTTTACGACAACTGCTTGACAGACATTAATACACTTAAGCTGCCTGGTAAAGGACACGGCATTATCCCTTATCCTATCCTTCAAGCAAACAACGGCGACAACTTAACTGACATAATACAATAAGGCAACAGCCAGGACCTTGGCTGCTGCTGTTGCTGCTGCATGCATAAGAATCAGCTGCCAGCACCAAAATGCCGTTAGACAGCCCCAGCAACACACGCACACACATCCACTGCCCCACCATATTTCCATCTAATATGAACCACTCACATGTCAAGTAAGTCGCGTTTGCTTTCGTTTCTTTTTCATTTTGTGTGCCCTGTTAACAAATTGCTTTTGTGCAAATTTTGTCACTATAAAAAACATAACTAACACACACACATACACACACACAACATCCTCTGAGGGCAGCTCAATAATTTGCATTGCATACTTCTTGGCGAACGAAGATTTAACTTCATTAGCGTTTTTTGCCTCCGCTTAGATTGGCCTGGGGACAATCTACATTTTGGTCTTTTGGCTGTGGCCTCTGCCCTGCAATTTTTATCAAGTTAGATTATTATTTTGGGCATTGCTTGACCGGATAATCAGAGCATGTTCTTTGACTTTGATTCATACATGCGGTGCCTGCACAGTGGTTGGACTTTAGTAACTTATGGAGAGGACTAAATAAGCTTTAGACTAAAAATTTCTTGAAATATGTTTTTAGTTCAAGTATATATAGAGCATCGACGGGCATCGATGAACGTCAATATATTGACAAAAAATAGGAATAGCTGTTAAAAGATCTGCTAGGCCCTGCACTGGAGCTAGAGGAAAGCTCTGACGACACCACCCTTGCGACCTCGAATATATCAAATATCTCCATAAATCTTCTCTATAGTTACACATATAACGTCTTATTCCTTAAACAATTTATTCTGTACTTTTTAAAGTCCTGAAAAAGTATTAATTAATTTCTGTTTAGAATATTTGGTCTACAAATATCCCGAGTCTAACCTGTAAGTAATAAATAATAATAATAAAATTAATGTTTAATGGGAATTATGCAGTAAATTATCGACTTTTTATTCCTCATAATGTGACTATGGGTTGGCTCTAATTCCATATATATATACATGTGTTGTTAAGGTACTAAATTTGATTGTACAGGTTCTACACTTAATAATAATAAAATACTTAAAAATACTAAAAATAAAATTAATAGCATACTTTTGGGCGAAAATGGAAATAAAGTTAGTCTACTCTTAAGAGCACATAATTATGTAATATTAACCAACTTTTGAATATTTTATGTAGAAAATTAAAAAAATGTAACATTATATATAAATTAAAATTAATAAAAAATAAATTAAAAATATAATAAATTAGAGCAGGACCAAACATCTAGTAAGTCTCATCTAATATCATTTTAAGGCATTCAATTATTTGCAAGAACTTTATATAAAGTATAATAATAATTGCACATAATTCTTTCTATCTGAGTCTTGAAGTGTGAAAATGTATATATGAAATCAGTATGACGCACATAAACTAGGTTTTTGTTGAACAGAAAAGGCTTATGATCCTTTTTAGCTAAAATTCAGCTAAAACAAATGTGAAAGTATTAGTATTATATCTAATATGAAATATAAAAGCAACTGTAATTTTTTTAAAAATAAACAAAAAGTTGAAGTTCCTTTACGCCTTCATAAAATAGCTGACCTTTGACCTTTCTTGTTGGCATTCTTCAAGTCGTGATCATGGTTCATTAGTCGCTCTACGAGAGCGCAGCCTTCCGTGACAGGTTTTGTTTTGCTGCGCTGCAGCAGTCTGTCATAAATTCAAAGCAAATAGATTTGTCATACAATTTTTGGTGGCCACTGTAAAAGAGCATAGCAAGGATGTCCCAAGGAGCCAGCTACTTTTTGTGAATAGCTCTAAGTGTGTGTCTCTGTGTGTGTGTGTGTGGCAAAAAAGATGAAAAGCTATTTACATTTTGCATTTGCTGGTGCTCGGCCTGGGCAAGGACAAAACAGCGGCACTGCAAAGGCAATTTATCATAAATATTTGTCAACTGCAGCAAACTTATTTTACGCTCGAGCAGGCAGGATGCGACAGGAAGTGGCCGGATGTGGCAGCTGTATGTGACCAGCACAGTGTACAAATAACTTAGCTTTATTATTCTATAGTCCTAGCTACTAAATCGTATAGTATAATTAGCACTACAAGTACTGCCATATCAGCCAGATGGCCAGCACCACACCCAGCACCAAGTCCATGGGCAGACTGAAGGTATCGCGCTGCGATTTCTCGTGCCGCGCAATCTCGATGATCTTGTGGGTCGCGTGCAGCCACTGCTTGACCACTGACGCCTCTGCGGCCACAAAGGAGTACTCCTCACGCTTGGCCTTGTCCCTGTCCTGCTGCTTGACCATCAGATTGATAATCTTGTTGGCATTGGCAGTGGCCAACTCCAGTGGACGCTGCAGCTCCACGTGCTCCCAGCTGTAATGCTGTCGATATGCTAAACGCTTTTTGCGCACCTCAGTGCAGACCAGACAGCGATCGAAGAGGAAGATCTTGGCGCGATACTTCTTCTTAGTGGGAAAATGCTGTGCATCGAACTCCGTCGAACGCCGAAAGTAACCCTGTTGCTGCAGATCGAGCTACAAAAATGAAAACCATTAGTTTCCTCTGCAATCTTTGAGTGAGAGACAAGACTCACCTCGTTCAGCTCATCTATGTTGGGTATTTCCTCAGCCTGGTTGACCACATCCAGCTGGCGTCGCATGCGTGTTTCCAGCTTACACACAGCACTCAGCACTGGCTTACAGCTAATGCCGCTCTTATAGAATTCCTATAAATTATATAGTTGAGTAACTTTATGTATATATTTATACAGTTTTATCTGGGCTTACTCACCGATATGAATTGCTGCAACAGCAATGGATATCTGGTCAGTCTTTGAATGGGCTGCACTAGAAAGCTATCAATGCCCAGTTTGTCTTTTATTGTCGTTTGATAGCTCTATAAATAAAGTATCCATAAGTTGATCTGCATTTGCACTTGTTATCACTTTATTATTGCTTACTTGCAGCCATTCACGATTCTCTTGCCGCAGCTGCATCGACGATTTCTTGCCCATGGTAAAGCCCACATAACAATAGAAATTGTTTTTCTGCAAATAGCGAAATTGAAATGTTTCAGAAATAATATATATAAAATATTCTACTATAATGTATATACTATAAAATGTCTTTATTTCGAATTTTAAAAGAAAATATAAATGTTTTCAGATAAAATGCAAAAAAGAATTTTGACACAAATGCTTCAAATTTATTCTACAAATTTGCAAGCATTTTGTCAAACAAAATAAAAGCAAACCAAGCGAACAGTTTAAAAAGAAAATTACGTTAGACTGACCATAAGATACGCTGTATAATTTAATAAAGTATATATTATAAATATATATAATGCAAGTAGAGAACTAATCTGCATAGCATATATATCAATAGATATAAAAAAATCTAATATAATATAATAAAAATTAAAGATTATAAAATGCAAAAAAATAAATTTGGTTCAGTTTGATATATATTGAAGAATAAATTCTTTATAAAATAAGTCCTATAATATAAAAGAATTTTTTATATACTAATTTTAAGAGTAAAAGTAAAAAATTAAATATTTATAGGCAGTTGATTTGTATATTCCCTGCATTGCCTCTGCTGCAGGGTATTCAAATATGTCAAATTAACAATTTTGATAGCAATTTAGTCAGAATGCAAATGACTCAGCTCTAGAATATTTAGCATTTAGCAAATACCCTGTGTGAAAATGTTGTAGTTTATGCAAGAAATACAAAAATAAACGAATATTATTTTTACTTGTCCGCTTGTCCGAGCAACACGTACGACAATTGTTTAATGCAATAATTGGAGACAAGCAAATGCAGTCAACAGCCAGAAGGCAGCAGCTCGAGACGTATCAAGCCACACGGCTCGAGGCGAATGCAAAATGCAAATATTGCCACAGAGGCAACGAATTAAGCCAACTAATCTGTGGCCTGTCATCAAATCGTATAATTATTATTCCATTTGATTATGGGTTTTGATTTGCCAGAGGGTTGGGAGCGTGGCTTAACAGTCAGCACAGCAGATAATCAAATTAAATGCATCAAAAACTACACTAAGCCAAATAAATATGTATATTTATATATGTTATATATAGAATGATTATACATTTATATATATATATATATATATATATATATATATATATGAGTGTATTTTGCATGTTGAACCAGTTTTGAAAGACGGGGACGAGGAGAAACGCACCCAACGTGTGGAATATCAATTTTTCAGTGGCTTTGCCAAGGCTCACAGTTGGTTTGCAGTTGGTTCCGATTGTGTGTGCGTGTGTGTGGTGTGGCATTACGTGACTTAAATACTCAAAAATTATGATTTCGCCAACAGGCAAGGTTTACTTGTACACATAACATACACATGCACAGCTCTATGTGAGGCTGAGACGACGACTAACACTGAACCGACCTGAAAGTGGAGCCATGTGAACTGTATTTGCTGCCAACACAATATACAGCTTTATGTTTATTATGACAGTTGAGTATTTGTTGGGTTAGGTTAGGTTAAAACCGACTGGCTTCAAGAACTCTTAATTGACGCCACCTTTGAAGTTTGAAATCGCCAGTTGCCAACATCAAATTGAAAAAGGTTCCACCTTACATTGAATATTTATATTGTCAATCTGAGAGGTGTACTTAAGTAGTTGGCTCTTTATATTTATTGTGTCTTTACATAAAAGAATTTTGAAATGTAATGAAAAACAAATTTGCTTTCTAAAAAAATATTTCCTTTCAGCAGTCACCTAACACAATAAACTCTCTACAGCAGTTATATCACATTGAAAGGTTATTTAATCAAGGAAAACAGTATATGAAAGAGCTGCTATGTTATATATCTCTATAGTATTCCGCTGTCGATAACATATTGTTCATACGAAACAAACATTCTTCAGGCACATTTCAAATTCCAAGTTTAGTCAATACTGTCAGATACTGAACTATATATAATGCATAAAAATATGAAGCTTGAAGTTTTTTATGATACATATTTCATAAGCAATTTCAATACAAATTGAGTCATAAATCTGCGTAATTATCAAAACAGCAAATCATCAAAGTCACAAATAGAACTCGGTTGAGCTTTTGCGAAGGTCATCAGCAGAACACAATAATTCCTATGGCAGTTATATGATATATATGATATTAAATGTATGATATGATCTGGCTTGTTCCGACATATACGAAGTCAAAGCCCAAAGTAACGCATAAATCAATTTATAAAAACTTCCTAATGATAATACATTTTTTCTACTATTAAAATGAAATTGTTATTATAATAAATTATGTATAAATATATATATATATATATATATATATATATATATATATATGTATATATGTATATATATATATAAACTATTCTCTAGCTGTTTTCATATTTATTTCTGATTTTTTATAACTTTGATTCCATTTGCAAATTGAGTTCCGCTGAAGTATTTATCTATTATACAATATTTGTCAGTTTCTTTTTTTATTAATCAATGTCCAGTCTAATAAAAGTTCCCAGTTTCAGCTGTTTGTGCGAGTTCACTGAAATCTACGAGTTTGTCGCCATTTGAAGGCAATTTATAAATTGAGCAGACAAGCTTTTTATGGCTGTTTTTGATATGTGTTTTGCGAGATTTATGCCCAAAAAGTGTCCGGGCAAGTTTCGTGAGCATAAAATGGAAAACATCAAAATAGAATTGATCAAATACATTTTATTATAAATTAATGAAAACCAATGTTTCAAATGCTCAAACTAATCGACAAGCCAATTATATTTGAAAGGCCTCATTAATCCGTTGGACGCAATGTTGAAAGGAAATACACATCAGCTTTCAATATGGAAATTGTTTATAGAACGCGCTGCCAAAATGTGCCAAAGCATTTGTATAAACAAATTGAGAACGTTTATGATGAATATTATTCGAAATACTAAGCAGACTCTATCTCTCTCTCTCGCTCTCCAAAATTTTTTGTGATGCTGTGATTCAGCTAAAGAGAACATAAATCAGTTCGCATGTTTGTCGCGCATTAAGCCAAAGCCTTGGCAAATCCTCTCAGGCTTAAGCAGCCAAACACAAAAAATAAGAAAATGTTCCTCGAACGAAGCTGTCAGGAATGTTACCTGCGCATGCTTTGCGCATGCTGCCAATATTTGGGCAACTGTGTGCATTCTGGGAAACCAACATGACATAAGATCACAAACTGTACTTTAATAAATATAAATATATAAATATATATACATATTCTTATATAGAGTATATAAACACAATAGAGGCACGCTCTGAAGGCTGTCTGGCAATTCCAATTCAAATTGATTGTTTGGCTGTCAACACTTGCTGCTGTCCCTGGCCACATGTTGCCGCAATAGAGAAACACTTGCCTCGCACTCACAAATCCCACAAAAAAACAGAACAAAAATATCATCAAAGTACAAAGCACAAACGCTTCGTTATCATTTGTAATAAAAGCTAAAGATTGAGCTATTCTCGTGATTTGGCAAAGCGCGCTTCAGACATATTCATATATGTATGTCTATCTATAAGCATATGTATGTGTAGCCACTCAAAGCTGAACACTTCGATGACGTCAACTCGCAATGCCGGCTATGAATTCTCGTCGTTCATAAAAGTTTTCAGAGGGAGTTTCGTTGCCAGAAATTAAAGCTCTAATGCTTCATGTACACAATTTCAGTGATTATTTGCAATCTTATCAAAGGAGACTTTGCTAAGTCTTCGTCATCGCCATTGGCTTTTGTTGGTGCACCGCTAATTGGTTGAGTCGCAAATAGCCAACATTTTGCTGTTTATCAATTTGTGCCTAACATTTAACTGGTATTGTTTGCCCCTTAAGCATGATAGGAAGGTGGAGTGTATGCTGATAAATTGTCGAATGAAGCTACCTGTAAATACATATATATATAAATTATGAATATAGCTGGTGTTTCACCTGCAAGGTCGAACGAATAATAGAACGCAAAACTTCATCCATGAAGCTTTACTCTACATTAAATTTATAGCTTCATAAAAATAAATACTATAATAAAATACTAATACAGGGTATATTCAAGTTCATCATTTAAACTTCGCTCATTAATTTAAGCTCATGTCATGTAGGCATTATTTGAGCTTTATTATCGGGTTTTGTCTACACGATGATTGCGTACGACTGAATAATTGCACGAACCTCATCCGGGGCTTGGCCTAAGCCAAGTATCTTGTTACCGGCACCCAAACCTCAGCTCTTAACTGTTGTGGAACATTTTTCCTGGTAATCGAATATATGTTCTTGTGCATTTTGATGTATCTCTTGGTCGAAGGCAAAAAAAAAACAAAAAATCGTGACATACTTGTCGCAGGTGTGAATAACTGTGCTCAAGTCAGCGAAGAGCTCATCATTGGCAATAAATATACTAGCAGTAAATAAAATGTATACATGTAATTTATAATTTATGAGCTGCCGCGACAAGTGCTGAGTCGAGTTGCGCTTAGCATATTTAAAACTTATTTTCTTCCACTTGCAGATGTCGTCGTCGACCACGTTAATTTGCATTAATTGCTGAATTCAGAAATAAGTAAAAGCAGATGCTAAAAATAACAACGGTTCATAAACAATAGAAGGTTAGCGGAATACGGCATAAAATGTGCACGCGAGTGTTCAGCGAAAAAAAAAGAATAAAATATACTTAAATACAAAGCAATCTTAAAACACGAAATCTAAAGACGCGAAAACGTCAATCACAAAATATTTGCTCAAGTAAATCAATTGTCAAAAGATGTCGGAAATATAATACGTAAAGCAATGGAAATTGTACTATAACTTAGCAATACCCTAACGTATACTCCAACTGAACTATAAAGTACTACAAATTAGCTAATAGAGCAATACAAGAATATATATTATGTAATACTAATATGTATAATATTTTTGTACATAATTTATAATTTAAAAGTATATTCATATTTTATACAATATTTAAATTTTATTTTTATATAGAGACATATATCATATAAGCCCTTTTAAAGATTTCGAATTCTAACTTATGCCACTTTAGCATGAGTTCAATAAACGAAAACTTTTACTTAGAAAACTCAAATTATGATTCATTAGCTGTAAAGATCTGTAATTTGCATTTTAGTGATCTGTTCACAGCCATAAAACCTTTCGTTAGGGTATTAAATCCACACTTCGACACTTAAAACAATAGAAAAAATAGCGCATGGCAAATATTTGAAATTTTGATTTGTTTTGGCGGCTCAAGCCGAGCTTTAGAACCTGTCCCGACAGCTACTGCGAGATACTTAAATGGGGTTGACGGCTTTTGTAAGCAACGTCAACTGATGGCAGCCCACGCCAGCTGCTACTCACCTCAAAGTGTGTCGCAAACTCATCGAAGAGGCCTTTCAGATCGCGCTGATTACGCAGCATCATGGGCAGAATCTCTTTGTCGTGCAGCTCGAGTATCTCGGAGATGTTGCCCAGGAGCAGCTGCTGTCGCTGCTCGCCGCGTAGTCCGTCTGGCAAATCCGCGCACTGTTGTAGTTTTCCATAGTTGCTGATACCCTTGCGCAGATAGTTTACATAGTTGACCTCCGTCTGGATCAGTTCGTCGATAATGAAGCTGATCTTCTTGGAGGCATAGATTTCCGTTTGATCGCAGGGAAAGAGATTCTCTAGTGACAGCGTATCCTCATCTTCGTGGCTAAATAGAAAGAGCCAAACAATATATCTAGCAATTAGCTTCACCAACTCAATGAAAGCTTAAGGCTTGCTGCTGAGGATCGACTGGGTCTATGGGACTGACTGTTGGCATGTTACTTACTACTCATCGCCCAGGGTTTCAAAACTGACTGTATGTGTGAGGAAACCGTTGTGTGCATTGTGTGTTGGAGATGAGTTCGTTGCTGAGGGTGTTCCCGGTGTGGCACATGTGGTTGTTGTCGCTGCTGTGCTGCTTGAGTGAATTGAGTTCAATGAGATGCCACTGTAAACACAGAACAAACATGGATGCAAACAGATGAGTAACACAAAAACACAGCAACATAGGTGTAGCTGATAGGAGCAGGATCTCTAAACAGCTTGATAAGTGGGTCAATATTTCCTGAAACTATTCAGAGACTACAGAATGCCAAAGAATAATAATATTTAACCATGCCGATCTATGTCATTCTGTTGGACTACTCAGTTTATGAACTGATCTCAGCGCATGGTCTCACGTCTAAAAATAGTATTTTGTAATTGAATTTAAATATTTAACTGCGAACTCATTTAATTAGCCGGCAAAGTGTGCAGGAAATGTCAATTTACGGATTATTTGAATTTCCAAACACAGATTAGTTCCTCGATGGAAAAGAGAATACTACTTTCCAGTGTATTGATCAATAAATCTTTATTCGCATCATCACATCCGTTTTCCGTATACTGTAATCTTTATAATGGCTTATCACTAGTATTGCTTCCCATACCTCAACAATTGTTTAACAATAACTATCAACAATCAAATCATATTCATGCTATTATGCAAGGCACGTATGGGGACGTTCCCAGCAACCGATTCGGTTCACTGGAAATCGCATAAAAATAAAACTAAACTCATTAGGTAAACATTTGTTCACAAGCTTATCTTATCACGTATACGCGACGCTAAACACTGTAAAATACACGATATACGAAATGCACATAAAAACATTTATAATTTTCAACTGTGACATGAAAAATGATGGGCAGCTGACGGGGGAAAGTGTTTTCGAAAGCTTCAAGGATAAACATAGCATGTAAATAAGACATTTCATGGGAATTAGTTAATTAGTTAGACCCACCTGTCGCCGTCCAAAAGACTTGCTTGCTTCTCAAGCTTCCCATTCGATGCCGTTGGCGATATGGATCCACTTTTGGCAATGGCAGCAGCTCCATTTCCCGATACCGCGCAATCCGTTTCACTGATATCGACAACTTTTGCAGCTGTATTATCGCCCAGCACATGCAAATACACGTTAAGCAACTGCACAAAGGCTATGGATAGAAATGTTATGGCGACGGGTATTATATCGAACCAACTGATGGCAAACATTTTGCACTGTTTCACAATTTGTAACACTAATTGAATATTAATTGATTGGACAGGCCATCGGGTAGCACCTTGATGCAGAGTACTTTGCGTCTAAATCGATCGCTTGAATCCAAAAGATCGTCGCATTTTAAGCCGCGCGAACCGATGCGTGGCAAACGTGATAGTCAACTAATTCAAAACTTTGCCATAAAAATCACTTGTGCGCGGCACGAGCTTTCGCTGCGATCGCGCGAAACTTTATAGCAAAAGCTTACGCTCTCTGCTCTCAGCCTGCGCTCTCAGCTCTCGCTCTTCGCTCTCCGCTCTTGCTCCCTCACAATGTGTCTGTTTCTTGGCAGCACGCGTCAGGTATTTGTTTATAAACAAAATGCGAAACTGTAAAAATATTGAAATATCTGCTGGAATTCATAATTTTACACTTTTGCTTTCTGCCCGTCAGTCTAGCAGCAGCACATTAAGAATTTCAATGAGCGATCATTTATGGCAACTAGTGTAGCTTGATTAATGGTCGTAACAGTAATTACGTCTATGTCTGGACTATAATTTAATGTTGTCGTTTCTTTGGTTTGCCTTGAACGGAAGTTCGGTGCAGTTCGAGTGCGCAAATCATGCCTCGTTTGATAGCCAGGTTTACACAGCTCTGGCTAAGCGTTCATTAGCTACACTTCGCTGTATGTGTCCACAGTACAAAACAAATTTATTGCGATGATCTCACAGAGATCACTCACTGTTTGTATATATGCAAATATATATGTATATATAAATTTATATATATAGAATTAAATACACACTTTATTGTCGTCGTCGTCGCTGCAAATTTCACAAATGAATTGTTCACAATTCATTTTATTTATATTATTTGTAATTGATTTCTGTTATTTTTGTAGACAACGCTCGCTCACACGCCTCATGGATTGCGCCTCGGGGAGTGAGGCAACAATTGCTGGACGCATTGAAATCGGCCGGTACCAAGAATCGACAATTATTATAGCCCCCTCGCGATTGATGAGCTGCATGCAGCAGTCTGCAAACAGTTTGCATAAATTGAAAAGCAACAAATGAAACGCGCCATAAATGTTTTTAGCATATACATATATATATAGATATTTTGCTTTTTTTTTCTCTATTTTTTTGTGGGAGAACTGTTTATTTTTAAACATTTTCAAAGTGATGTCACAAGCTGTTCGAGTGCCAAAACAAGTTATTCGCTCGTTGTTGTGGCATATTATTAACAATATCGTTTGGAGGCCAATTTAGCGGGCGAGACGCAACAGATTCTCTGGCGTGCGACCTTTTCAGGGTAAATCTGATTGTTTTGACGTCGACAAATCGTTTTCCATTCGATTTTTGGACGACAAGAAAATATACATGTGGAACAGAATCTGCTTTACATGTCAATCATGTTTGACAATCGCATTGTTAGTCAAGCTAATTTGTTAAACTGAATTGTTCAAAGTATTTGTATGCCATACTCAAAGAATGAAGTATGGTAAACGAGTTGTTTGAGAAGAGCGATCAATGCTGCACTCAGATGTGTGAGCTATAGCGATCTATGTTTATTTCGTATCTCCCAATACCCGATCGTGTTGAGGTTGGAAATGGTCGCAAGCTCTCCAAAAATCTCCCTCGTTTCTAGCTGCTGCTCCTTAGCGAACTGCGACTTCTATGATCCCCGCCTTTCTGTGGTCTCACTTTTGTCAATTTATGTGTTAACAACAATTTACTTTACTTGCGATAACATAAAATATAATGTACATATAACAGTTTTTTTGTCTTTTTAAATACTAGAATTAACTTAATTTACAATATTTGGTGTTTCAGCCTTAGACTTAAACCGATTTTTCTTACATTTTTGTTTTTGTTTTTGGTTTTGTGAAACGTAACTAATCATAACAAATTTAGTATATAATAAACATTTGCCAACTGTTAACTATTAACTGTGGAACGTCAATAAAAGTTGACTGACAGCACGGGCTCATTCAGGTCCAGCCAATTGTGCAGCGCCGACTGACGTGATCTCGACATGGACATGGACATAGACATGGACACATGGACACATGAACACTCTCATAGTATGTCTTTTATATACCAGTTCAGTGAGGGGGTAGGTGGAATGCAGTCGCTCTCGGAGCTACTTAGGTGGCTGCATACCAAGTGGTGCGATTGCTGGTAGTATCCTCGTCCGGCTTGGGCATTATCCAGATATTGCCAATGCCGCTGTCCGAACTGAAGCGATTCGAGTCACGATAGAGCGAAAGACTTGGTGCCTTGCGATGCAGATGATCTTGCTCGCGGCCGTAGCGCTCATGCAGCTTCTGCCGCTCCTCGTTGGCATAGTTGTTGATCATGTCGCGGATGAGATCCAGCCAGAGCAGTATCTGTGCAGGATCCGCGCTAAACTCGCACTCCTGTTGCTTGCGCCGCTCATAGTAGAGTGTAAAGGACTTGGTTTTGGTCGTTATGCCGATGTGCTCGCAGGGATAACGACCATGGAATACCAGATGCTTGCCCTTGATCTCCGTATAAATGATGCACTTATCGAATATGAAGACTTTGGCACGATAGCTACGCTTCAGCTTGTGATCCGTCACCTGGAACTCGCTAACCTTACGGAACTTGCCCTGGTAATACACATTGAACTGAAATGGAGAGCGCCAAGCAATATTAGATATATTGTATTAGATATATTATATTATTAGATATATTATACATTAGATACAGCAGCTAACTCACCTCATTGCAGTCCACGATATCATTGATGATCTCCGATTCATTGGTGGTGGTCAGCAAGGTGCGCAATCGCTTCTCCAGGCGGCAGCAGGACTCAATCAATGGCTTCATCACGATATCACGATTCTTAAAGAATGTCTGCAAGGCATAAGAGTCGAGTTAACAAATAGATCTTGCACTTGCAGGCTTCACTTACATTGATGAACTGCGTTAGCAGCAGAGGATAACGCGCCATGCGCTGTATGGGCTGCACCAGGAAACTGTTGATGCCCAGCTTATCATCGCGCTCCAGACGTATGCTCTATAAAAGAAAAACATTTGTCTTAGAGTCAGGTGATACAATGAGTAGAGGGCTGTTACCTACCGTAAAATAATTCTTATAGAGATCGCACAGCTTTAAGGATTTCTGCTTGTTCATCGTGAAGATCACATAGCCATAGAAACAGTTTTGCTGTTGAACGATATAAGTTTATATTTATTTACAATTTAATTAGCATTAAGGGGCGTCACTTACATCCAAAAACTCTAGAAACTCATCAAAGAGTCGCTTCAGATCGCGACGATTTCGCTGCAGCATGGGCAAAAATTCATCGCGATGGAATTCGGCGATTTGCTCAATGTTGCCAAAGAGATCGTACTTCTTGCCACGCAGACCCAGGGGCAGATCCTTGCGCTGAAATATATTGCCATAGTTCTCGAGGCCCGTAAACAAGTTATTCACATAGGTCTCCTCAGTATGAATGAGCTCCTCGAGTATGGGGTGCACACACTTGTCGCTCTTATCACGCAGCTCAATTTCAATCTCATCCTCTCTGAAGTAGTGAAGATAATCAGTTTTAATTGAATTGAATATTTGAAGCGTTTCAGGATGCACTTACTCCTCTTTAGGTTGATAGACGGAATGAAATTTGTCAACCAGCTGATGGTTTGTTGTGGCAATAATTTCAGTCTTCCTTCTTGGGCTTGAACGATAATTTCTGTGGGCGATAAGAACAAATGGAGCGGTCAAACACGGCAATCTTTTTATAGTATTTATCATAAAACTTAGCACCAAGTGCGTTGCGAAAACAATACGAACAAGAAGAAGAATATATTACGCTGCGTGGCGTCGCTCAATGAATCACTGGCCGTCTGAGTGCCAGCTGATAAGAGCCACCCATTCCAAGGTAAGAGCTCATGGGGCACAGGGATTAAAATTATACAAATTATACAAATTTTGCTACATTACTCAGCCTGGGGAACTACAATAGCTACATTCAACTACGACAGTCAATAGAGAGAGGAAATTCTCACCAGTTCTTCTTGGATTTTCCTATCGTCGGCGCCTTCAAATACGTTCAAGCCGCCAAATAATTTGTGCACACCCACCGCCAATTCTCGCATGCAATCAACGAAGAAGTCGAGCTGACTGATTAGGAACCAGGAGAACATGATCAGCAACAACATTGACACGCCGGTGACTATGAAGCCAATCAGCTGGAAGACGTAAGACACACAGACTGCAAAGCTAGCAAGTAATACCGATGCGACAATGACGGAGCTGAATACCTACCCCGTCAATAAGACGCTCCGGGTTGTAGGCGCGAGATTTCACGTTCGAGACGATCACAGGAGGATTGGGTGATACGTCATCAGGATTCGAATCACTACCATCCCCACTTTCGGAACTGTGGTCTTTTGGGGTATTAAGAGATAAGGAGGTGCCTATTAGTTTTCGCTTGCCAGGCCATGATCGGACACTATCAGCATCGGCTGTGGCTTCTTCGCTCTCCGTGTTTGAAAATATGTAAGCGCCTTTGTCATCCGTATTGCTGCCTCTATTCACCATCAGGGGCACGGCATCGACATTACTCTTTTCCACTATTTTTACGTGGTGCAGGCTTTTGGAGGTCTGAATCCCTTTGCTCGACTTGCTGCCGCTTGGCCCATCGCTGGGATCTGAGCCGTTCATATTTTAGCTGAAGCTGACTTATAACATTTGAGCTCGACAGATACATTTTACAAATTTTGGTACATTTTCTAATCAAGTTTAAATTGCTTCTAAATTGATATTGTTGACAGCTAACGCCAAGTTGCAACCGGTTCCAAAGCCAAATCACAAACGTAATTTAAACTCCAAACACTTGCCAATTAAGTTCAGTTCAGCTCAGTAACAAGGCGATAAATACCAGCGAATTGTTATGGCCAAGTCGCTTAATTAGACTTACGACTTTGCAAATTACTAAAATGGACCGCCCAATGACCGAGCAAGCAATAAGCAAAGGTCGTTTTACAGTAAGCGAACAGGTAAACAATTCTGGAATGTATAATTTATACTGAAGAATGGATGCTTAATGAATGCAAATGGATGTTTAAATACAAGCTGAACTGTTGGAAAATAATTCATAAGCAATAGCTCTGCTAATAATTGAGTTACTTTTAACCAATCTTCAGTAAATTGAATTTGCGTGAGAAAATATATAAAACACGGCCGACCAAGTTGAACATATAACATCAAACGTATTGTATAATTGCCATTATAACCAACTGATAACACATTTTGTTTGTCTTATCTTGAAGCTAATCACTGATAAGAAACTCAGATTAGTTTGTGAAGTACCTTATCTAGTGTTGTAAAACGAAGAAATCTAGGAAGTGAGAGTGTGATACTTAATCAAAACTATCAACAAGCAATGTTGATAAACGTATTTGTAGAGGCCCTCAACAGTAAGTTGTAATTTCCTATGGTAAGCACTCCATAAAACTTGAATTTGCCATGGCAAAACTTGCACTTGCATAAGACCAACACACACCTTTCTTATACCAAATGAGTATAGAAATATAAAAAAAACTAAATTTGGATATTGATAAATAATTAGCAATAAAGAAATAAACACTCTGCTTTATCGTATATCTGATAAGATATATTAAATAATATCTGTTAAGCAAACACTGTTGAACGTACCTTGGGAAATCTTTGTCAGGGCGCACCTTCGTGGGATCCGCGCTTAGGGAGCGCTGCACCGCTTGGGTTTTCACTTCATCCTCATCCGTGCAGCTGGCGGGCAGCACAACGGAGCTGGTCTCGCTGAGCACGTAGTCGACCGCTGTGTTGGGGTCCGTTTCAAAGTCTGATATCTGATCGACCTCATCTTCGGAGCGCACCTCATCAATGCTCAGATGGTTGCTGGATATAGAACTGGTGTGGGAGTTGAGACCTGGCAGAGCAATGCGCCGTGGCGGGGGTGGAGTTCGAATTTGAACCTGATTGGTGTACTGTGAGAAGCTGGGATGGCGACGATTCTCGAGCAGCTTCAGGCTAAGACGTTCTTGCCGCAAATAGCTGATCGTGGTCTTCAGCGTCTCGAATCGCTGCACCTTCTGACGCACATCCAACAAGGCCGGATCCGGCGTCTGTGCTATGGTTGCTTCGCACGGCTCTGCCGTGTCTTCGCTGGCTGCGCGCATTTTAAGTACAGAGCGTCGATTGAACGCACTCTCCGTATCCGAGTTGACCGAGTAGGAGAGTTGAAAGGAACTCGAACTGCTGCTCACGTTGCTGTCGCGTTGTCCGCCGCAATCCGCGTCCACTGCACTACTGTGACGCTCCAGCTCTGCCAACTGTCCGCTGCGGCGTCGCGAGTTGCGCTTGTTGAAGTTCCGATTGCTCAAGTTACGCTCTCGCCGAAACGGCAGCGGGCTGAGATCTTCGTCGCCCATTGCGCTCCAAGTGAATGTGTGGCGTAGGCGGTAGATACCTGCAGGCCTGATAACGATTATCACGCCCTCTCTCTCTCTCTCTCTCTCTTGCTCACTGCACTCTCTCACGCAGCTAAAAAAGCGCCAACTCCCTCTATATCTCTCTCTCTCTCTCTTATAGCTTTGGCTGTATTTGCTTTCACTAATTTCACGTTTTGTTGCTAATTGCGTTCTTGAAATGAGTTCCGATTCCACTTGTTTCAGCTTGAATCAAGCATTTATTTTAAAAGTTAATGGGGTTTAGTGTATCCAAAAATATATATCCACACATTGCGCACATACAATTCTTTATCTTCGTTTTGTTTGCTGGCATTTACGAAACACGTATTCGTATCTCGTGCGTTGGCTGTCAGCAGCTGCAAAAAACAACAAGAAATATGAAAAAAATTAAGCAAAATTTTTGATTAAAGCGTTTTATCGCCAGAATTAACGAAAATACATTTGTACGTCCAACAACTCACACACTGACTATCAACGTATACAAAAAGCTATTATAATAATAAAATAATAAATAAAACGCCGAAGAATTTGCAATTAACCGAGAACAAACAATATATCTAAATTTGATTTTGTCCCATTAAAGATCATTATATATAATTAGTTGAAATGATGCTTAAAAATGTTAGAAAAATGTATGTGAATGTCAGAATTATCGATTTTAATCTTTGTTCACATGATCGACAATTGCCGATGATCTACAAGCTTACCAATTAATATCGATTTTAATGTATACAGAGATTTTTATACATGAATCGGTATCAAAATACTAATATTTATCTAAATATATATTAATCAATTTTTATACATGAAACGATATTAAAATAATAATATTTATCTATATCGATAACATATTCAAACATATAGCAACTAATACCGGTATCGATTGTTATCGATAATTCTGTAAAAAATGAAACAATAAGCTTTTACAAGCCCTGCAGCAACTTTTAGGTTATCGATAAAATACTCATTGAGTTATCGATAAGCATTTCAATAGTTAGTAAAAAACGACTCTCTCTTCTAGTCGCCATCGGCTCTAGCGTATCTCGAAATGTGTATGCACAAATGATTTGCACTTCCAGCTAAAGATAAAGTCATAGACCATAAAACTATTATATATGTGTATATATATATAATATAGTGTTTTTTCTGGCATTTCTACAGCGTTTTCGAGTGCTTAACTCGTTTAAGTTGCCCGTTAATCTCGCAAATATTTGCTTAAAACATGTCAACAGAGGAGCAGCTAAAAGTGAAATATATAATTTATTTACATGGCGAACGACGTCAAGCGATCAGGGGTTCGCCAGCTCTATATGCATAGTCACACCGCCACAAACCCACACGATCTGCCGTAGTTAATTATGTGTGACGTTTAGACTGGGCCAACAAAAAACAAAATGTACATACAAAAATACAGTTAAAAGCCGAAACAAAGGTAATTCAAGTGCTCAGGTACAACCGGGTCGTACATGCATAACTCAAAATATATGATATATATCTGAGTTGGTAACCGAAAATGAGTGAGAGGAACAAATGCCCATTATTAAGCGTTAGGAATGAATATTTGAAGCAGCTGGTTCGGCTTATGTCAAATAAATTGGAATTCTTGGGTTGAAATCAGATCAGCTTAGTTTCAGATTTTCATTCCATTCATCAAATAGTAGTCTAAGAATTTTGAGTTCGTCCTAAATGATAAGTCCAGAAATTTTCGTTCATTCGATACAATAGGAATCCAAATAGTATTAACAAAAAGTCGTAAAAAAAGTTAAAGTTTTTCCGCAATTATATATAGAAAGGCGTAAATTTGCTGTTTTAGATTTGTTTTGAAATTAAATTATGAAACGGTTAAACATATGCGGCGCATTTTTAGCACTCTCTGGCCCTGGTACTAAGGAAGACATCATCATTCAGGTGGCCAAGCAACAGAACATACGCTTCAACGATCTGCCCCAGCTGCAGAAGGAGGTGGATCGCGCGTTGGAGGAGAGTTTGCGTCTCGGCTTCGTGGACCGTCAAGGTCAGATTTACAAGCTCAACGTGGACGTGCACGGCAAGGCGAGCCCAAAAAATGCAACGAGCCACAAAACGACGGCAGCCAGCGCCGGCATGGAAGCGGCCATGCAAACGAATCCGATACTAGAGAACAAGACCCATGGCCAAGGAGACACGCGCAGTCGTTCGTTGGTTGACAATTGCAGCCGAATCAAGTCTCGCACCTCCTCATGCTCCGCATGCAGCGCCTTGGACTACATTACCCCTCAGGACAGGCGCAAGAACACCCATTTTCTGGACAAGCATTTGTTGCGCAAGGAAAAAAGCGTTTGCTCCATCTGCGGCCTGAACAGCGATAAGCGCGCTGCCGACGGTCAGGAGCCAGATTCCACTACAAACATTTAAGATCGATATTATTTTAAAATTCGGTGAGTTATGGTAATTGGATGCGAAAAATATGTTTGATTATGATATATGATAAGCAATACTAATAACGATAATAAAAGAATAAATTCAGCGTATATAGAATGTAACAAATTTAACATTGATAATAATAATAATAGTTATAGTGATATATATCATATCAAAAATCACATCTTTAATCTTGAACATTATTTTTGATTCGTTATTTTCTTTTCTCTTTTTGTTTAGCACTTTTCGGCTCTAGTCAAATTTTGAAGACTTTGGTTAACATGAACCAGCCCAATTATATTGGCCATAATTGAGCCATAAACTTTTATTATTACGTGTAGCAATTATTTTGATTCATGCGAATAAACACCTATATAAACCCAGATGACATTGGCTTTGCTTACCCAGCGGGGATGGGAGGGAGGTTGGTTGTCAGTTGTTGTTGGCATTTGATTTGTTAACCCAGTTAGATAGCTGTGCCTGCACTTGACTCGTTGTGGCCATAATGTTTTTCGACAGAACGAAACGCGCACATTTTGTGTACGTAGAGAGCCCTGAAATGTTATCTACCAATGCCGTTGATAAGAAATTATCTTGACGCTATATTTTCTAACAATTATTCGAATTTTCAATTGCGTTTGAACTCGCTGGGAAATTCTATGAAAATCGGCAAGCTGGTAAGTCCATGTATCATTTGGTATTGTATATGGCCATAAGTCATCGGCTTTGTTATCGCAACAAGTGGGATTTTTGTTACTTCAGTTTGTAATACACAAAAAAAGTAGAGAAAAAACTAAACCAAACAATTTGATTGAATTATTTTAATACATTTGCCCACAAATTGGAACGAGCAATGTTGCCACTTTTCACTGCGTTCGTGCCAATTTCTACAGCAATTTTATTGCACTTAAATCCAAAGTACTTGAATACGTCAACTCATTAAGTCTTTGTTCGAAACAAACGGCTTAATAGCGATGATTGATTAAGAACGCCAGCTATTTTAATTGAATAATATAAAAGAGGAGTAGGAAGCCCCTGCCGAAAGTTATAGACTTAATAAAAATTGTTCGAGCATCCTTTAACAATAGAAACAATAATCTAATGCTGTCTAATGGGACTCACTTCCAAGCATGAGCACTTCCAAGTGACAATAATTTATTTACCAGGGAATTTTCACATAACTATCTTATAGTTGTGCACTGACTCATATCCTTTACAAAAAAAGTTAAATATAATAAACAATAATAAAAAGTACACTGCTCACTGATAAGCGGCGGCAAGCGGAACTGTTTTACAGGTGAGCTCGGCAATAATACTGTTGCTGATCCCCGTGAGGCTACTCGATTTGCTATTTTTAGACTAATCGCGTCTGAGACTCCAAACAGGTTACGACCAACTCAGCGTGCCTAACATTAGGTGTTTTTATGGCTCTTGCAACAAGCACAACAATAAAAAACCAACAGTTTGCTATCTCCGTCTCTAATCTATCGATTTGAGTTTGAGTTTGACTTTTCAAAGCCTTTTCTACGAATTTCCGGCACAAAAATAAACTGCAATATAATCATAAAAGCAAATGGCAGATACGATTGTATTATGCAGATAAAAAAGGGAGTTTTTTATAACGCTCAGATTTTCATGACTTGCCAACAAGTTAGTAAAATATTATGATGTATTTTGTGGTGGGAAGACACTTGAGGTTTGTCAGCCTTAAATAAAATGACATTATTTAACATATTATAAAGCTAAAGCTTTATGACATAATCTCATGCTATAAACGAAAAATTTCCTCACTTCGATTAACTTATAACTGATATTTTTATGAAGTTCCGTTGAAACTAGCTTTGTACAGATGTTTCCCATCATGCATATTGAAGCTAATTCTCTTTTTTCAACTCAGTTTTATTAATTACTTTTATTTACTTTTTGCTGTCTTTGTGTGTATCGGCCTGAAGTGCCCGATAAGTTAGGCAAATAACGAGCTGCTGACAAAAAAAAAATGCAAAAAATGACACTAACCGCAACTGATACGAGGTAGTACGTAGAGCACACGCTAGATCCTAAAAAAGTTTTGTTAAATACGCTACTAAAATGCGAACAAATAAATGTAGCAATAAACCGAACAAAAACCCCACACAAAAACAGAGCCAGAAAGGGGGAGAGAGACAGGCAGAACGAGTGTGTATGAGAGTGAAAGGGAGATATATGACGACTGCAGACTGACAACAAAAAAACGCTATGTAAAAGCATTTTGCTTTATTATTTTTGATCATGTTTTTCTATTTATTTTATTTTCTTTTTTTTTATAATTTGTGTGCACGTGTTAATTAAACAATTAGCTAGCTGTAAGCGTGCATAGTTCATTTTTGTTTTTTGTTGCTAGCTTTTTGCTGGGGCCTTTCAAGCGTTTTTCGTGCTTAGGTAAATAAGTAAAAATACGTGTAATTCATGTTCTCTTGCCAATTTCGGCACTTACATTGCTCAGCAGGCACTAAAGGTTATGACAACATTAAGGTCAGCCTCAATTGCAGTGCAACAACTATTTAAGTTCAGTGTTCAGAAATCAGTTTCAAAGTTCTACAAGTTCATGAGCCGCAGCACACGCGGCGTATACGCAATTTGCACACTCACGCACACAATGAAAGGGCGCACTCACACACGGGCAATGGCGTCGCGGCTATGGCTGTTACTGTTAACTGTTTTGCGCAGACACGAAAGAGACGAACGATGACGAACCGATTTCAAAAAGCGAGCGAACGAGCGGCTGAGCGACGGCAATGAAACGTTCAGCTCACCTGCGCATTTGAATTGGCACTGATCCGGAATTCGCGCATTGCAGCAAGTACGCCGTCGGCGTCGGCGACTCTCACGTCACAGTGGGCAAATACGTGAATCTAAAATTCAGACTTACAGCTGCGTATTGCTGTGAATATTTCATTTTCGCTTGCTGTTCTGGAAGGATATATTTATGTATTCACAATTAATTATTATTACTTATTAATCAAATCTAAAAAAGTCTTATTTATATATAATAATATGGGCTTAACATATCATTGAGTTATAAATAAATTGATGACTGCAAAATATATAAAAGTAGCATCATCACTAAATTTATTTTGCAGGTTTGGTTAGTTCATCCCACAGTGCGCAGCACTAACTCTTCCTCTTTCTCTCTGTCACGACTCTGTTGTTGTTGTCGACTGCTAACTGTTTGCTTCAGTTGTTGTCGTTGCTTTTGCTGCGCCGACTCCACCGTTTTAGTTATAATTCGTTGTTGTTGCTGCTGCTTATTGTGTTCTGTCTTTATTATTTAGATTGCACACTCTCACACAATTTAGCAGCTGTGACCGTGTACGTGTGCGCCTGTGTGTGCGTGCATGACTTTGCTCTGCTGTTGTTTTTGTATAGTTTGTGTTGGTGTTTGTGAGTTCGCTGCATTTTCTACAGCAAATTATTGTCATAATTCTTTTTGTTGCTGCGCTTTTATTATTTCGCTTTTTATTTACATGCAGGCGGCATAAATTCTTAATTAGTCTAGGCCGACAAATACAATGGCTTCCAACTTGAGATCTACTGGTAAAATTATTGTCACCGCCTGTTGTTGTTGGTAACTGAGAAAATTCTCAAAGCAAGCAATTATTTCATTTAATGTCAAAGTGAAAACGTAAATATTCCAAAAATTTCATTAGCTTCATCAAAAGTTCCCAGGCGTGTTTCTACACAAATACCTTTAATAAAGAAAAACCTGTTTTACATATTGAAAATTCTTTAAGGTAAGTTAGCCCAACTTTTTATTAGTGTCATATTTCTTAGACGTAGAGTAAGCATAATACGTGCAAGTTTATTATCTTATCGGCTTTTAAGCAAGTTTCTTATTTTGCACCAGTTGGCAATTTCAAATTCGATTGCCAGCAATAAGAGCATTGAGGCCAATTGGTCAAGTCGCTGCTCAAGAATTTTACTCATTTTCTGCTTATCTTTTCAAACGTTTTGCTTAGGCCAACAACCATTTATCATAGGGGACTTACCGACAGCTGGTGAAATTGAACTCTTATTTATTTTAATCTTAAGTGCACACAAAACACTCCCTCTAATAATCGTTACACATTTCAAAATTAGCGCCAACTTTTAAAAAAGGGAATGATATAGCAAAGAGCTTTCAATAGGGACACTTAACGAAGATAAGCATTTTAAATGAACCCCAAGCTTTACACAATTTCTAACAAGCAGTGCAATACTCTAGCTTACTTTCATAAGCAGTGCATAACGTAGCAGTGTAAACAGCTTACAGCTAAGCAGTAAACGCTTCTCAATTTGAATTAATAAAACAGTCAACTCTGACCCCAAATTTTGAAATCAACTATTTAAATTTATTACTTTACATGTAATAATGTTTTTTGACAAGGAATATTGTAAAAAAAAAATTAAAAGATCCAAATTCAATAATTAGTTAAAGAGCTTTGCGTAGCTGCTTAGAACCAGCTTTAAGTCTGTTGGACTTTGTCTACCTTGCACTCTACCATAAACAAGCTTGGTAAACGTTCAGATTTCATAGCCTGGCGCCGATAAGTTTCAACATCCGACAAATTACCGGCACACCGTCTCATGTTGGCGTTGTAAAAACTTTCCTCTACCTCCAACTGTTGTTTTCTCATTAACTGTAACCCAAAGCACCGATTTCTAACGGAAATGCTCTAATGGAAAAATCCTTTAGTCAACCAAAAAACTGAGCCCCATATACGATGCCATTAAGATTTGAAGCGATAAAAAAGCAAACCAACTGCTGCAGATCGAATGAGCATTATTCGCAGAAACCTAACCTAAGATTCTTCTCTAGTAAATATTGCCGCATCGGAGCTATTTAAACTATCATTAAATAAGTCAAATAAACTTCAGCTTGGCTAAAAGCTGTGAAAAATATTTGCTTAGCTGTAATTGGTTCATAATTGAAAGCTTGCCAAATATTTAGTTGAGTCCCAAACAAATCGAACAAAAAATCAATACAATTTTCTCTCTGCAATAAGAGAAACTACAAATCAATAAAACTTTAAGAGCGCATGAAATTATAAAAAAAAAGTTACATGCGAAAGCCCAATTGGGAAAAGTGCACACAGTAAACAAGCCAAATAGATACAGTCAAATCTCTGCATTTAATTGAATTCATCAGGCGAAAATTCCTTTGTAAGGCATTAAAAAAGGCACATGTCAGAACGCCCACTGTCGCACATATATAGACACATGCATAAGTTCATATAAAAGGCAAAGACAATTACTCTCTTACTTACACATGCAAATGGACAAGCCGGCCGGTTACCGGCTTTGTGACTCTCTCTCTCTTTTTGCACTCAGCTGCTCAGAGAGCGGAGCGTAGCTTTGGACACTGAGTGGATTTATATATGTACATGGGTAGCATAACTATTATTTTAGTATAAGGCAGCTGCATTTGTTCTTCTTAATTGGCAACAGAATTGGCTTAAGCTAATTAATTATTCATTTTGATATGCAACAGTTCATATTTAAATACCAGTCAAAATAAAAAATAACACGCAAGCATTCTAAGAAAGAGCGAGAGGGGAATGCGCTGCACAACATGTGCACACACACACACACACACACACACGCACGCACACACATATATATAACGATCCGCTCTCAGTGGCTCTCTGTGCGTCGCCGCCGTCGGTTTTTAGTTACTCGGAGCAGCTGCATGTGGGAGTGTCGCCGCCCATTTAGTCAATTGGAACGTATAAAAGCCGTCGCTCAGGTTCTCCAACAATAGTCGGCGTTCATTGCTGTTGCTTAGCTGCTGCGATCGGTAATCAGATTTAATTGTTTCTCCTGTTTGCCAGTGTGACCAGCCGAGTGTCCAAAGAGCCAAACCTCAAAAATCTCAATTGATTTGGAAAGCGCAGCTGGAGCTGATATATTGATTTAAAAAGTTCTTTGAGGTAAGGCACACACCTGCACTAGGCGGGAAGGACGAGCGATTTGAAATTGAAAGCACATACTAAAGTATATGCTTAAGTGATGTAATTAACTAAATGGCCAAACGGTTTCTTTTGCCAATTTGAAAATCGATTTTCGAAAGCCGAACAACGTTGAACTTCGTCTTCGTTCTTTTGTGCGATCGTCTTATCTAAAATTGGAACTGTCTATTCTTCTCTTGATTTGTGGGTCAATCGATTCGAAATCGAAAAGTTTTGAACTCGTTTCGGGCATTCGCAGTTCTTGCCTACGACTCGAATCATTCGCACGCAAATATGTGAAGGACAACGACGTGTGTGGACCAAACCTAAACCCAATCAAACGAGATATCGAAACGACAAACCTTCTACGAATTGCATTACAAATAGTAAACTCGAAATCCAATTTTTTCTCAATCGTGGAGTGCGCGTACGAATTTCGAAGCGTGAGGTACTTACATTTTACGTGCGGAACAATTTCACAATTTATTCTCACCCAGTGCAATAAAAAATTTCAATTAAATTCAACGTTTATATAATCCACGTAGTATATAAGAAAACTATTCTAAATTTATAATGGACTACAAAAAAAATATTTACACTCGAATCAGTTAGTTCTCAGTGCGGCAATTGAAAATGTCATTGATAAGAATTTGTCTGGAGTCTTGATCACTTGGGTTCATCGCTAATCTGTTGTTTGGGTCGTTTCCCAGTTTACTGATCCGACTTTTTTCGGCAGACTAAGACCATCTGGCACTTGATTTTTATACATAGCACGTGCTACTATCTGATTTAATATAACAACATTTATTGATTTATATTCTTCATTCAATAGGAATATGCAAGTGTAAAGTGTTAAGGGTCTAACTATAGATGGATTAAGCTTAAGCTTAACAGAAAATATTCTTATAAATCTTAGGTTTGAAAGGAAAGAAAATTAATAATTTCTTGGTTTTTATGATATATATATTTACATTATAAATATATATGAATAGACCATAACAAAATTTAAAACTTTTTGAATTGTAAATTATTAACTAAAAAAACAACTTAAGGTTAATAGATGTTTGAATTAGGTATTCTTAGCTTATATTTGTGCCCAAGTAAATGGGTATAATCCCTTATAGTTTTCCCAGACCTCTTTTGAACTGGCCTCAACAATTTCTTGACATTTTCGTACAAGTTTCGCACGAAGCAAAAAATTGAAAATCGATTTCACACAATTAAGTGTGAGGGGCTTCGAGACAAGGCAATGGGACAATGGGGCAACATCAAATGGCATTAAAATAGCACAAAAACGAAATTTAATTAAATCATGACACTAAAATACCCCCCTCGATGGATCTTGCCAAATTAAATTCAATTGAAGTGGCCACAGCAACAGAGCAAGAGAAAGACATAGGGAGGGAGATAGAGAATGAGAGAAAGAGAGAGAGAGGGCGAGGGCGAGGGCGAGAAGCAGAGTCGAATAGTGAGAGACGTCAAATCGTTTGCAATTTGAGACACGAAATTGCAGCGGAAGAGGCGACCAATCGCGCATTACTAGCGAAGAGGGTTGCACAGCAATTGATTGACTGATTGACTGACTGACTGACTGATTGACTGGGCGCACTGCCAAAAGTGGCACTAAAGACTGCCTGCAGCAGTTGAATCCCATTCGATTTTTCCATCACACACGAAAAGGGCTTCGCGTCACTTCCTGTCGAGCACTTAATATGATAATAAAAAAATAAAAATAAAAAATAAAAACAATGAATATAGGGGCGTAACAGTGCGCCAACGCCCCAACTTGCAAGCATAACCAACTTGATCTATGTGCTATAACGCGTCGTTCAATGCGAATCGTGTGGGTGCGGGTCTGCAACTGCAACTGCAACTGCGACAGCGACAGCGACAGCGACTGTCTCTGGCTCTGTCGCTGAATCGGTATCTGCATCGTGTCTGTGTTTGCCCTTGGCTCCCTCAGCTCCCCCACCTCGTATTCCTCCTCAAGTCGTGTCTCTGGCATAATCGATGCATTTCCGCTTTGCAGCCATAACAGTTCCATAAGAAATGCTTACATTCTATATATATCTATATATATTTATATATAATGCATTTCAATATAGTTATATCGTAATTATATGTCAATTGTTTGGTTGCCAGGCTACAGATTTTGATTTATCGCAGTTGCCAGCTGTGGAATGTTGCCAATTGTAAGGTAAAGCCTACAGCTCCAAATATGGACAAATCGAGCGAATGCAAAAGAAATGCTTTGCCGCGCTCAATTATAGAGCATACATATGAAGGTTAAGTTGTGTAATAAAAACAAACAACTGTAAACCGTTATTAAATATTTGAAAGAATTATAATATCTACTAGAATATTTTTTCTATTATAATATATAAATGAAAATATAGAAAATCAAAAGCGTTCGGTAGAAAACGAGCCTTGCCGTTATATATATATATATATATAGAGGTTTCTCTAATATATATATATATATATCTATTTTAGAGAAACCTCTTTATTTATACTAAGTAGTGTAATAAATATTTAAGCTTATCGAAGATATCGTCTATTTAACAGAAACTTCTAGGTGGAAATGGCGTATAAATCATTAATTAATTCATTATCATTATTATTATGAAATAGAAGCCCTCTAGCCGCGATAACCACATGCAAAATTCGATTTTATTTTTATTTCCTCTCTTTTGTTTTTTTTTTTTTTAATTAGCTGATATAGTATTGAATTCACATGTTTTTTTAGTGGTATAAGTCGCTGAAAGTTGCTTAGGTTTTGTTTGTCCCACCGCATTCCTTATCTGGAGACCTGTAAACTGGTTCACAACTAGCTAAATAAACATTCGAACAGTCGAATATATGCTCTTCTATAGATTCCAGTTGCCAACTTTTATAAACATTTGATAAGTCTGCTTTTTCGGCTGTTATCGCAATGGCTCTGCAAACAAACACAACACTGATTATGACAAGGGCTTTGTTTACGGCCGATAAGAATTATCTGCAGCATGGCCATTAAGCATATATATCTATTATAATAATGATGGTGATATGCGATACTCACTGTTGGTATTTCTCTTTGATCTTGCTAATAGGGAATTGCATTGAGTAAGCGGAGAAATGGCCGATGAAGCACAAGCACCACCAGCTGAGGGCGCACCACCAGCAGAGGGCGAGGCTGCACCGCCAGCCGATGGCGAGGCACCACCAGCAGCCGATGGCGAGGCCGCACCACCCGCCGAGCCCGCCGAGCCGATCAAGCACAGCTATACCCTCTTCTATTTCAATTTGAAGGCACTCGCCGAGCCGTTGCGCTATCTGTTCGCCTATGGCGGCATCGAGTACGAGGATGTGCGCGTCACCCGTGACGAGTGGCCAGCGCTGAAGCCGAGTAAGTGCATCCACAGCTTTCCAAGTGCCAGCCACACACATGTTCTCATCTCTTTGCCATCATCTTAGCCATGCCCATGGGCCAGATGCCAGTGCTGGAGGTGGATGGCAAGCGTGTGCATCAGAGCATCTCGATGGCTCGCTTCCTGGCCAAGACCGTTGGCCTGTGCGGCGCCACACCCTGGGAGGATCTGCAAATTGACATTGTGGTTGATACCATCAATGACTTCCGTCTAAGTAGCGAACAATGTGTGCTTCAGTTTCATGTTCAGTGTCCTTGATTAACTCTGGAATTTTTAATGTATAGAAATTGCAGTCGTCTCGTATGAGCCCGAGGATGAGATCAAGGAGAAGAAGCTGGTCACCCTAAATGCCGAGGTCATTCCATTCTACCTGGAGAAACTGGAGCAGACCGTTAAGGACAATGACGGCCATCTGGCTTTGGGCAAGGTACGAACTGTGAAGATGTTTCTTTATCCAAGCATTTTCTTTACCCACGTCACTCTCCCTCTGCTTAGCTCACCTGGGCCGATGTTTACTTTGCTGGCATCACCGACTACATGAACTACATGGTCAAGCGTGATCTGCTGGAACCGTATCCGGCTCTACGTGGCGTTGTCGATGCCACCAACGCTCTGGAACCCATCAAGGCCTGGATTGAGAAGCGTCCTGCTACCGAGGTCTAAGCTGGAGCAGCTAACATCTAAAAACAAGACGGCAACAATTGCGGAGGGGAGAATCATTGCACAGCAATAACAATAACAACAACAACACGCAACACTACACATTTTTTATTATTATTATTATTTGCATCATTATTTTTTCACACATTTGATTCCCTTTGAATTGGGGCTAGCAAGACCTACTTGAGGGAAATTTAAACCGCGCACGGGTTAACGTTCGGGAATTTCAAATACATATGCGTAGTTCTTTAGTACATGGCACATAATAATTCTTTTTGGCATAATTCTCTTTGCATTGCCTCGAAAATACGTAACGAATCAGCCAATATGGAACTATTTTCTAGCTTTAAAGTTCATGACTATAAAAAATCAACAAAAAAAGAAGGATAAATTTATTGCACAGTTATAATATTGCTCTACTTTTAGAAAATACTCCTAGTACATAGTATATAAAGCTCTATGCATAAATATCTATATGTTCCACGTCCTATAAGATTATAATATTCAACTCTATCTTTAATTCAATGCGAAGAGTTTTCAAATATTTACAACATCACAACACAAACAACAACTACAACAACAATTATCGCAGCAGTAGCAGCGACAACGACGCAAATATTTTTATGTTTATTATATTTATTTTGCTTATATTTATTATTTTTATTTCGGCACAAACTTTCGTCCAGCCTCAAGAATTTTCGACGTCCAACCATTTAAGACCTTTAAGAAAAAGACTCACAGATATAACTTCAAAATTTTAATATTGGTGCATTGGATATAATTTAACTTAAAAACAAAAAGAGAAAGTAATAAATTCAATACTCCACACAGACAACAACTGCCAACACATAAAACATTTTCAGTTTTTTTTTATAATTTTTTTATTACTCACATCTAACATTGTATTTGTATTTTTAAATATTTGCACAATATTAAAAACACACATTTTGAATAAACTACACACAAAATAAGAATTGAGCATACTTTTCGAAAGCACGAAAATTGGTTTTATTTTTTCCCGTTGGGAAAAGGTTAATATATAAAATATAAAATATAAAAAATAAAATATAAAAAATAAAATATAAAATATAAAATATAAAATATATAATATATAATATAAAATATATAATATATAATATATAATATATAATATATAATATACAATATACAATATACAATATACAATATACAATATACAATATACAATATATAATATATAATATATATACAATATATAATATATAATATATAATATATAATATAAAATATAAAATATAAAATATATTTTATATAATATATAAAAAATATAAAATATATAACACCATATGAAATGTCCAATTCCAATTGTAACAAACAAAACAATTTCCAAAACTAATCAAGTACAGAAATAAATGTCGAGATGCAAAAAAAAAATTACAAATAAATTCCAACTGGGATTTCCAAAATAATACGGAAGCAAAATTCCAAAAAAAAACTACAACAAAAATAAGAACTGATATCCAACTGTTTTTAAAAAAATATAAATAAATTTTCTAAAAATATATATCTAACGTATATCTATATATAGGGAAACAGAAGCTCTAAAATCTGCAATTGGTTTATTTCTTATTTAGTTACACAAATAGTTGGTACAAATTAAAGACTTACCAAAGAAGAGTAGTGGGAATAATAAATACGATCATCAGAAAGTACACAGCATTGTTCCATAATATTTAAAATGCGTAAAAAGTATTTAATTATATTTGTTTTTAAAAAATTAAATGCACAATTGATCAGGAAAAGGTCAGGAAATTATTAATAATTTCGTTTCATTTCAGTTAAGTATGTTTCCATTTGGGCGCACGCTTCTCAACGAAGCTACTCATGCCCTCCATGCAGTCAGCCAATTGCAGATTTTCATTCATTTTTGCCTTAGCCCTAACGTAAGCTTGTTCAAGCGGTAGATTCAGCTGTTCGTAGTAGAATTCCTTGCCTAGGGCAATCACAGCACGACTCTTTGCTCTGATGGCGTTGGCAATATCATCGATCGTTTTGTCCAGTTCGCTTTCCGGCACGACTTTGGTGACCAAGCCGGCAACATATGCCTCCTGGCCGGTTAAAGGCAAACCAGTCATAAGCATATAGGCAGACTTCGGACGTGACATAACGCGACCAACAGCTACGCCGGGAGTATTACAAAAGACGCCTACGGCAGCGCTAAAAACGAAAGCCAAAGTTTAATAAATGAGAGATAAGTAACTAAAATTGACTATCTACCCGGGCGTGGAAAACATGCTCTTGTCGGTGGCCACAATAATGTCGCAGGAAGCAACCAACTGGCAACCAGCCGCAGCGGCATACCCATTTACTTTTGCTATGACTGGCACAGGTAACTTTTGTATACCAATAACTAGGTCCGTCATCTTTTGAAATACAGCATCACGGTATTGCAAGTCATTAGGTTGTAGCTGCTTCAAATTATGGCCAGCCGACCAAACTTTGCCCTCAGCCGAGAGAACAATGCAACGCAGATTCAAATTATCTTTATCTTCGTTCAGTACCTCGTGTAGAACGCCCATCATGTCCATCGATAGTGAATTTCGAGTAGGCGGATGACATAATGTGATTTCACGCACTCCATTCTCATTTTTTACCTGCATACGAATGACAATCAATGCATAATTTAGCTATTAAACAATTTCTGATTACCTTTAAAAATTCTTCAACATTTGTGTTACTGACGAAACGAATAGGAATTGATCGACTCCACTGCATATAAAAATATAAATAATTAAATGCTGTTTTTTTTTTTTAATTTGTAAACTAATTACCAATTTAAGTGTGTTTGGAAATCTACGCAGCATGTTAACTTAATTAGTAAAAGGATCGACTGCTTATTCTAGACTTATAAACAATATCAGCTGTTTGCGATCGACCACTTACACTATTTGGCCTTACAAGTATTTATCACACGACAGTAACATGGCAACTATCGATATTTATTTCTTACTATCGATACTGTGCAACAGCTGAGCGCTCATTTGTTTAGTAACATTTTCCACTGCAAAACAGACAGATGACATAGACTAATGTAATTTGCATTAATTTTAATAATTTCACCAAGCACAAATCTTTATTACTTGCCAAAGCGAAAGGTGAGTGAACTGTCTACACCTAACAAATGAATTGCATTAGTTCTTTTGTTGCAAACAAGAGCAAAACAGTTGTTCACAATAAATCGTTTAATCATACTAATGTATATGAAGCGTGCACGATACGCTTATCAGGCATTAAGAACGTTTTGTTTTCGATTATCAGTTCCAACTAGTTGCACACATATTTTCAGTTATTGACGAGTTGCTCACTCGTGCGGCGGTCTACAGAGCAACTTTCATACATCGAATTTCATTTTAGCTGTGCTTCAATTGGCAACAAAATGCGTCCTTTCAATGGCGGAGATTGCCTGAAGCCCGTCGGGGGCTGCATCAACCGCGCTTTCGGTAACAAGGAGCCGTGGCAGATCGCAGCAATTACGGCAACGACTGTGTTGGGCGTTGTTTGGATCTGGACAGAGCTAAGCAAGGATGAAGGTAAATACCTCTAATTCGTTTGACATTTTTTTTTAAATATTTTAGTCTATTTAAATAATCTTATCGTGAACATTTGTACAACTACATATGAAGAAAATATTCTTTATGTACTTTGAACTTCAACGACCCATATTGTGTGATCTATCTAATTGATTGTGGCATAGATTACACTTGTCAACCATTAAGATTGGGTGCAAATCAACTTCGAAGCGGAACTATAAACTATGATCTAGAGCTAAATATGAACATAGCAGTATATATATAGTTTTGGATCATAGATCATACGAGATCTGATAGTGTTTTAATTGTTATATATATATATATATATATATATATTGAAACAAATTTAATTCGATTTTAAATTGTATTTGCTGGTCAACATATTATTTCATAATTTTTACTACTTGCTCTATCAAATATTAAAAGTCTGGCTATTTTATCAGTTCCCACATAGGTGGGACCATTTCATAAAAAAGAGCTTACAAGTTATGACTAATTAACTCATGCAGAAGGTCTTATGACTTAAAATTTTCAACCAAAATTATTTCTAGTCTAAAGAATTAAATTAAATGTTATATAAAAACTGATAATACGTACAAAATGTTTTTGTTTATGTGTTAAAATTTGTTTTAACACGCAGAAGGCTGGAGAGATCTCATAAAGATTTTATATTTTGTTATCAGAACAATGCACAATGAAAAAGTAAAGACTAGGTGTTTTACATAAATATATAACAAGATATCATTATTAAACTCTAAAAATTGCTTCCAAAAAACTATGGTATGTAAGAACTGTAAAATGATTAAAGTTACAGCCAAGCGCAGCGTTCACAATATATTCTAGTCGGGCACTCCCGCCTATAACAATTAAAGATATTTCCAACTTTTTATCAACATCATCACTTTTTACAATATGATAAGTATTGGGGGAGGCTTAAAGCATACACATATTTGTTATTTCATAACCCTGATAGTTAATCTAAAAGTGAATAGTTTCCGTTAAGTTAATGATCGATTTTTAAGCACTCGGCTACCGACTACCGTTACGCGCTGTTAATAAATATTTTATTATTTAAAAATTTTGATATGACCACGATTATCAGTTAGCTGATAAAAAATTGCAAATAGCAAAAAGTACCTAAGTTGATCTGTAGAATTTAATAGTAATATAAATTTTCTTGCAGGTTTCTATGTGCGCGGTAAGCGTCAGTTCTTTAGGTTGGCCAAAAAAATACCGGCTGCACGCAGGCTCGTAGAGGCGGAGCTAAAGAAAGTTAAGGACGATTTTGAGTCGGATATTAAGAAGAGCAACCAGCATCTAGAATATTCGATACGTCTGCCCGAGAAAGGCTTATCGAAGGAGCAGATTCTCGAGCTTGTGGATGAGCATCTCAGGACTGGTCACTATAGCTGGCGTGATGGGCGTGTTTCGGGCGCTGTTTACGGCTACAGTCCGGAGCTTGTGGAGCTGGTAAAAGAGGTCTATGGCAAGGCTTCCTACACGAATCCTCTCCATGCCGATCTATTCCCAGGTGTGTGCAAAATGGAAGCCGAAGTGGTGCGCATGGCCTGCACGTTATTCCACGGCAATGCTAACAGCTGTGGTACAATGACCACCGGCGGCACGGAGTCCATTTGCATGGCTATGAAGGCGTATCGAGACTATGCACGTGAGAACAAGGGCATCACAAGGCCCAACATTGTGGTTCCTCGCACTGTGCATGCGGCCTTCGACAAGGGTGGCCAGTACTTTAATATACATGTGCGTTACGTTGATGTCGATCCGGAGACGTATGAAGTCGATATTAAGAAGTTCAAGCGTGCCATTAATTGCAACACCATTCTGGTATGTAAAAATATGTCTAGTCCATGTAAATCATAATCTAAAGCTCATTTACTGTTTAGCTTGTTGGCTCTGCGCCCAATTTCCCATATGGTACTATTGATGATATCGAAGCTATTGCTGCTTTGGGTGTCAAGTACAATATACCTGTACATGTGGACGCATGTCTGGGCAGCTTTGTCGTTGCTCTGATACGCCATGCTGGCTATCAGCTACGACCCTTCGACTTTGCAGTGAAGGGCGTAACTAGTATCTCGGCCGATACGCATAAATATGGTTTTGCACCCAAGGGCTCGTCGGTCATAATGTATTCGGAAAAGAAGTTCAAGGATCATCAATTCACGGTCACAACAGATTGGCCTGGTGGCGTTTACGGTTCACCCACAGTGAACGGGTCTCGTGCTGGCGGCATCATCGCTGCCTGCTGGGCAACAATGATGAACTTTGGCTATGAAGGTTACCTGGAAGCAACCAAACGCATTGTGGACACAGCTCGCTACATCGAGAGGGGGTAAATACTTCCTAAATTAAATACAGAACCTATTTAATAGTTATTTTATTGCAGCGTGCGCCAAATCGATGGCATCTTCATCTTTGGCAAGCCAGCTACGTCTGTTATTGCCATGGGCTCAAATGTATTTGATATTTTCCGACTCTCAGATGCTCTATGTAAACAGGGCTGGAATCTAAACGCACTCCAATTCCCCTCTGGGTAATTTTAATTCATTCGAATTGAAATGTAAATGTATCTAAATCTAATTATCTCTACTGCAGCATTCATATCTGCATCACGGACATGCACACAAATCCAGGCGTCGCAGATAAGTTTTTGGCCGATTTGCGCACCTGCACGGCAGAGATTATGAAGAATCCTGGCCAGCCGGTGGTTGGCAAAATGGCTCTATATGGCAAAGCCCAGAGCATACCCGATCGTTCGGTCATTGGCGACGTCACACGCCTGTTCCTACACTCCATGTACTACACGCCTGAAAAGTGAGATAGACGGCGCTACTGCAGTGCACGTGTATTTTCCTAGTGCAATATTCCATACCACCACCCATACCCGATACTTGTTGCTGTTATTGTTCCCACTCGAAGTATCTATTTAGCATTTAATAACAATGCATCAATATCTTATTGTAACTAGGGTACAAAGTGTTTGTTAATGAAATTTATTGATATCAATGTCTGTGTACATGCGTAACTGTCTGAGAAACTAACGACGATGTTAACTATGAAGTGCTTATTTTATACTTATTAAATTTTTCTATATAATCACCTTAAAACATGTTCTATAAATTGAGCAGAAACTATATATTTCGATTGTTAAGTAGAAAACTTGGAGCTCGGTTTGAAGCCTTCTTATATTAATTCCATAGAACTGGCGTGAAAAAATGTTATTGGCTGGAAAATATTTAAAAACATTTGTTTTTTAAGGCATAACGTCTACCTGATGCTAAGTGCATTACATAGGTACTGTACTGAATATCCGTCTAATTCTAATTTATTTGGGATATTGACACCTCTTTTACTTATATACTCTTCTGCAAATGTGGGTAGGCATACATAATATATCAGAAATTGCATTCCAGAAAATACATTTGCTAATTGAATGCTGTTCACGTACTTTCCAGAAGTTTATGTTAATTGCTAATTCCTTAGGTTACCCTAGAGAGAATCAAGGTCCAATCATAGTTTGTTTGTAAGTATGCTTATGTATGTAAACAGTTCGTTCATAAACTCGCATTGTGTAATAGAATACGTGCTCTCGCTGATCAAGTTTGTTTTTGCTTAACACCGAGGGCGTTGATTAGCTTACGGCTCACTATCTGGCATGGAACCTGCTGAATGATGTTCGTATTTAAATCTGAAAGATAAAAACATAACGTTTTATTTAATTTACTTAACACTTGCATTAAGTTGCTGGGTTGAAATAAATTACATAGTAATATATTTAGTTTAGTTTAGAAACAACTATTAGTGTCTACTTTTACAATTAATACTTAACTAAGGCTGAAGTAGTAAACAATAGTTAAGACGTGACAAATTCAGGCGAGCATGCTCAACTTAGATATACCTTGTATATGGTTACACTTCCAATTTGTTGTAAATGACCTACTATAGCCAATATCTTATACATATGTAAATTTATAATAGCTTTGTAGATCTATATACTACACTGCCTCAAAATGAGCATTCACAGGCAAACATATTCTTTATAGTCTTAAGTGATAACCGGCGCCTAAAACCTAAACTTTTCCATACATATATATACATATATATACATATATACAAAGAGGCAGATAGAACTGTGCTAGAGAGCAAGCTATTTTCTTCAAAAGCTTTTGAAAAACACTTGAGCTCTGGCAATACAAACTGCCGAAGAGAGAGAGAGAGAGAGAGAGAGAGAGGCAGAATGTTAGGGCGAATGATAGATAGTATAAATATGTTAGGCAAATGCTGAGCTTGTTCAGTTTTCGACGATCGCTGTGTTTTGAGAGTCGTGCTAATTGAAAAATAATAATGGTGTCCTCAGTCTCTGCCGACAGCAACAACAAATATTGCTTTGCTATAGATCGCGGTGGCACCTTTACGGACGTGCTATGCATCTGTCCCGGCGGACGAGTACGCACAATGAAGTTGCTTTCTGAAGATCCAGAGCGCTACAGCGACGCTCCTCGTGAGGGCATACGCCGTATACTTAAAGAAGTGAGTCTGTTACTATGAAAGATATGGACTTAACTTATAAGTGCGACGATGGCAGGAAACTGGCGTTGATCTCACAGAAGCTGGCCTGGTGGACACCTCAAAAATTGGATGGGTGCGCATGGGCACTACAGTTGCTACAAATGCCCTGCTCGAGCGGAAGGGCGATCCCGTCGTTCTGGTGGTTAACAGCGGCTTCCGTGATTTGCTTTACATTGGCAACCAAGCACGTCCCAAGATTTTTGACCTCAACATACGTAAGCCAGCGAATCTCTACCAATCTGTCGTCGAGGTTGACTGCCGCATTGTGCCAGAGCAGGCTGATCGCTGCCAGTTAAGTGAGTTAGTCCTATAAACATTTAAAATCCCTGTTTGCTGATGATATGATACTTACCAGATCAACAGTGGAATGTGCTACAGGGCATAACGGGGTGTAAGTATTTGGAGGTTCAGCCTGTGGATGAGCTATCCGTGCGTACGTCTTTAGTCGCTGCCCGCCAACAGGGTATAAACTCTGTGGCTGTGGTACTGGCCCACAGCTACGCCTGTCCGGAACATGAGTTGCGCATTGGAGCCATCGCAACGGAGCTTGGATTTAGCCATGTAACGCTCTCGCACAAGGCCATGCCCATGTGCCGGGTAGTGGCGCGTGGCTACACAGCCTGTGCCGAAGCCTACCTGACACCCCACGTCGATCGCTATCTTGCCAGGTGAGTCTGTTCACTTCCCTTTCATGTGCACTCCAGACAGAATCTTGCTCGTAAATTAAGGAATGAGATTACTCTTTTGGACTAGAAACACACAAAAATCCTAAGCAAATAGCCACAATAAAGATAATGACAACAATAAAGACAAGCATATGAGAGAAATGCATGAAAAGCTCAGTTAGTGCCTCTACACACGTAATCGTTGAGTGCCAAAAGAAAACAAAAAAACTCTCTGAGAACAGCACAGTCGCAGCATAAATATTGGGCATACCTCTGAGTGCAGTGTGAATACAATCAGTAGGGTATATTGGTGTTGTGCCATGTCCATTTACTAGCTAATCGAGACTGAATATATAGTGTCACTCGATGAATATATGTATTAATCGTCTATCTTACTGCTTACAGTTTTAAGTCGGGATTTGAAAATCAACTAGCTGGCGTTGATGTGCTCTTTATGCAATCAGATGGTGGCCTGACAAACATGGAGAATTTCCGTGGAGCTCGTGCTATACTTTCAGGTCCTGCAGGCGGCGTCGTAGGGTATGCACTGACGGGATCGCGCGAAACAGATCTGCCACTAATTGGCTTTGACATGGGTGGCACTTCTACAGATGTGTCCCGATATGCCGGCAATTATGAGCACGTCATTGAGAGCACTACGGCGGGCGTGACAATACAGGCGCCTCAGTTAGACATCAATACTGTGGCAGCAGGAGGCGGCTCACGGCTCTTCTTTCGGTCAGGCATATTTGTGGTAGGACCAGAATCTGCGGGCTCCCATCCAGGTCCCGCTTGTTACAAGAAAGGAGGACCCCTGACCGTTACAGATGCCAATCTGATACTCGGCCGAATACTTCCTCAGTATTTTCCAAAAATCTTCGGGCCGAATGAAAACGAGCCCCTTGATTATGAACTTACTAAGCGCAAGTTCGGTGAGCTGCAGTCAGATATCAATGAACATCTAAAGGCCAGTGGTGACTCCAGGGTACTGACCATCGAGCAAGTGGCTCTGGGCTTTATTCGCGTCGCCAATGAAACCATGTGCCGACCGATACGCGCTCTAACGCAATCCCGAGGTCTGGATACTGCCAATCATGTGCTCTCCTGCTTCGGCGGCGCCGGCGGACAACATGCGTGCTCAATAGCTCGTAACCTGGGTATAGCTAAGGTTGGTATGGGAACTTTTCTGGCAATTGATTAGCTTTAATCTAGGTGCTTACAGGTAGCTGTTCATAAATACGCTGGAGTACTCTCAGCCTATGGCATGGCACTCGCAGATGTTGTTCAGGAGGTGCAGGAGCCCAGTGGAGCAGAATTTAATAATGCAAATTCACAGTTGATTAAGGATCGATTGGATGCATTATCAATACAGTGCCGTGGTCAGCTGACCGCTCAAGGGTTTAAGCAAATTGAACTTCAGGCATTCCTTCACCTGCGCTACGAGGCGACCGACGGCGCCTTGATGTGTACGCCAGCGCCAGTTGAACAGACTCAGCTGTCGGAACAATCTACATCACCGTTATTAGCTGCTTACGGTGATTTTCATGCCACTTTCTTGGAGCGCTACCGCACAGAGTTTGGATTTGTGCTACAAAATCGTCGCATAATAGTAGATGACATTCGCATACGTGGCCTTGGAAAGAACGAAACGCCACCTGAATTGCAAGTGGGTCAGGCACAAGAAAAGACTCCTACAGCCGAGGGTTACACAGAAGTGCATTTTGACCAAGGTGCGTTCCAAACGCCCATCTACTTAACCAAGCACTTGCTAGCTGGACATCAAATTTCCGGTCCTGCCGTGCTTATCGATCAGCTGTCTACCATCATAGTGGAGCCTGAGTGTACCGTTTACGTGACCGCCTATGGTGATCTTATTATGGACGTGCAAACCAGTGGCAAACATGGCATTAATGCCGAACTGGACCCAGTGCACCTCAGCATATTTAGTCACCGTTTCATGAGTATTGCGGAGCAGATGGGCAGGTAATGCCTCACTCTCAATCAGTTGCCTTGCATGAAGAACTTATCTTGTCTTTTGCTTTTAGAGTACTTCAGCGTACTTCCATTTCGACTAACATAAAGGAGCGTCTTGACTTCTCCTGCGCTCTGTTTGGCCCAGATGGTGGCTTGGTCAGCAATGCTCCGCACATTCCCGTACATCTAGGCGCCATGCAGGAGACGGTGCAGTACCAGCTACGCGTTCGAGGCGACACCTTAAAAAATGGAGATGTTATTTTGGCAAACCATCCACAAGCCGGAGGCTCGCACCTGCCGGATCTGACGGTTATCACGCCAGTTTTCTTTAAGTAATGGATACTCATAGCAATGGCAATACCTTCTCTCAAACTTATCATTTTATAGAACGGAGCCGCGACCTGTCTTTTTTGTAGCTTCACGTGGTCATCATGCAGACATTGGCGGAATCACACCCGGTTCAATGCCGCCCCATTCTACTTCGCTCGCTCAAGAGGGAGCAGCATTTAAGTCGTTCCTTATTGTTGAGAATGGAGTCTTTCAAGAGCAGCAGATTATACAACGGCTTACCACTCCAAGTGGCGCAAAAGGAGCTGTGGGCACACGCAACCTTAGTGACAATCTGTCGGATCTAAAGGCACAGATCGCTGCCAACCACAAGGGCATACACCTAGTATCGGAGCTCATCAACAGCTATGGTCTAAATGTCGTACAAGCCTACATGCACCATATTCAAAAGAACGCGGAGTTGGCGGTTCGAGACATGTTGCGCCAGATTGGCCGTGATACCTTAGAGCGCACAGGGTCCAATGTGCTAGTGGCCCAAGAATTTATGGATGACGGTTCACCGATAGCGCTACGTGTCACCATAGATCCGGAGAATGGTTCGGCTCTCTGTGACTTTAGTGGTTCCAGTGAAGAGGTCTGGGGCAACTGCAATGCTCCACGTGCCATAACGTTGTCAGCTCTTATATACTGCCTCCGTTGTATGGTGGGGCATGATGTACCCCTTAACCAAGGCTGTTTGGCGCCAATTCAAGTGGTTATACCCAAAAATTCAATATTGGATCCTTCAGAGGGTGCAGCTGTAGTGGGTGGAAATGTGCAAACGTCGCAGCGCATTGTGGATACAGTGCTAAAAGCTTTCCGTGTTTGTGCTGCTTCGCAAGGCTGCATGAATAACATAACAATTGGTGATGACCAATGGGGATACTACGAAACTGTTGCTGGCGGCGCTGGGGCCGGCCCAGGTTGGCATGGAGCTGGTGGTGTCCATACGCACATGACTAATACCCGCATCACTGACCCAGAAATATTGGAATTACGCTATCCCATGATACTGAAGCGCTTTTGCCTGCGTACCGACGGCTCGGGTGGACGTGGACAATATGTTGGGGGCGAGGGAGTCGAACGTGATTTACTCTTCCGTAAGCCGGTAACATTATCCGTTCTGACCGAACGTCGCACGTTGCAGCCATACGGTCTGGCTGGTGGTGAGCCGGGCAAAAGTGGACGCAACTTAATCGTTAAGCATGACGGACGTGTAATCGCGCTTGCAGGTAAAACCTGCATTGATGTTGAGGCTGGGGTGAGTGGAACATGAAGTTTTGTTAGCGCAATATACAAATTATTTATTTTGTAGGATACATTTGCTATGAAAACACCTGGTGGCGGTGGATATGGACTCAAAGAGGATTCCTCTGCAGTTGATCAGTCTAAACAAAGCATTGACAACGTACAGAGGTTCGTGGAACGGGGCACTGTCCACGATTATCGTCAATCCCAGGAATCAGCATAAATGTGCAATCAATGATGCTTATTAGAAAAATGTTGTTTGAAATATATAGCAAATAAACTAGACTTGTTCATAAATGCATTTTATCAACAATTTTAATGGGATCGTAGATACACATGTGTTATTCACATGTTTTATTAAATATTATTGATTACTTAGATATTTAATTAACATTTATAACGGTCAAATATTCGCAGCGAACTAGTGTGACCAAAGTTTTCAATAAAATGCCGGTCAATGCTGATGCGGTTATTTGTATGAAGCAGCTGGTCAAGTATCGATACTTAGTTCTTTTCAGACAGCTGTTAATGTTAATATTAATGTTAAGTAACAGTTATGTGAGCAGTTTCATTAGCAGATTTATTTGTAAACAATGTGGACGTGCACGTGTTGCGCTCATAAAACAAATTTAATTTAAAAACATTTCTAAGTGCTTTGAACAGCTTGCTCACTTGCAAACAATAAATATTCTAGAACAAAATGACCTTAATAACAGAAAAATCAAAAAATACGAATACTTTTCGCGTAAGTAGCTTACAAGTTTTTGGTGACCATTTAAAACCATAGCTTGTTTCTTTACAGTTTAAATCGTTCACCGATAGAGTGAATGAGATCGACTTGCGCCACTTGGCACTCTACCATATAGGGCACAAATACGAACAACTTGAGGAGGCCGACAATGAGACGTACTTCCAACAAACGCTACAGAAATGGAACGTGCTGAATCTTACCGAAGAGTACAACTATTTCAGCAAGCAATGTCGCAAGATAGTCACACTGCCGCAATTGCTGCACCAAAAGGACTTTGTCATTGATTTGCTTCTGGAACGCCTATCCACGGCAACAAATTTATCCCAGCAGCCACTGCTGGAGCTGCTCTATGTGTTGGCTCGCGATCTGCGTGAAGAGTTCTATGCCTATTTTCAGCGCGTGCTAGACCGACTGATATGCCTTTTAAACACTCAGGATGCCGAACAACTGGAGTGGACGCTCATTTGCCTAGCACATTTGTTCAAAACACTCAAGTCCTATCTAAAACGTAATATCGGCATTGTCTTCAATGCGATTTTACCTTTGTTGGATGAGCAGCACTACGCAGAGCACGTGACAAACTTTGCCGTTGAATGCTTCGCCTACATAGCACGAGATGTTCGCGACTTTCCGCGCTTTCTGGCCTATGTGTTGAAAACGGTCTTACGCGAGCAGGTGGAAAGCGTGCATGGCTGTGGGCGTCTGCTATACGAGATACTGCGCGGTGTCAATGGTCACTTGCATACGTGTGCTGCAGATCTTCTGGCGCATGTTCTGCAACTGCTAGCCAACACAGACAACAGTCATACCAGCGCACAGACATCGCTGCTCGCAGATATTGTGCATCATTGCTTCGGACTGCTGCTTAATTTTATGCGCGCCGATCAAAGTGTCGTACTGTGGCAACAGCTCTGTGCTGCTATATCCAAGGAAGAGCTTAGCGCGGCGGCCACAATACAGCTTCTTGAGCTTATATTGCCCCTTATTGCACATAAGGACGGTCGCTATATATCAGAGCTGTCGGTGTTGGTGCCTACCATATTAAAATTGCTTGATCGTCATATGAAACTTAATGCAGAGCCTGAGCGCCTACAACAGTTGAGTACCTTGGTTAGCAGCTTGTTGCAGGCAACACAGGTACAACTCGACCAACTGGATGCTAGTCGCATACTTCAAAAACAGCTCAAGGTCAGCCAAGTGTCCCGTGATGTGTACGCAGATTTCATTCTGCAGCTGATGGATTATAAACTGTTCGAAGTAATGGTGCTGCCACATGTTGTAGCGCACTATGAGGAGCACAAGGATACTGCTGCCCTGGAACTTTTAGCACGCATCGTACAGCACAAACGACCGCTACTTGTTGATGCTACAAGCTTAACGACTTGGCTGGTATATCCCATGCAGTTGAAACAACAAGCAACTCATCACAGCTTAGAGCAACAAATTCAGCGCATCGATGTGACTGAGGAACGACAACTGTTGCTGCTATTGCTGCTGCCCCACTTACGCGGCTTCAATAAGCAGCCACTAGAAAGCAGCCTTCAATCTGCCATCGAAGATCAGCTGGCTCTAAATGTTCCCGAATGCACGTTGCTGCTACTGCTATTGCAGACCTATTCTCTGCTCAAGTTTAAGCTGCCCAAAGAACTACGTGCACAGTTGCAGCAAAGTTTGCTTCCACGCGTAGGCAGCGACCTGCGAGCATTGGCCTGTATACAGCTCATCTTACTAAACACGACCAAGGGCGATTTGACGCCAAGAACAACGGAAGATACTTTAAATGCTGTGTCCAAGCTACTAAGTGATCCGATGGCACAGCGCCGTCGTATTGCGGCGCACTGCTTGGAGTTGTTGGGTAACATTCAGTGCAAGCACAATCCTTATGGCTACTTTGCTGCTGCTTGCCGCATTGAGCCCACAGTTCACAATTACAGGGAGCTGCTGTTGCAGCTGCAACAGCTGGAGCCGGCAGCAGCGCAGTTTAAGCGATACGAACAGCTACCCCATTACAAAGAGCATGCTGTCAGCTTGCTGCTAGGCTTGTTGTACAACAATTTCAAGTTTGTATGGGCACCGGTACAACAGCTACTGGCAGAGTATGTCAAGGTGATGCCCACCGAGGAGTTCTGGAACTTGTTTAAGGAAAAGCTTCTGCAGACAGTGGCTTGCATTGACTACAATGTGGAAGCAACAACATTGGAACAGCCACCACAGCCTAGCAACAGCTCTCAGGCCCTTGCCTCGCTGTTACCATTGGATGAGGCTCAGCTACAGCTGACGTTGCAACAAGCCTTGAATTACCGTCAGCTGCTGTGGCAGTGTATTCCCAAGTTAAGCAATATTGCCGAGGTGAAAAATGCAGATCTAGTGCGTCTATTCTTACAGTTCGTGGAGCGCGAATATCGCGCACAGCTGGAGCGCACGGAACACACTTGGAATCTAAAGGAGTCAACCGGTAAATATGCGATAATTAAAGCAATTACTATAATCCACTTATTTACTTATCTGAGTCAATATATAAAGATTGATTCAAAAACAATTTTCTTTTAATATGATTAATATATTTACTTTTACCATTTGTTTTCTACAGTTGATGACATTGAAGTTGACGATGGGGAAAACGAAAACACTGAGAAGGCTTCGTCGACGAGTGTGACACGAACCTCAACTGAACGCCACAAAAGGAAGACACACAATGCTCAAGCAAAATTCATTCTTCAGACGCTGCAGATTAAATTGTCTTGCTTCCTATCGCAGCCGAATCCAAAGGCACTTCACCGGGAATCAGAGATGCGGGAATTCTATCTGGAGCTGCTCGCTGGTCCCAATGGGCTCTTGCAGCAGCTTGCTTTGGACTGCTTGGCCGCATATAAGCAGCCCGCTGTTCTGGTGCAACAAAAGCAGCAGCTGACGGGTCTAATCGATGATGCCAAGTTCAAGACAACGCTTACTGGCTTGGATGTGGCTAGCTTGGCTACGCAGCAGCGTAGTGAGTTAATGCCTTACATACTACGTGTGCTCTATGGTCATCTCGTCAGGGGCGGCCAACGTCAGCTTAGCGGCCAACAGCGCAAGACGCTTATTCTGCGCTTTCTGGGACAGTTGGAGGAGGAGGAGATATTAAACTTTTTAAAAATGGCATTTGGACGCTTCGAGGAGTTTACTAGCCAGCCCATTGAGCTGCTGGCGGGCTACGTAAAGTCACATTTTGTGCCTACGGCGGTAATTTCTGCACGTCAACTACAAAGAATTGTTAATCTACTGGAACTCATAAGGAAGGAGTTCGCGGGCCGCTTGAGTGCTGCCTTTCAAATATACGTCTTGAAGTTATTGATCTTAGTGGGCACTGTTTCGCAAGAGGTGATCGATGGTAATGGAGTCGAAGCTGTCAAACTAATGGCAGCATACAAGAACGTGCGGCACGCAGCTCTGCAAACGCTTGTTAACTACTTTGGACAACTTCTGGACATGTCGGAATTGTGGACCACAGAGCAGCTACAGGCTATCTGTGAGGTCTTCGTCTGGCCAGGCCTAAGCCGATTGCCCCAAGACTCAATACACACACCCACACCTCTACTCAAGCTGCTGTTGATGTGGGGTGGTGAACCCTCCTATCAGATCTTGTTGCAGAAGAGTCCGTCGCCCGAGTCGCCACCCATTATGCACTATCTTATTGCTCTGCTTTTAAACGAGAAATCTAAGCCTGTAGTGCGACGATCACTTCTGCAGATGGTGGAACAGCTGTTGGAAAGCGCCAGCACGGAGGAATATGGCCCACAAGCATTAGCGACTTTACAGCCATATATTCCAGATGTGCTGCAACTGATGCAGGCCAGCTGGCGACAGAAAAGAGCCGGCAAACAGACGCTGGACAAAAGGGAGCTCAATATTTTAAGCCTCTTGACAGTGCATGTGCACCAACCAGAGACGTGTGAGACGTTGCTGCAGTTGTTGCTACCCATTTTCACCAAACAGGCAGCTAGTGCGAGTGCCGAAACTGTTCTTCAGCTGATAACCACGTTGTCGAATCTAAGCAAGCGCGTGCCCGCCCCCGACAACTATGTGCGTCAGCTGGCGCCACTCTACGAGCAGGTGCATGGATTGCCAGCTCGCAAGCTCCTATGCGAAATGATTGCAGACATGGCCAAACATCTATTCAATCAGGCAAAACAGCAGCCAGAACTCACTGCTGCTTCGACAAAGCTGCGGGAGTGGGCACGCTTTGTACTGCAGCTAAATGCGTGGGATAAACGCTGGCTGGAGCAGCCGGATTACGACAAGCGACTTCAGGCACTCACCGAACTGAAGCAACTGTTGGAGCAAAAGGATAATCAGAAACCCATTGATTTGGAACTGGGTCTATTGGTAACCTGCAACTGTTTCTATATGCTGCGCCACGACTCGGACTTGGGCATGCGCGTCAACATTGGTGAGCTACTAAAGATGTTGCTGCCGCAGCTCACAAATCAGTTGAAGCAGCTTCCCAGTAAGGACGAGCTCCGCTTCTGGCTAGATGAGTGCCTGCTGCCGTTACTACAGCGCTGTCTACGCGACGAACGCCATGAGCATGCTCGCAGTGAAGCTATTGGTCTCCTTGGTGAACTGGCACGCCAATGCGCCAGTGCGCATGAAGTGCTGCGCGATCTTGCTCCATTGGCCGACTCCCACGACGTAGAGGTGGATTTCTTTGAGAACATGCTTCATTTGCAGACACAGCGTCATGGGCGTGGGCTGCAGCGTGTGGTCAATATCGCTGCAGGCGCCAGTTGGCGGCAGACGCCACCCTGTCCACGTACGTTAACACAGTTTTTACTTCCGCTGGCCACACGCTATTTGCTGAGCGAAAAACACGCGGGCAGGCATACCCTGGTTGATGCGGCAATCGAGGCGGTGGGTGTCATGTGTGAGCAGCTTCCCTGGCAGCAATACCACGCCGTTCTACGTCATTATCTGCAGCGTCTGCGACTGGCCCATGGCCAGCAGAAGCAATGCGTTCGGTTGGTGGTGCGCATTCTGGATGCTTTCCATTTCGATTTGACACATGCGAATACAGACGTGTCCCTTCTGGTCCAACTCAAACAGAAACTTGCAGAAACAGCAGTTGAAACTACTGAGCAAACAAACGACGAAGAATCTGAAGAGAAACCTTTGAAAGAGGAGGTGCCTGTCGATAGCTCACATATTGATTTTGATGGTGACAAAGATGAGGAAAAAGAGGACGATGAGGAGCCGTTGAAGGAACGACAACTCCCGCAACCATTGGCGCCTAATGCGGCCAAGCGCGTCATGACTACCATTACGAGTGTCCTGCTTCCCACACTCAACCGAGCCATCACCGAGAAGACCAACTATGACACTAAGCACAAAGTTAACCGTCGTCGTCTGAGCTATGAACGCGAAGAAGAGGAAATACAGCGTGTGCCCATTGCTTTGGCCATGGTAAAGCTTTTGCAGAAACTGCCACAGGAGCTATTGGACAACAGTTTACCAGGTATGTATCATAGTTGCGGGAATAATATTTGTGTATATATTTTTATTGATCATCGTCCTTCTCTTGCCAGGTATTTTTATGAAGGTGTGCACGTTTCTGCGATCACCTCTTAAATCAGTTCGCATGCTTACGCGAGACATTCTCAAAAAGATCATGCTTACCTTGGGCGGCAGTTGTCTGGGCCTTCTGCTGGAGCAGCTACAGTCGTTACTCACGCGTGGCTTCCAAGTGCATGTGCTGTCGGTGACGCTGCATGGGGTGCTGGATGCACTGCGTGACCAACTGCAGCCGGCGCACATCGAGCTTTGCCTGCAAAATCTGCTCGAGGTGGCGCTTAACGACATTTTTGGCGACGTAAACGCCGAGAAGGAGGTGGATAAAATCGTTGCGCACACACCTGAAGCAAAGCCTAGCGCGAAGAGTTATTTGACTCTCAATATCGCGGCACGTTACATACGCGACAATTGTCTGCTGGACTTGCTGATGCCTTTCAAAGAGCATCTTGCGCGATCGCATTCGCGGAAGGTTACGCAAAAGATACAGGAGTGCTTTGCCAAGATTGTAGCTGGTCTTGTGGACAACACGCATATCGCACGAGAGAGCCTGTTAATTTTCATTTACGGAACTATGTCGGAGAGTATCACTGATTTGCTGCCCGGAACACAGAAGAGGCAGCTTACCGAAAAGCAGCAGGCGCTGATGCGTCGCGCCCGGCCTGACTGTCTGCTGCTGCAGCCAGCACCTGGACGTCGTAGCGTTGCGACTGGTAACAAGCAGGTGAAGTCCAATGCCCAAGCCAACGCACACATACTCATTGAATTCGGACTAGAGCTGCTTCACTTTGTGCTGAAACGCAAAAAGATTGCGGATCTAGATTATCAGCCTTTTCTGCATCCGTTGTTGCCTCTGCTGCAGGACGCATTGAGCAGCAATCATGCCAGAACCACAAGTTATGCACTTAAATGCTACACAGCGATCTGGATGGGCGAGTATCAGCTGTCGGAACTGAGCACAGAACAACTGCATCCGGTGGTGGGCCGCATGTTTGAAATTCTCAAAAACTTTTCTACGTTCGGAGCCACTCGACAGGAGGAGAACGCGCAGCTGGTGCGTGCGAGCTTCAAAGCGGTTGTAGCCCTATTGCGAAAATGTCAGGACTATTCCCTGACTGATGACCAGATCGAGCAGTTGCTTTTGCACGTAGAGCAAGAACTGCAGGAGGGAGAGTGCAGTAGCCAAACGATGTGCTTCACGCTGCTGAAGGCGCTAGTGGGGCGCAAGGTGGACACGCGCTCATTGCACGATCTAATGAAACGTCTGGCCGACTTATCCATTATCTCGCAGTCAGACTATGTGCGCGATGAGTCGCGAACGATTCTCCTCACTTACATCATGGAGTACACGTTACAAAAGCGCATTGATCAGCTACTCAAGTTCATGTCCGTGCAACTGGCCTACACTCAGTCCGCTGGGCGTCTGTCGGCCATTCAATTTATGCACGCGGTCGTCAACAAGTTCCCATTGAAATTGCTGGTCAAGCACTCTGAATTTATATATCTTTCTCTGGGCACGCGTTTGGTTAATGACGAGGACAGCGCCTGTCGTCGCGCTGTGGCCGCCGCTCTGGAGGCGTTACTAGGACGTCTTAGCAAGCTGGAACGACAGCCGCTGCTCGACCTGACCATGCTATTCTTCACCTCGCCGCAGTCCAGTCAGAAGCCAGGTGTGCGTGAGTTGGCTGCTGCGCTGCTGTCCCGGTTTGTGCAAGCAGAGCGTACGGGCTTTGCTGAGCGACTACCCCTAGTGCTACCCACGCTGGTCACCGTGCTAACTGTGGGCGACGCAGAAGCAGGTGGAAAATTCGTACGTGCTCCTGGACAAGAGGCGCTGCCTTTGAGTGAGCCTAAGCAGCGGCATAAGCGCCGACGAAAAGTGAGTAAATCATAATATAAATGGTTATTAAACAAATGTAAAATATTTGTTGTCTTCTATTTAGCAATCAAGCAATGCGGCCGATGAAGAGACGTTGCTCGATGGGCTCGACCCAGAAGCCATTTTAGAGCAACAGCAACGCAATGTCGACCATCAGGTAATTCAGCTGCAGTATTGTCTGCTTAAGATATTTGAGCATTGTGGCGAGACTCTGCTTAGCGACCAGGAACTAGCGCCAACAGTGGATGAGTTAGCGTATGCTAGTCAGAGGCTTCTCGCCCACGAGCACAATTGGATACGTTGCAATGCAGCAAAGCTGCTAACGCTCATTTTGGCGCACTACGATTACGCGTATGTTGGCCAGCAGCTGTTGGGTATTAAGTGTGAAAAAGCAGAGGATGTCAAGGTGTTGGAATTTATATATGCACATCCGGCACAAGATCTCAAAAGCTTAGTGCTCGACCTGTGTGCCCAGGTCATTCCTGGTGAGACAGCTCAAGAAATGATTGACGAGCTGGTCAAGCTACTGCTTTTCGTTGCACACATGCTCAGGGATGTGCCTTTCAGCATTAAACTGGAAGGCGAGGGAGATCAAAAGGAGACAAAAGGAACACCCGTTGGGAAAATCAATCTAAATTGGCTGGTGCGCAATATTCGCTTTCTGATCAACAAGGAGGTGTCAAAGGCACCACACGACACCAGCATTGTAAGTAGCTCTACCCATTAGTCGCTACTTTTTTCCAATTCTTGAATCTCTCTTTAGCGAACGGCCCTCTTCACACTTATCGAGGGTTTATCGACTTTACTCAGCGTTGATGCAGTAACTCGATTGGCCCCGGCTTTGATGCAGGGACTTGTGCGCGAAATGTCTGAAGAGGATCAAAACGTAGATCCAGAGCTGCGCCAGTTGGCATTGCGAGTGGGCAGCCGTTTACGCAAACGCATAGGAGCTGAGACATACGACAAACTGCGCAATGTTGTGCAGAACAAACTGATGGTGCGACGTGCCGAACGTCGTAAAGCTGTGGCTCAGGAAAAGATTCATGATCCGGTGCGAGCGGCCAAGCGTAAGGCTGGAATGCAGGAGCGCAAGAAAGTGGCCAAGCGCCTCAAGACAGCAGTGGTGCGAGGCAAGGCGCCGGACATGAAACAGAAACTCAAAAAGCGTAAACGCAAAGCTGAAATGGAGATCTTTTAGACAGTTTTCATTTACAATTACATATATTATTAATATAACAGTTTTTATATTTTACCATATAACTACTCTTATTAAATATGCGTTATCTTAAATAAATTGCAATCGAAGTTGTGATTATAATAATTACTCTCGAGCATTTGGTTAAAAGAAATGTGATTTTGATTTTTACATGACAGTTTGAAAACTTAACTTAAAAATTTGGCCGACGACTAACGTTCAGCCAAGATCATATTAATTAATCAAATGTTTGCAGATCAGTCTACGAGATAGTGAAAATACGAGTTTAATATCAAGATCTATACATTAAGTTTTTGGTCAACAACAATTTAAGGACAATAACCTTGGGTCGAACTTAATTCAATTTGGACAAAGCACGATCGCAGTTCGTCAGACGAAGCAGGAGCTTGGATACATAAGCCAAAAGCATTAGAACTAGCGTGGTCACCTCCATGATTACGAAATGCGATATGGAAGAGCCAATTTCCAGCCAGGAACCGGTATTACGCACCAAAAACAGAAAATTTAAACCCATAATATCGCAGATAAGCAGCAGACATATAAAGATTTGCCGCTCGTGTAGGCGCGCATACTCGCTGTGAGTGTACACAATAGATAGATTTATTACTATGGGTAAGACGAGTTTGAGCAGCACCAGTGACATAATAACAAACGGTGCAAAATGGCTAAGGAAGCATCGAGCAATATTGGGATCAAATGAACTGATCGATGCAATGTTCCCGCTGCCAAAAAGCGAGAAGAATGTGTACAGTATTATTGTAAAGGCTATACGCAGAGAGGACTGAAGGCTCTTTTGCTGATGATGCAGGGGTTCGACTTGTGCACGCTGTTCTGCAAGTGCCGTGGTCAATTCGATGGCCAGCAGCTGTACGAATAAAGATTCATACGAAGTGCACATGAGTGTGTATAGTGTGCCCAGATTGTAGCAAATGTGCTCCAATCGCAACTCCAAAGAAGCTTCCTTGTTGAGATGTATAGAGACGAATGCATACACGAGATACAGCCAACTGATTATCTTCAACGGCAACGGTACAGCTATCTGATTGTTATGCAGATTCACGCACACTGCCGTATTTATCAAAATAACTGTACTGCACCACCTAGTGTGCCATTTGCTGTTTTCTCGCTTTTTGCTTAAAAACTGGCGAATCAGTAAAAGTAGAATACCACCCAGCAGCAAATAACAATTTTGGTATCCCACTGACGGAGGAACCAGCGGAAAGCAGGCCAGTACTACTAACAACATCAGCCATAGGTAGAGCCGCCTTTTCCTTTTAAAGGTTTCCCAATTGCTGTAACAAGCAAAAGCAATAAAACAAAGCGAAATCATGCGGCGGTCGAAAAAGGTGAAGACGAGCAGCTCAGCGCAGCCAATAAGTAGCAGCAACTGTGCTATGGAGACCTGCTTCGGATTTGCAACTGTTGGTTGGGTGTAAGCCGGAGCATTGAGATCGTCGTTTCTGTTTGGAGCTTGCCGCAAAGCTAACATCCAGACGGGCAGAGGCAGCAGCAAATAAAAACTTACGGCGAACGGAACACGTTGCACCACAACGAAGCCAAGCAGCATTACAGCTGCGACCCATAGGCCAACGATGATCTTGGATGCATGACCATTCATACCAGAATCAATATTTTTCGGTTCTGCATCCTGAGTGAGCAGCCGATATAAATAAAACATCCAACCCAAAAATGTGGCCGTTGTTGATAGTAACATAACGTTGCAATAATATCCTTGATAATAATCGATGCCTTCCAGAGCCAGTTGCATTACAAGGGCACTATTAGCCGTCGATTCATGAAATCGGCTCAGCGTAAACGATGTTTTAATATAGCCCACATATTCAGCGATTAGCTCCGGTGTCAACTTGTCGAAACGATTTAAAATTGGAGCAAACAAACCACGCATGTGAAGCTTTTGCAAACGAACATATTGGGCCAGAAGCTGCAATGCATTTGTATGAGCTGCCATGGCTTCGTACTTAGCATCAGTGCCCAAAAACCCCTGCGGCAATCTACCAAAATTGTTCATCGGTGGTGGTAGACCAATTAGGGCAGACATTAATGGTGTTAGCTGCGCCTGTTCCAGTTCGCGAATTGGCAATTGCAGACCCTCATCGTTCGCCTCAAAGAAGATACCGGCGTAAACGCTGCTAGCGACGCCAGCTCCCCAGAGCATGAACGGTGTATCTGTTTCATATTGAGCCCCAGCACCGTGAGAGCCTACAAAAGAACAAGTATATTGATAGGTAATGGAGCAATTATTAATGATTGAATATTTACCTGAATCTGTCATGCCGTGATCTGATGTCAACAAATAAGCCGTTCGTTTATCTGGGAAAGTCTCTTCGAATTGCTTGTAAATTTTCCATATTCCGTGCTCTGTAAACTTAAGGTTCTCGAGAAAAAGAGGCGTACCCGGTTTATGTACATGTCCGGCTGTATCTAGACCCAGCAAATGTAAGAAAAACACTACCCTCTTAGCCTCTCTTAACTCTTCTTGCTTGCGTTTTAGCAGCAAGCGAACCCTGTCAAACACCCACTCGTCCTGCTTGTAGGTCTTTTGCTGGCCTGAGAAGTCTAGATCATGATTGTAGGCGTCGAAATGCATTGGCCGTCCGCTGTCGGCAAGCTTTTCAAATATATGCAGAACATCGTGGGCACCCCAAGCGTATGTGTGGTCACTTCGGTTAAACACCGTGTCGAATTCAATGGGGTTTTCCTTCCAGCCCCGTGTTACTGCCGATGGGTCTTCGTATAGACCGGCTATAAGCGCTATATGTCCGGGACGTGACTCCGTAGGGACGCGAGTACGCGAAATACCAACTATTCCCTCCTTGATGAATATCTCACGTAAATGTGGCACTTGATTACAATTGTTTGCAAAAAAGGATTGTGCACGCAGTCCATCGGTGACTATTAGTACTAAACGGTCGGCAGGCGGCTGACCTTTCAGCCTCTCCTGTGGTTCCAATCCCTCAATGACAGGTGAACGAAAATATATAACGAATATAGATCCTAGTAGCAATATATGCAACACCAAAGCATAAAGTATCCACATCGCCACACAAAAATCAAAAACTGAGTAATGAGCCAGCTGTTGACAATATATTCGAAGTATCGAGTATATGGCAGCGAAATACGATAGTTCTGTTAATCGATAGCCGTATTTACGAGTTCTTTGTAATAAGTGCATTAACACTCTCAAATGAGAGCAATAATGGCCAAGAATAAGACTTTTAATTAAACTAATGTATGCAAATAATAAATTTAATTTATTACTTAAATATCATTATTTTTTATAGTTACAAATCTAGTACAAGTTTTCTGTTTACATTTTCGCGGTCTTATCAGCAACTAATCAAAGCTCAATTAAATTGTTATCGGTTCTACTAAAAGAACTAGTTTCTTTAGATTACACAAGTAGCTCGTTCAAATATTCAACAACAGCGTGCTGCTGATATTTATAATGCAGCAATTGCGTTATTATGTTGGCAGAGTCTTCGCTAGAAGTCGGCTTTACTCTACCCAAACACAGGGAGATATCTATGATGTGGTAGTGATCGGAGGGGGACATGCCGGCACAGAGGCGTGTGCAGCTGCTGCCCGCATGGGCGCCCGCACATTGTTGCTTACCCATAAACTAGAGACAATTGGCGAGATGTCTTGTAATCCTTCTTTCGGTGGCATTGGCAAGGGACATCTAATGCGTGAAATAGACGCCTTGGACGGTGTCTGTGCCCGTTGCTGTGATCTATCAGGCGTGCATTATAAGGTGTTAAATAAGCGCCGCGGGCCCGCTGTGTGGGGACCAAGAGCTCAAATTGACCGGCAGCTATACAAGCGAGCGGTTCAGAAGGAACTGTTTAACATGCCAAATTTACAGATTCGTGCAGCGGGCGTAGACAATCTTCAAATCGATGCAGATCAAGATGCTAGCAATGGCACCCGCTGCAATGGCGTTCTTTTGGATAGTGGAGAACTTGTGCGCAGCCGCTCGGTAGTGCTCACCACGGGAACCTTTCTGCGCGCACACATAAACATCGGATTGGAGGTGAGACCAGCAGGTCGAATCGGCGACAAACCTGCCAAGGCGCTTGGCGAAGCTCTCAACAGACTGGGCTTTCGAATGGGACGCTTGAAGACTGGAACACCGCCACGTATTGCCAAGAGTAGCGTTGACTTTTCCCGGCTAGAGAGGCACAATGCCGACGATCCACCCATGCCGTTCTCGTTTATGAATCGTGATGTATGGCTGCCCGCCAAGGAACAGATGCATTGTTATCTGACCTATACGACACCACGTGTCAATGACATTGTGCGCGATAATTTGCACGTTAATCGACACGTCACAGAGGAAGTAACGGGGCCACGCTACTGCCCTTCAATTGAATCAAAGGTCTTGCGATTTGGTGCTAGGGTCCATCAAGTTTGGCTGGAGCCAGAAGGCTTCGATAGCCCATTAATTTATCCGCAGGGTATATCGTGCACTTTGCCGCACCCGCAGCAAATTGAACTGGTGCGTGCCATCAAAGGCCTCGAGAACGCCGAGGTCGTACAGCCGGGTTACGGCGTAGAGTACGACTTTATAGATCCTCGCGAGCTGTATCCCACACTGGAAACGAAGCGTGTGACGGGTCTCTTTTTCGCTGGCCAGTTGAATGGTACTACGGGATACGAAGAGGCTGCCGCCCAGGGAATTATAGCTGGGGCTAATGCGGCTGGCAGAACTGTGCATCACGATGGCCGACAACTAAATATTAGTCGAACTGAAGGTTACATTGGTGTGTTAATCGACGACCTCACCTCCCTGGGCACCAACGAACCATACCGAATGTTCACCAGTCGAGCTGAATTCCGACTCTCTCTACGGCCAGATAACGCCGACGTACGTCTCACAAGGAAAGGGCATAAATTCGGGCTGGTCAGTGAGCAGCGCTACCAGCACTTCCAGCAAACTGAGCACAAGCTTAAGCGCGGTATTGAAGCGCTTAGGGGCTTGCAGAAGCACAGCAATTTCTGGCGCCAAGCATTAGGTCTGCCACAATCCAAAGCTTCCATACAGAAATCTGCCTTCGACATGCTATCCGTGCCGGCGGAAAACATTTCAGTCAAGCAGCTCATCGAACTGTGTCCAACCGAATTAAGCTGGTTGCATGCAGATGACGACTTGGCGTCCAGACTGAAAATCGAGGCTCTTTACTCGTTCTTTGTGGATGAGCAGCAGCGCGACGTGGAAGATGTTAGACGGGAGGAGCGCTTGTGTATACCTAGCGACATCGACTACTTCTCCAAATCTCTAAGTCTCTCCAATGAGGAGCGTCAAAAGCTGACCCTTATACAGCCTCAAACAATTGCCGCAGCTAGCCGTATTCAAGGCGTTACGCCATCGACGATTCTGCGGTTACTAAAGTACGTTAAAAAGTCTGATGCCTTACGAACAATTCCCGAATATAGTTGAAAACCTAATTTTAGTAGCCATTGTTAAAGCTATTAGATAATTTAGTAAATATGTTTTTAAAACTCATTTAAATATAAGTAATATAGTTTGACCAAAGTTCTAAAAAAGGTTTTCTTGGGCGGGGTTATACAGATGCTCTGTATAAAGGAATATAATTTTGATTTACTTAATTTGTTCAAATTTTTGAACAATTAAAACACTTCAAGCTTAATCTCTTACGTACAGTTTATTCAATAAAATCATAAATGCCTTAAGTAAAGTTGCACAAGATTGTTTGTTATAATTTGTTGCATGTGTCACACGACATCATTTGTAGTTATTGGATGTGTTGCTTGTTGGTTGTGACATGTTATTGCTATAATCGTGGCATCAACGTTTACGGTTAACGGTATCTGTTGCTCAAAATATGCTGCTCAATGATCTCTATTTGGATTTGTTGTTTAGTTAGCTTAAAAATTATGTTTTACACATTTTGTTTTCTTTTTTGTTTTTGTTTTTGGTTTTTTTTTTTTTGTATTATTCTGTTTTACACACACAACGAAGATTGAGGGAGAAATACGTTTAATTTATGTATTTTGTTTAGGTTTGTATTTGAAACTATTATGCAATATTTATTCTTCAATTGCTTTCGCATTTTGTGGATTAAGTTTACATATATTTTATGCGCACCAATTCATTATCCGTATTGTATTATCCATTATCCAAGAACTATTTTGATATTACTCACTAGCTCACAAGCGGCGACCAACGATTCCGATCTTAAGTCTCTGATAATTGTTTCCTTAGTAAAAATCTCACTATTTGGCTCATATGAGAACTGAAAAGCTTTATTCAAAATGAAATAAGAAACTTCAAGTAAGTATCAGACTCTGAAGATCGTTAGACTTGTAAGCTAGTGTTCTTAATAAAAATATATTCCCTTTCAGTTTAACTGATATCTTCATACCCATATCTATGTAAGTTATTTTTTACTTTATTTTGTATTTGTTTTTTGTTTTTTTTTTTGATAAAATTGTTTCAATAAGAAAAAGAAAATATTGGATTTGCATATGTCTGGATAGGCATGGAAATATATTCGGAAAGAGTTTTGCGATCAATGCGACGATAATGAGTTTTATTCAATTTATAGATATTAGCTCGATCTTCGTACGCTAGAATTTGTCGAGTTTTCGTTTTCGTTTTCTTTTTCTTTTACTTTTTGTTTTTGTTTCCGTTTCTTTCTTTTTTATAATATCACAGATTGCTCGAGATTTGTATGCTTAAAAAAATAAATGATTTTTAGGCAATCTCAAACATAAACTAAAACTAAAACCTAAATCAAATTATATATAGTTATGTCTGAATTTTGTTTGGATATCAGATATTTGCTACTTAATATGTATGCATCAATTGGGTATAAAAGTGAAATATAATGACACTGAGCGTTTCTTTACAGAATAATGAATGTGTTGGGTATGCTAGGGGCTTGCTTAGCTCTGGATATTTGCTAAGTAATTACTTGGTTAGTCTGCATCTGTATCAATTATATTATTATAAAATTTGTTTGTATAAAAACTGAAAATAGAAAATAGAAACTTCGCTTATAAGGGCCAAAAAGTTGCTCACATAATATGGTAAAAAAGTTCGAAATTTTCGAAAAATAATTTAAGCTTTTCGCAATTTTTGCTAATCCACTCCAGATTATACGTTTTGATTTGTTTTTCTTTTTTTGGTTTTATTTTTGTTTTTGTTTTTTTTTTTTTACCTAAATTTCAGTTCCGTTTTATCCACCTTGTATTTGAGTTCAATTTACATAATACATACATTTTTATAATTTTTTGTTCTTTACGTTTTTTCGTACTCTCCAAAATCACAATTATTAGCAATTTAAGAATAAAATATAACTATTCAGTATGAATGTTCTGTTTCTGTTTCTGTTTCATTTTGTGTTTCTGTTTGTTTCTGTATATATAAATTTCTTACGAGCTTTTTAATCTAAAATTGTACAACTATCATTAAATCGCCAGGATTGTGTTCAAGAGTGTGAATTTCCATACATTCAGAGTTCTTTGAATTAGACAAAGTATTGTTTGTTATGCAATTAATCATATAATTCAATTGAGTATCTCACAATATTTATATTTTTATATATATTTATACAGTATTAACTTTACATTTCATGCAATTGTAGTTGATCTTGCCACGAATTCCATACGAATACTTCTGCTCGGATGCATCGAGATGTGGCATTGTGGCTAACTTTGGATTAACATTAGATTGTAACACCGAGAACAAACAAATATGTGATATCTGCTAAGAGGGTTTTACACACTTGTAGGTATGCATATTAATGTACGTTTATATGGCGGCGACTCCCATCACCATATTGCCAATTGTTAAGCGTAAACCCTAAAGCTTTAGAAACTCATCGAGCATTCGCTTGCGCTGCTGGTGCAGTGCCCGTTCCGACAGGAGATACATCCCAATATCGCCAAAGTTTTTCATTAGTTAGTTGTTCGAGTTGCTGAAGAGTTGGTGTCATAAGGCTGTTGCCTCCTCAGCAGTAGTGCTGCGGCCAAGTGACTGCACCGAGCTCTTGTTCTCTTCTAAAACGAATAGAAATATTTAAAGATGATTAACTAAGTGATGCGGGCATTATTAAAACATGTTATACATACGCGACAGAAAAAGTATTATTTTGAATTATTTCTGAGGCTGCTTATAATTTCATAATTTATCTACTGATCTGAAATAATAAAACTTCGATAATAAATGGAAATAAAAAGTGACAAAAATGTATAAACAAAATGATTTATTTGGGCAATTCTAGAGCAAACATTTGACAATTAAATAAAAAGAAATCATATTAGATAATAATAAATGTAATCATAATGTTAATAGTAGCATGTATTTGATATTGAACACGATCAACTGTGGTCAACCCTAGGCGATGAGGATGATGATGCAATACGTTACAAATTATTGTATACTTTCGTTTATAAATAAACATTTGGATTTACGGCTATGTTGAAGGTAGATGATGTTAACTAGTTTCGATCTCTTCACGAACTACTAACTACGTGCCCCCGATTGGGGCTCTCTGAAAGTTCAAGTGCTGCCGTTAAGTAGGATCATCTCGATGTTTCGGCAATGGGCGTGGCACTCGTGGTCACCTCATCAGCGGCAGGTGTTGACGCTGCCGCTGCCGCCGCCGCCGCCGCAATATTCGTGCTGCTGCTGACCACCGGCGGGGAGTTGCTGCCACTGGTGGTGGAGGTGACTGCGCTGCCACACGACACCACTGCCGCATCGTCCGGCGACAGCTTTGCTCGCTGCGGCACCGGCGGCGATGGCTCTAGCTGCTCAGCATGCTCCTGCTTCTGGGCAGGCGGCGTGCTGGATGCTAGAATCTTGGGAGCGATCTCCGTACTGCTATTACCTTGTGAAGCGCCAGTTGCCGCTCCAGTGGCTGTTGCGCCGCTCGAGTTGTTGTTGGTGGCATTGGCGTTGGCGTTGGCGTTGGCGTTGCTGCTGCTGTTGTTGTCCGCGTTGGGCGGACTCGCACTGCGTCGGGACGAGTTCTCTGGCGAGCTATCCGGCAGAAGCGCTTTCTCCTGATTGCCGCTGGCATTCGGCGTTGCCGGCTTTTTCTCGAGTGCCACAGGTGGCGTGGCGCTCTGTAGTGGATCCTCCTTGCCCACGGTCAGTGAAGCTGCTTCCTTGCCGTCCGTGGGGCCATTTGACTCAATGCCATTCAGCTCATGCGCTGCGGACGTGCTGTTGCTGGCGCTCGACTGAGCTTGGTTGCTCGAGTTTGAATTGGAGCCGGTCAGGTCTAGGGTCGTCGGCTCGTGCGTGAGCGGCGTCGGTGGTGCACCACCGCTTTTCTCCATGAGCACAGACTGCTGCTGGGCAGCGGCTGCGACAACGGCAGCAATGTGATGTCGCATGGCGTGAGGACTGCTGGCGGCGCGGGAGCCGCCATTGGGGGCCGAGCCTAGAGGTGGCGTAATCTTAGGCGATGTCGGATGCGCTGCGGCGCTAATGGGCTGCTGATGGGCGGCGACAGGAGTGAGCCCGCTGGCAGCCGCTGCTGCGTGCATGGCCGCCAGATGTCCATGGTGGTAGTAGTGGCTCATGGTCGGAATGTGCGAGCTGGGCGTGGACGTAGTTTGAGCCATACTGCTGGTGGCCACTGTCAGGTTAAGGCTGCTGTGCGGCGACGATGACGTGGCTACCGCACTGCTGGCCACCACCCCAGGACTGGGCCCAGCCGACGAGCTGGCAACAGAGTGTGGCGGCAGCTGATGCACCGCATGATGCGGCGAGAGATGCGCATGGCTCAGATTGAGGCTGTGTGGATGCGGGCCCAGGCCGAGCGCAGCGGCCGCCGAGAAGCCCGGATGTGTGAGCCCAGCTGCCCCAGGATGGCCAGCCAGACCCATGGCCGCCTGCTGCAGGTGATGCTGCAGGTTCGTGGGTCCGTGGCCCGGCAATGTGGGCATGCCAGCCATGCCCAGATTGAGGCCCATTGGGCTCTGCCGTTGCGCATTAGCAGCCGCCGCGTGATAATGCGACATGCCCGCCAGACTGTGCAGGCCGCCGGGCGGGCCACGCAGGCCCAGATTGATGTGCGGCATCATGGAGCCGAGCAGGTTGCGATTAAGTGGCGCGTACAGCTGATTGGAGTAGTGATGCGTCGCATTCAGCAGCTGCTGGCGCTCGCGCTCTCTGGCCTCGCGCTCCTCCTCGCGCATTTTACGCTCGCGTGCCTCTTTCTCCTTCTGCTCCTTCTCGCGCTGCTCCTTTTCACGCTGTTCCCGTTCCCGTTCACGCTGTTCACGTTCGCGTTCGCGCTGTTCCTTTTCGCGCTGCTCACGCAGCTCTCGTTCCTTTTCGCGCTGCATTTCGCGCTCTCGCTCCTCTTCACGCGCCAGGCGCGCCCGATGCTCCTCCTCCAGCTTTAGGCGATCGTGCATTGCCGGCGACATGCCCAACGCAGCGCCCGGCATCATCGAGTACAAATGCGAATACGGCGAGGCCATTGGCGGATATAGCGCCGCTGCATGTGGATGCGTATGATGTCCGCCAGCTGCGCGGAACAGCTGATAGCGATGCTCCAGGTACAGCGGATCCGAGTAGGGCAGACCCGCCGCCGGATTCAGAAATGCTGTCGAGAATAGAAGGATTAGTTAAGAGTCTCAGGCCGAAGATCTGGCTCTTGCTCACCTGCTGGAGGAATGCCGGGCAGGCCGGCAAAGTGCGAGTAGGCCTCCAGGGGAAAGGCACCGGCCGGATGCATCAGTCGCTCGTCAGATCTGTACGGCTGAAATCCGCTGCGTGCGAGCAGCTCGGGCTGCATAGCTGCCTGCGGCGTATGACTGAGCCTGGCCATTTTCTCTGGCGGCTGTGGCGAAGGCGGCGAGCGTTTCTTGTTGGCAGCGACACGATCCTCGCCAGCGGACGAGACCACGCCGCGTCCGGCCACCGAGTTGAGCGGCACAGGTACAGGTCCGGCGTTGGGCGGTGCCGCCGATGTGGGCACATTGCGCTCCCGGGCCACGCTGACCGCATCGTCTTCCTCCTTGATATCCGCCTGTTTGGCCAGCGTGCGCAGTGCCGCTGCAAATGAGCCGCGTGCGTTGGCCGCTGAAGCTGCATTGATGGCGCCCGGTGGTACGCCCACGCCCGCCAGCTGCTGCTGCACGGCAGCGGCCACTGCCTGCTGATGCGCTTGATGCTGCTGTTGCTGCTGCTGCTGCTGGTGCTGTTGCTGTTGCTGCTGCTGTGGCGACTGGCCGCCAATGTGGTTGGTGGGCAGGACATGGTTCAGCAGTGCACCGCTCGCTGTCGGCGGCGCCGGACTATTTGCAACGGACGCAACGCCCGGCACGCTGCCCGAGTTCGGCGGTGTCTGCAGATGATGCGGCACGGGTATATGAGGCGCTGGGCTGGTAGCCGGTCGCTTCTGTCCAGCCTTGGGCGGCACTGCAAATAGACATTACGGAATAGAGAAAGTTTAGTTCAACTCTTCAAAGCTGGAGCATCGTGTATAAATGATGTACGCCAAGCCACATATTCTCGCTGTTAACTTGGCCCAGCTGAGGGCGCGTCAGCCCCAAGCTGGATTACAGGAACTCTTGTGCGAATAGCCTGTACTAATAACTGATTGATGTCGCCTGCCTGCACACGGAGAGGCATCCAAAGTGGGCCTCGCCTCGCTGCATTCGATGCGGGCCCAGTGCAAGGACTTTTGTGACACCAAAATGCAAATGCCAAGGCCTGAAACTTGAATTTCGGACATGAACATGGACATGGAGCGGGCACCCCAACCTGCCCCAACTACCCCCAATCATTTCATTTACCACGTGCTTCGTTCTTTTGAGGTTCTCTCGCTCACGGCGCAAATTGCACGCCCAACGAGTTTATCGATTCTTGTTTCTCGTTTCGTTCGGGGCAAATTGCTTTCAGATATGACAGCCACGCCCCGTTACTCCGCCCCTTTCAGGTCAGCAACAGAAGCACAGGTGCTTTCAGTGTCTCGACGCGCATTCCCAATGCCAAAATGGAATTTACCGAGCTTGACGACAACGAAAACCATTTGCCAACAGCGTTCTTTGTGCGGCACGGCAGGCGGATTAAAGGCCATCATCGCCGTCATCAACGCGGAGCTGATATTCCTTATCTAAAGCGCTCGACTCACAATCGAGTTGTTCTACAAAACTTATTGACAAAGTCTCAAAACGATTTGGGAATATCAGAATCAGAATCGGAATCAGAATCAGAATCAGAATTTGTCTACGGAGATCCTTTACTATGCATAGATTTCTGTGGCTGCGTTTTCTCTTGTCGAACGTGCCGAACGTATTTGCGTATGCGATACGAATCGACAAGAGTCTAGCCACCCAATCGTAGAACTTTTCATTAAATGCACAAAATGCATTCAAGGATTTTTATGTGCGTGCCTCGCCAGTGCAGCCGGGCGCAAAGCCTTCTGCCTGTTACCGGGCTGGGCCATTGCCATTCAACACGAGCACAACAACAACAACAACAACAGCAGCAGCAGTTGCCTAAGCTCCTGGCTGGATTGGTTGCCTCGCTGGTTGCCACACCACACCACGCGTGAAGAGGAGCAGCAGGAGCTGCGCACGGGGCATGTGCTGCATGTGTATTTACCAAACTAAACCGAAATAATGCCCGAAACTGCAACAGCAAGTACAACTACGCACTCTCGGCTACAACAATAAAATGCCAACGACTGCAAAAGCGGCTGAATCCCGATCCGTGTGCCGTGTGCCTGCCCCTGTGCCCGTGCCTGGCCTTACCAATACCCGTGCTCCCTCGCCGCTTCCGCCTCCGTTGAGGGGCTCACAAGCCAAACAAAGGCGCCTCCGCCGATGCCATCGTATTTGCCAGTTTGCCTAACTGCGTGTGGGTCGACCAGGGATCTGGGATGCTGCGTAGTGAAAGCCTGCTCTGTTCTGTTCTACTCTGCTGTGCTGTGCGCTGCTCTTGGCGCTCTTGTTTGCTATGAAATGCCTGTTTGTTTGCATGGGTTTTGTGTACTTCAACATGGCCGACGCGACCCCTTTCCCATTCCCATGCCCCTCTCGCCCTGCAGGCCCACCTTCGACTGTGGCAGCTGCCTTGGCGCCGAGCTCTGTTTTTGCATTGAGCGGCGATTTGCAAGCATCAGCGATATTTGCCGAATTTAATCAGAGCACCAGCACCAGAGTGCCCCAGCCTGACGCAACGTGACTCGAACTCTGTTCGACTCGCCTCGCCTCGCCTCGCTGCGCATCTTTAATGTCGCAATCCTAGCCATGCCCCATCAATATTTTGCCAACATTTTTGTCAGTTGGCTCGAATTCTCTTGCGTTTTTTGTTTCCTGTCATCAATTTTGAGTCAGGCTAAACTGTTTGCCCAGTTCACATGGACTAAAGTTGACAGAACTCACAATTCTTTTGCCTGGAGTGCAATCATGGCTGCATACATCTTTATATATATATATATATATATATATATATATATATATATATTATATATATATATATATATATATATATATATTATATATATATATTATATATATTATATATATATATATATATATATTTAAATTAAATATTTCTATTGGACTTAAAAGTAATTCGAGTCGGGAGTGCCCAACTAAAATATACCCTTTGCAGCTAAGAGCTGACATTATATTAATATTAAAATACATAAATATTATTAACTAATTAAAATGTTTACCAAATCCAGAAGAAGAAGAGCAGCAATGCTCTACACGACTGCCCACAAAGAAATCAGAGTTACAACTGAAGAAATGCTAAAGAAATGCTTGGCTTTATATAGGGACGACGCTTTCTAAGTCAAAGTTCGAATGGTCGAGATCAAACGAGCGAGTTCGAACTCTTGAGCCTTTGTCTCTGGGCAGTTGCTCATCCATTGAGTGAAACTTAACTACGTTGAGCTCTTTCAAGCACTCAAACTTACTTCTGCGCCCTAAAAATACCTTCGCTGCTCTTCTTCAGCTTTTCTTTTCTTCCCTTTATACAGGAATGTGTTATTACAAGCTTTTAATTGACAGACAAACAGTCAGACACACAAACTAATAGCCCTATTTGTCTAGTTTTCGTTAGATCAGATCAGTTCATTGTATTGATCAATTATATTTATATGTCATGACAATTCCCATTTGAAAAATAATATTAAAAGGAATTTTTGCAACATTTTCCTAAACCATTTTCAATTTCTCTAATTATTTTAATACTTTCAATTAAATGAACAATAAAATAAAATATTTTTCTTAGACTTGGGGCTATTTGTAGTTGCTTAAATACGAACTCAATATGCCAATAATAAAAGCTATAAAAATTTGCAAAACTCAAATATTTAGCTGAATTCTATTTTACTGAATTTTTATAAAATCGATGTTTTATTAAATGTACTTTTTTTTAATTTTTTTCTATATTTTCTAATGTTTTTCTTTTAGTTTTATACAAATAAATTTCACTTTTTTGCTATGTAAAAAGTTTGAACATTTCTTCATATGCAAAAGTGTAAAAATTTCAAATATTTATTTCAGCTTTGCAGTTCCGCTGCAAAGGTCCATCTTCCGGTCAACTCCAGCTTACTTTCCTCTTTTTTTTGCTATTTTGGTTGGCTTATTGACTCTCTAAATGGTTGTCGGTTAATTTGTGCATGCAAATGCAATTTGCGCAAAGTCAATTAAATGGAATCCTCTTGCCACATAAAACAAATCATAACTGCCTATAAATAAATGTTGAATAAATTAGGCACACTCCATTCTGTGAGTGCTGCTGTTGTTGTTGTTGTGATTGCATTTGGTTCAGTGCTGCAAAATTGGTTTTCTCGCTCGGGTAAATTAAAATGTCACCACTCGAATGGCCAAAATGTAAGCACCAACCAACCAGACAACCGACTAACCAACCGACCAACCGACCAAGCGACCGACCGACCGACAGAGCGCAATTCACATTTACACAAACCACATAAACATTGCGCTCTAGTCTGCCTCTTGACCCACCCGCACACATTTAAATAGTAGTTACCAGCATTGAATTCCTTTGTGCCAGCGCAAACTGAACAGGATGGCAGTGGGAATGTGAATGGAAATGGGAATGTGGACGTGGATGTGGATGTGGATGTGGATGTGGCAGTCGCCGGTTGCATGCGATTATTCCACCACAACTAATTACAGTGGCAAACGGCGAGGCTGGCACTCCGTGTCGCAGCCTGCTCCTGCGGCCAGGACATGTTTAGGTCAGCCGCAGCACATACACAAGCAGTCCAATCGAGCGGAGCATGAATAATTTATTTAATAAATACATTCACAATTAAATCAATTGCGAATATGCGAGGACTGCCATGGCCTGAGTCCGGCAGCAGTGCTAGTGTCATGTGGGCATGTGGCAAGTGGCATGAGACATGAGGCACAAGGCAAGTGGCATGTGGCTAGTGGCAAATGGGCAGCAGTAGCAAATTATCAACTGCCTGCGCACAGCAAGGATGTTGCCGACTGAGATATATCCCTTAGCAGGATCTGAAGTAAGCTCAAACTGAGAGAGACCTACTAGAAGAGCTCAGATATAGACTGAAATAAGGTTTCAATGCTTAAATGTGTTTCATTATTGCTTTATACAGAACAAGCTATATATAGGCTAGCTGAGAGAGCAGCATTTTGATTGCCAATATTGACAGGCTCGATCAAAATGCTGCTCTCTCAGCTAGCCTATATATAGCTTGTTCTATATAAAGCAATAATCTTGCAATTGAAGTAATATAACTTAATTATTAAGCAATTTACAACTACTTAATAGCAAAACAAGCCATTGGCTGCACTCCAAGTTCCTTACAATAAGCCAATGCAACACTCAAGGTAAACTGTTTTGGTAATTTATATAGCATACTTATAAGGGCACACTCGTAAGAAATGAAGTGAATATTAACCCATCTTTTCCGCAACTGAGACAGATAGAGAGACAAGTTGTAGCTATAGCATAGATGCCTAATCAAAACACATTCTATATTTATGTGCTTGTAATCAGCTCCTGAGTTCAAGAGAGAGTGAGACAGAGATTGAGTGGGACAGAGTTACAAGCTGAAGGTAGGGAAATGCTCATGTCCATTTCCCAACCTGGTTAGAGACTCTAAATTAATTATAAATTCAGCTGTGCAAGTGTGCTTGTGTGTGTGTGTGTGTGTGTGTGTGTGCAATGCAGTCCTGCGGCAGTGTAACCAATGTACGAACCGTCAACTGCTTCAAACTGGCTGTGACTGCGGTTTCATATGCAATTATTTGCCAACGTCGACGTCGTTGGTGGCGACCACGTCGACAGCAGCTGCCGCTTTTGGATAGGCACAAGGCACCACACTTGTCCACAGGCCATGCAGCAGCCGTCTAACCAAATGCCCTGCAGCCACGTCTCCGTCTCGAGCCCGGCCCAGCACAACTTGGCCGAGC